CTGTTCGAAACCGTTTCCCACGCTCTATCGCCTCCGCCACCCAAGGAACCACTGATCTCTCCCTTTATTTCTCTAGGAACTTTGACGCACGGCGCGTCGTACAACACATCTACACAAGACCCCTCAAGCCTCCCATACAGGCTAACCGTCTTATTACCTCTTTAGGTATCGCCGACGAGCTCACAAAGCTTGTCCCATCAAATTCAAGTCAGGTTCATAAACCGACGGCCAACTGAGCAATCCCCGACTTAGATAGCCCGGGACCTCAGGGAAGTTTCTGGCAAGAAGAAGCTGAAGAATCGGTGGTACACTCCTATCACCTCAAGAATTCCCCTCGCCTCTTCGACACAGCCACAACACACACAAACTTCCGTCCGCGACAACGCGAACGCAACTATGTTGTTCATGAGTCTCTCCGGCTTGTCTTGAGCTGCCCTGAACAGCAGTCTGGCGATCTCGCTCGGTTCTAGTTTGCCGTTTTCGACCGTGTTTCCTCCTTGCTCTAGGTATTTCCTAGCTTCCGTTAGCGACTTTACTGAGGTATTGCCTGACTTAATTAGTTCCTCCTTTGTTAGGGTAGCAGAGTTTGAGTTCGCGGAGGTGCGACCCCGCCCGCTGGCGGGTGTACCTCCTCTTGTCATGTGCCGGAATTGTTACCAGTACTAGTTCTACGGCGGTATTGTAGATATAGAGTAGAACGGAGCGGTATAGGTGGTTATAGTAGACTACTTTTCTCCAGCGACGGTGCAATCCGCGTTATCGCGTATTGCGTTGGTGGTGGTCGCGTGAGAAGAAGTCCCTTCTTGGGCGTACAGCCCGCGGGTTCTTGCCAATGCTTGATTTCTTGCAAACCTCAGGCATTAGAATGAACAGCTGGAAGATACAGCTATCAGCTATGCTGCTACCTCGCATACGATGTAGTTCGAGTGCGAGCCCGCGTTGTACAGCACCTTGTCCAATGGCCATCCTCCACCCCGGCGACCCGGTCTATAATGGAGACGAGGTCGTGAAGCGCGGCCATCTATGATCTCGGTCACGCTCTGCGGCTCCTCTTCAAGGTGGATGTAATCCCGGATGTATATGTCGGAGATATTTCCAAACTGAGGCGTTGTTAGAGGGACCGGGCTCAAGCCTCATGCGCAGGTTCTTGTTCTTGTGCAAGGCGTATGCGATCTCCAAGTGAAGGGTGCTTTCCATATTGCCTCCTTCCCACGAAATGATCGAAAGTCTGATGTGAGTGACCCTATACTTATTTCCGTACACCCCGGTTGCTCGTCGTTGCTATTTTTTGGGGTGCCTTCAAACATTTTATCTCCCTTGCCCTTACCACATGGATACATCCTACTACTCATTGTTCCCGGACCAAGATCTACCGAACCTGAACATACCGGCCGTCCTTTCCGACCATCTTCTACTATTCACGTTCCTGTCACTCATCGTGGGCAGACCACGACTCTCAAGCGCATGCCCGTCGGGGCGTTCCCCGCCTCAGCGCACTTCCCGCTCCTCACCTCGTTCGCGTGACGGTGCACGATCGCAAGCAGACCTGAGGCGCCGCGGCGAGCTACTCGCGCACGCCGTCCTCCGGATCCGCACGCACGCGCACCAGCTCTTCGACCTCAGATTACTTCGCTCGAACCTCGCCCGCGGGCGGTCGACGGTCGAAACAAACACCGAGATCGCTGCGTAGCTCTCGCCCGCGCCCCTGGGGTGTCTCACTGTGAGCTATGCGGTCACGCCTCAACTCGCTGCCGTCGATATGTACCTGCCGCATCTCAAAGATCCATCCCTGCTTGTCCCTCCAAGCCTGAACTACGTCCACTTCGAGTCCACGGCTAACTCTCAAGACGCTCACTGTCTGTGTCACGGGTAGAGACCATCTGGACTGGGTCATCTCGTTCGGAGTACTTCGGCGTCGATTGAACTTTCGCGGTGAGTTTCGCGCTATCTGGCAGACTAGCTGCAATATGCTGATGAGGGCCAGGGGCGGGCATAGGCAGACGCGACAAGCGCAGAGGCAGAAAATTGCCCCCCTGTTTCCCTGGTTCGTGTACGAAACTGAAGTAGGTGTCGCTCGATACATTTGACAGGGGAGGACGAGAAGCGCTACCTAGGCCATAGCAATGTCGGAACGCGGCGTGATGGATATCTCTGCGTACTCCAGGCTATTGTACGTATCATCGCCACCATCGAGGCTGGGTATCTATGGACGTGGCTGATTGACAAGTGAGAGGCGCAAATCCAGGACTCGTTGTATGCCATCACCAAGGAGCAACCCTGTCATTTACGGCGATGCTGCGGGTTGCAGCCTCAGGCTCTTGACCTACGTCTTCCTTCCACAATATTTCATCCATGATTACTGTGAACGACCGGTAGCGAGCTTAGGATTCACAGTGTACCTGCATGAGTTCGAGACGTCACTGCTGATTGCTATGAGCCATGATACGTGAGTCGTATGTATAAGCGTCACGTCTAATCATCGATGCCTTGATGCTCTTGGCTCCACAGTTCGACCGTCGGATCCTCGGGACTTTCTTATCAGAGAATGGCGAACGACCTTCAGCGGTGCGGCAAGACGAATGGATATGGTATGAATGTTCCCGTCTTCCGGAGGATCGGCAACCGGTAATTGAACTGCTCAAGCAGGACGGGAGCAAATCAACCACTGCGTCTATGTCCGCGACATGTATCACAAGGCAGCACGACACGCACTTGACGTATCAGGTCGGCTCCCGAATTCCGATCCCCGTGTCCTAACCGCTTCGTGACTGCTCAACTAGGTCTTTGCAGATCGCCCTCTAGTTGTACAAAGCGCACGTATGCCTGCACACATTCTTTACTGTGACAGTGAGATTGCATTTGCCACGTCTCAAGATGCGAGCACGGATCCCGCTCGGGATACTACATACCACGCTCTCTGCGTACGCGTGTGATGCAGAAGCAGGGCGGCTTCTCTCACCCCACGGGGTGCAGCTCTTCGTAATTTGTCATCACGAACATTTCTTCTCTTTGTCCCTATGACCCGCTTCATATAAGATCTTCGACGTCAAAGTTCACTCGTTCACTTCACTATATCCAATCGTCCTCATTTGTGTTCGACATCGCGATGTCGTCGCCCATGTCGATTGCTTGCCTTGTGATAGTTGCAGTAGGCTTACTGAAACTCATCTCGCGCCTCCTGGCAAAATCTCCTCTAGACAAGTTACGTGGTCCGGCTCGGACGTCCATTTTGAGAGGTAGGGTCGATTGCCGTATCCGCGAGGTGTTGTTTCTAGGCTCATCGATTCCGGCATTCAGGACACCTGGATGAGCTGAACAGCATTGATGGGTGGGATTTTCATCAGCGTTTCAACGAGGAATACCCAGGAATTGCGCAGATCTGGGGCCCATTTGCTGTGCGTCTGCTGCTCATGCGAGCGACTGTACGAAGTCCGCGCTAAACATGCTGTAATGTGACAGAGTCGATACGTTTACGTGTCTGACCCCCTGGCGATGTACCACATCATGGTCAAGGTCCGTGTCCAGGAGGCAAACATTATTTTTATCTAAATCATGAACACATCCCTAGGATCAGTACACCTACACCAAGTGCCTCGATAGAACTGGTACGCTCGCATGATTATCCTCTGTTCTAAATCTTGTTGACGCCATGTCCACAGAGTCAGCTCGTCGTCTGCCTTGTCGTACTTCTGCGCCTCTGCTGACAACGAACACAGACTGAGCGCACTTGTATTCGGTCGTGGACTGCTTTCGACCTTCGGTGAGCCCAATAGCAATCTGATTGGCTGTTCTGGCACTGACCACCTGCACAGGTCACGACCACAAACGCCAGCGCAAGCTGATGAACCCCGTCTTCTCCATGGCACATATGAAGTACATGGTCCCTCAATTCTACGATGTGTGTCATCAGGTTGGCAACAGATATCTCTCATGATATGGAGAACTCGTTCGCTAACCAAGTCGCAAGTTATGCGATGTACTGACGACCCAAGTGGCTGAAGGAGAACGTGAAATCGACATTTTGGTCTGGATGACGAGAACTGCGATGGAACTCATCGGCAGGGTATGACTTCGCATTTTCCATGGATTAACCTCATAAATACCCACTTCTAGGCTGGCCTTGGGTACTCTTTTGACCCATTAACTGAGAATAGCGACAACCATTACGCCAGTGCTATTAAGGCTCTTGTGTCAGTGACCAGACTATCACTTCGCTGACTCCTGGTGCTCATGGAGCGTATACAGCCCCGTTCTTGCAGAATCTGGCCGGCTACGGGAATTGGTGCCCTATTTTACTGCGTTCAATGTCCCTTCAGTCTTCAAAAGCCTACTTCCTTACGTGCCCATCAAGCGTGTTCAGCGTTTACGCGACGTGGCCGAAGCTTTGGATAAGGCGAGCCACGAGGTGTATGAGGCGAAGAAGGCAGCACTGCAAAGGGGCGACGAAGCTGTCATGCAGCAGGTTGGAAGGGGCAAGGATATCATGTCCATTCTTGTGAGCGACCATGAACGAGGTTTGACATATGCGGGAATGGACGCTGACTGCGGTGTTTCTAGCTGAAGGCTAATCTTGAAGCGAACGAAGAAGATCAACTACCCGAGTCGGATGTCATTGCTCAAATGTCGACTCTAGTCTTTGCTGCCACTGACAGTGAGAATGGTTGAATCAGACTAGAGACTTGCGACTGATTCTGTGCAGCGACCACAAACGCGCTGTCTCGCATCCTATATCTGCTCTCGGAGAATCCCGACGTGCAGCACAAGCTGCGTGACGAGATTCTAGAAGCTCGGAATTCTCAGGGTCATGAGCTCATGTACGATGAGCTTGACGCTCTACCAGTATGCTTATTTTCAGTACTCGGTTACGATTCATACTGACGTCTCGTTCTACGGTAGTACATGGATGCGGTGATCAGGGAGACTCTCAGATTGTCAGCTTCTGTTATCTATCCGCGCTACATGTCTAACGTTTGATCGTCCAGGTACCCTCCTGTCCCGATCTTATTCCGCACGTAAGCCCGATCAATGTTATCCGCCAAGGGCGGCCTTTCTGAACCTTTTCCTGCAGGGCGACGAAGGACATGATCCTCCCTCTTCTCAAGCCAGTCACGGGTGCTGACGGGTCTCAAATACGCGAATGTGCCATCCCTCGCGGGACGACTGTTGTCGTCAGTCTTAGGAACATCAACCTGTCCAAGGATTACTGGGGTGATGACGCGCTGACGTGGAATCCCGAGAGGTTCCTCAAGCCTCTGCCCGCCGAGCTGCTCGAAGCTCATGTGCCTGGTATCTACTCTAACATGTGCGCTTATGTTGTTTGACGCGAGGATGGACGCTAATGAGGAGATATACAGGATGACTTTCAGCGGTGGAGGGTTCTCATGCATAGGCTTCAAGTTCTCCCTACTTGAAATGAGTACGTTCAGGGACAGTATACTGGTCATATTCTCTAACATTGTCGGCAGAGGTGGTGCTTGCTCTGTTGCTCGAACGCTTCACATTCTCTTTGCCGAAGGCAGAGATCAAGTGGAACATGGGCGGCATCGTGGTGCGTAGTCATGCTCGTGTCAAGGGCCTGTCCAGATGCTTACGAGGCTATGCCCTAGTTCCCGTCCGTTGTTGGAACCAAGGGTGCTCATATGCCTCTACGCATGTCGCTATTGAAGCCCAATGAGTCCTGATTCTTCATGTGTGGTAAGAGACAGAATAGTCATGGAATGGAAACCCTTCCGTCAGCCGTCTTAGCCTCTCGATTAGGGAAGGTACTGCAAAATCTAACCACATTTACTGTGAAAGCGATTGGCCAAAAAATGTAAAAAGAACGGAGGCATATAGTAGTATCACGATATGTGTCGATGACATCCACAGGCTAGACATTTAGTCCATATGCAACAACTGTGCGCCTAGACCTGTAAGCACACAATGAACTCACGTCCACGATACTAGATAGAGAACATGAATGATAACCTTCAAGCACCCGTAGAAGATGGGAGCGCCGTCACGGTCCAAGTTACGGTGGACGTTACTTCGACCATTCCAGGGTGTTCGTCGGTGAGCACAAAGTACTTCCGCGTCGCGGTGAATGTTGCCGGAATGACGGTATCCGTGATCGTTCCAGATGGATCCGCGGACGGGGTCTACACGAATCGAGACCAAGAGTCGTCAGCCTTTCCGACAAGATCGAGTGAACTGCGAACACTTGCCGGCACAGCAACGACCGCGTACGCGAGCGTCATGAGAGCCAGACTCATATTGAAGACCTTCATCGCCCTTCGGTTGTGCGGTTGTGCGAAGGAGGGTAGTTCTTTGTTATGGTGGGGAGCAAAGACGAGACTTTGCCGGCGAGGAAGAGTCATCCACGAAGCGAATCATTATATCGCTGGGAATGCCGTCATTCGAGCATAGTAATCAAACCTTCGAGCGTCAGCTACTTCTGCGGATGCGAGCACTGCGTCAGCAACGAGGGCGACTGTACTCATGGTCCGGCCGCCTCTGCGAGACGCGGAACGGCATGGCGCGCTCGCCGCTCGGTACCGTAAGCTTAACCCTCCCCTCACTAGTCAGTGTAATGCAGCCAAACTCGGAGACGATCGTTCACGCAGAGAAGAGTGAGGCGATACGTGCGACGTTGCGGATTAGCACGATGACGCAGAGGCCAGGCACGCTCGTGCACACGAGAGGAAGGCAGTGAGGGGCGTCCCGTAGCAAGGTTAATTCCATTCCTTCTGCCTCTCCGAGGGACCGGCGGTCATCATGTGATCTTACCCCAGTTGGATGTTGCAAATGTGTACCGAGGCCGCTTTGAGGCCGTGCTGTGTCGTATTCAACCTTGCTGTATTCTCGAACGCGTTGGCGCGATTGAACGATGAGACTGCCGCGCCTTCTACTCTGGAACCACCACGATGTTCGCGCTCTCCCTGCGTCCACGGAAAACGTCTCTGCGGCTGATGCTCGGCGGACGAGCGACAGGATCGCCAAAGATACTGAGATGCAGCAGAATGCCGATGGCGGTGGGGTGGGCTCTCGCGGGCGCGCTGGCGCCGACCCACCACCCCCGGTCCGACCATTCATGTAGAAGTGGATCCTTCGTGGACTAGTCGCGGATTCAAGGCGCCGTATCCACGTTCAAGTTTGGTCTGCGGAGTACTGGTAGCACGAAAGTTGGGTGGGCCTGTCATTCGGAACTGCTGCGAAGCTAGTGGCATCTACGACGAAACAAGCGCGCTCGCACGTCTTGACCGTTTCTATCTTCGGGGACTTGACGGGTGGGCGGGCTACGTTATTCTGAGCGCTTTCAGTTCGCGCGGTGGCCGCAGGTGGTATACAAGACAAGGCGGGGTACCCACGGCCATGGGAGGAGAGTTGCGGAAGCCCCGAACGACCGTCGGCATGCGTCAAAAGGAGAGGGCGAGCGGGAACGGCGGCGTTCGGGAGAACGGAAAATTACAGGTTTGATGCGGAGCTCGAAAATACTTCACTCCATCATGCATCATGGACCGCTGAGCTCGGAACACCCGCCGGGACGCTGGCATTTCGCACTCCGCCAACCCGAGGCATCCGCCCCGATTCCTTCGGGTCGTGCTTCATCTTGGCTTCATCTACGATCAACACAGCCGTGGGCGTACGTCAACCTTCTCCGCGTTGATGCCGCCGACGCAATTTGGCTGCAACGCCTTCTCGGACTGCTCTCCTCGGGTGCAGCAACAAACGCCTTCATTCCGAATCCCACGCTAGGCGATCACTTTCCCTTGCTCTCCCGCCCGCCATCTCCCCGGCAGGGAAACTTTGCATACCTATGTTCGTCCAACTTGTGCGACTTGCTGACGACGCTGACGCGCTATGCGTTGTCAGCCCATGTTCGGCGGCGATGGTCGCGAGAGGGTGCCTCCACTGCGCCGCGTCTGCACACGTGTTGCCGTCCCCATCAGCCCCAATTTTCGGGGCGAAGGCGCTGCCACGGTACGCGCTCGTCGGGTGTTAGCGCCTTGACCTGCTGTGTAGCCTTCTCCGAGTCCGAATCCGGAACCGCAGACCGAGCAGTCTCTCGCGGTTATAAAAGACACGCGCGAGGCGGGTGAACGCTTCATCCCCTCCATCCTAGGTGGAAGAACCCGGTCGTACTTGCGCTCGATACTGACGTTCGTGAACCCTTCGGACGAAGACATGACGCGCATCAATCTGCTCGCGACGTTCGTGTCGCTCTCTATGTCACTCCGGGCCCTCGCCGCCATTGGGCCCACCGCCACTTTGGACATTGTCAATGTCCAGATGGCACCAGACGGTTTCAACGTAACCCGCGAGTAAGTTGCACTATAGATTGAAGGTGTAATGTGTCTTATGCTACTTGCAGTACGGTCGTGGCTGGCACCAATGGCGTCGGGACCTTCCCTGGTCCGCTGATCACTGGCAACAAAGGCAACAATTTTCAGATCAATGTCAACAACCAGCTCTCGGATGTGGCCATGCTCAAGACAACTTCTATTGTAGGCCTCCTCGTATCGTTTCAAGGCTGTGAGCTGACGTTTTGGGCTTGTTAGCATTGGCACGGGTTGTTCCAGAAGGGCACCAACTGGGCCGATGGCGTGGCGTTCGTCACTCAGTGCCCCATCGCCAGCGGTAACTCATTCCTGTACAACTTCGACGTGCCTGACCAGGCGGGTACCTTCTGGTATCACTCCCATCTGTCTACCCAATACTGCGATGGATTACGCGGTGCACTGGTTGGTGAGTATCTTATATTAGACATGGGGATGAGAATGTTATTCAACCCATTTGACAGTTTATGATCCGAATGACCCTCATGCGAGCCTCTATGATGTTGACGATGGTATGTGGATCGCTTCGGTTTATAGTTGTAAATACGCTGATCTTCTTCCAGACACGACTGTGATCACCCTCGCTGATTGGTATCATGCACTCGCTCCCACGATCGCCGTTGGGTATGTTCCATCTGTTTCATCAGAGTTCTTCTTTATCTCATCACGCTCATTATAGTGTGGCGGACTCGACACTGATCAACGGGTTGTACGTTTATCTTTTTTCTCTGCGTGCGATGCTGTGGCTCATTCCGCTCGAAGGGGCCGATACGGAGGAGCCGGTGGATCTTCCTCCGACCTGGCGGTTGTCTCCGTCACGCAGGGCAAACGCTACCGTTTCCGCCTGGTACGCCCTGTTCTCTGCTGTATACCGGACGCCGACAGCTAATGACTTGCAGGTCTCGATCAGCTGTGATCCAAGCTTCACGTTCCAGATTGACGGGCACAACTTCACCGTGGGTACCGCTTCACCTTTTCATCACACATATCTTGCTCATTGTAACTTTCATGTGTCCAGATCATTGAAGCCGACGGCATAAATACGCAGCCGCTCGTCGTCGACCAGCTGCAGATCTTCGCCGCCCAACGGTACTCGCTCGTCCTCTCCGCCGATCAACCCGTGGACAACTACTGGATCCGCGCGGACCCGAGCAACGGCCCGCCGACCGGGTTCGACGGCGGGATCAACAGCGCCATCTTGCGCTACGTCGGTGCCAACGAGACCGAGCCCACCACGCCTCAGGACACCGCGAAGGCGCCTCTCGTGGAGACCGACCTCGTGGTGCGTTTTCCTCTACTCCCCCGTTCGGGCCGTCGAACGTGAAAGGCTGAACGACCGCGCGGTGTTGTTAGCCTCTGGACAAACCCGGTGTGACCGGCGACGCGTCGACCCACTGCGTCGACTGCGCAGACGTCAACATCAACATGAAGCTCGACTTCGTAATGTCACGTCTCCCTCTCCTCCCTCACCCTCATTATTGATTCCGCCTCGGATGATAGAACCTGAACAACGACTTTTTGTTCGACATCAACGGCGTCAGCTTCGTCCCGCCGACGGTCCCCGTGCTGCTCCAGATCCTGAGCGGTGCACAAGACGCGACGTCGCTCCTGCCCAACGGCAGCGTGTACTCCCTGCCCAAGAACAGCTCGATCCAGATCTCGCTTCCGGCCGGTACGACCGCCCCCGCCGCAGGCGGCCCGCACCCCTTCCACTTGCACGGCGTGCGTTTTTGCCTGCCTCTCTTCTCCTCCCTTCACTCCCCGAGTCAGCCGTGGCTGATGGATTTCTTTTTTTCTTTCTTTGGCAGCACGCGTTCGACGTGATCCGCGCCGCGGGTCAGTCCGACTACAACTTCGACACCCCGCCCCGGCGAGACGTCGTCAGCACGGGCACGACCGGGGACAACGTCACCGTACGTCTCCCGCTCAAAATGCTTTCTTCCTCTCTCCCTCTTTCTCTTTCTCGTATATCTCATATCGTCGGCACGCGCTTAGATCCGGTTCTTCACGGACAACTACGGCCCCTGGTTCCTCCACTGCCACATCGACTGGCACCTCCAAGCCGGCTTCGCCGTCGTCTTTGCGGAGGACACGGGCGACGTCCCTGCGAACGTCGTGCCCCCCAGCGCTTGGGACGACCTATGCCCGACTTACGACGCGCTCACCCGTGAGCCTCTGTTCCTCCTTTCTTGTTCAATATGGTGGCCTAACGCACGTTTGCGTAGCTGATGAGCTCGGCGGTGAGACATAATAATCGGTTTCGCGTTTTCACGTTCCTTTCCGCTCGTCGTTATTATATATATATAGGGTATATATTAGGGGGACTTCGCGTTCGTCGACGCGTAACGGTGGGGGGAGGGCAGGAGTGGATTAATTTATATCCCGGTTTTTATAGCCGTTTTCGTGCATTCTCGGACTTTTTCGCTATCGTAATAACTTCGCGCGTTTATTACTTCTCATCATCTACAGCGGACATTCGCTCGGTCGGATAATATTTGAATCGATACACACATTGCTATACTCAGTTTGGCGCTCGAATTTCCATGATAGAATGGGGTTCCCTCTTTGATGTTTGGCCGGCCGCGATTTGTGATATAACGAAGATAAAGATAAAGAGAATCTCTAGGCGAGCGTCGTGATACGACGAAGATAAAGAGAACGAGAATTTCCAAGGCGAGCGGGGTGCATCCAAGACAGCCGACATCTATATACACACCACATACATAACACAAACACGCGTATATTCGCCACGGAGTCCAGCAGGGTTATATATACAATATGCATATATATATATATATACGTACACACTCCATCTTGCCCTTCGTCCTTTTGGGTCCCTTTGGCGCTTTGATTACCACTTCCACTCCTCCTCCGTTTTCACACCCGCGCCGGTGCCGGTGCCGGTGCCGGTGCTCCCGCTTCGACTCCTGCCTTCTTTCATCTCCACGTCGGAGGAGGTCGAGGGTGCGACGGGCGGCGTCATGTCGGCTAACATGTCGAGCCAGGACGTGTCCACCTCTCCTGCTCCTGCTCCTCCTGTTCCCGTTCCTCCTGCTCCTGCTCCTCCTGTTCCCGTTCCTCCGCCTGTTCCTCCTTGTGAGCCCGGATGCGTGGGCGGGACGGTGGGATGGACCGGCCACTCGAACGCCGCTCCTCCTCCTCCTCCTCCTGTAGATGTGGAGGAGGGGGAGGAGGGGGAGGAGGAGCCGGCCATCAGAGCGCGCGCGGCGGCTTGGAGGGAGGGGTTGCGGGCTAGCGCGGCGGCGAGCGCGGGGGAGGCCATGAGCGTCGCGAGAGAGCGAGGGCTGGGCGGTGGTAGGCCCCCTCCTCCATGTCCGTGTGCGTGTCCTTGTGCGTGCGATTGTGATTGTGATTGTACCGGGGGCGGGGGCGCGTGTCCGAATCCGAGGCTGGGGGGAGGGTGGAGAGCGGCTTGGGGAGGGGTGAACGAGGGGCTGCTGGATGCGGGCGAGGGGAGGTGCGGGTGCGGGTAGGGGTGAGGGTGGGGGTACGCCGCGTGGCTCTGTCCGTGTCCTCCGTGCGGCTGGGGCGGGGGGTGGGAGAAGAGCGCGGCGAGGTTGAGGTTGAGCGACATGTCGAAGGGGGCGTTCGCGTCGGTGGTCGGGGTCGAGGTCGAGGTGGAAGAGGACGGGAGGTCGGGGGAGAGAGAGGAAAAGTCGAGTCCTGTCAGGCCGAGGAGGCTCAAGTCGTCCTGTTGCTGGTGCTGCTGGTGCTGCGGATGATGATGATGGTGCGGATGGGAGTGGTGGTGTGGAAGGGGATGGGAGTGGGGCTGGTGGTGGTGCCGCGCGATGGGCGGCGGCATCGTGTTCGATCTGGGTGCGGGGAGGGGCACGGGAGGGGGGCGCGGGAGCGCGATGCCCGAGCCGGGTCTGGGCGGCGGCGCGTCGGAGCCGAGGCGGAGCCGTTTGTGGCCGCTGGCGGTGGAGGTGGCGGAGGGGACGGGCGAGGGCACGTCGGGGGCCCAGATGGCGGGGGGCGCGGAGAAGGGGGGCGGCGCGGAGGAGGACGGGGCGCTCGGGCCCGTTCCGGTGCCGGTGAGCCATTGCTGGATCTGCGCGAGTTGGGCGGCGGTCATGCCGGCCGGGACCTGCGGGGTGAAAGGGGCGCGCGTGTGTGTCAGCCGTAACGGCTTTTCGGTGGGGGATGGATGGACGGGGTCACACCTCGAGCGTCATGGGCGACTTGGTCTTGGGCGTGTTGTCTTGTCGCGCGACGAGGCGGCCGCCTTTGCCGGCGCTCTTGCGTTTGTCTTTGCCCTTCTTGGAGGACGACCTGCCCTTGCCGGAGCTCGCGTCCTCGTCGTCGCCCGAGCCGGACGACTCGTCTTCCTCCGAGTCGTTATCGGCCATCTTGGCGTCGTCGTCTGATTCGTCTTTCGGGGCGCCTGTTCCGGTCACGACGAGATGAGCGAGAGAAACGAACACAGGGAGGCGGAGAAGGTGTGGGGGGGAACAGTATGCACCTAGCCCGCCATAGTCCGCCGGCGTCTTCCGTTCGCGCTCGCCCTCGAACTCGCGGTGGCGCTTGAGGATGGCCTGCGCATCGCCGGAGCAGTACTCGTACAGGCGCGATTTCTTGTTCGGCCTGTCCTCTGTGATAAGCGCACAACCGGCGTGAGCGAACCAGGTGTGCGCGGCGGGAGAGGGGTCGGGGACGCACCGACGACGATGACGAGGACGTCGACGGTGCAGAGCACGCCGAGCTCATATCTACGTTTGACGTCAGAGACATGCGACCGTGGCTCGAGATTCGGGGAAATAACGACACATACGCCTTCTTGAACAGCCCGAAGCGGCGCTGCGAGTGTAGCGAGTCAGCTAACCCATTGAGCTTTATCCGTCGTCGTCGTCGTCACAGTCGACAGACATCACGGCACCCAACTCCGCTGCCGTACTCCCATATAGCCATCCTCTATCCCATCCGGGCCCACAGCATTGGCAAGGGGGAGACGAGAGTCCTCAAAAAAAGAATGCCAAGCCAAGCTCGACCGCCGCCGTCCCCGCCAAGCCAAGCCCCCAAGCCGAAAATAGGAACAGAGCGCGACGCCAAGCCCAAGCCGACGCACGACATACCTTTTGCAGCGTGATTCCGCGCGAGCGTTCGTTCTGGCCGCGATGTCGGATCAGGTACCGGTTCGGAAACGGCGGGGAAGGGCGGGCGACGAGGAGGGAGGGGGGGGGGGGGGAGGCGTCGTCAGTTGCGCTGGCGAGTATTTTCTGTTGCCCTCTCGAGACTACTCACGGTGATCTTGCTGATCTCGATCTTGCGGCGTCCCATCGTAACAACGCGAAGGGTTATAGCGGGCCTGCGAGCGGGGCGTGGAGGATGGAGGACACCGGGTACGGGTTTTTAGATGCGCACCCCTCCTGCTTGCTCGAGCGCGAAGGCGGCTGGGGATGCGCAGCCGCTCGCCGCCACACGGGGCTGCCCCCCGCCGGCCAATCAGCGTCGCGCCGGCGCGTTCTTTTCTCTATTCGCTCGATGCGTCGCTGCCGTGCGCCGTCAAACGCACGCTTTGGATCCGTGGCCGCAGACTATAAAGCGGCTCGAGCTGTCTGCATCTCGTGCTGGCCTTCCCCTGTCCCGTTCATTCGGGCTCTGGCTCTCTCTCTCTCTCTCTCTCTCTCTCTCTCTCTCTCTCTGGCTTGGACAACCGAACCGTACGGACTATGTATGCTCCCAGGGACAAGATGTGGGATGTACCTATTTTCGGAGACTCCCTCACTTGACCCAACAGCGAGATCGACGGCTGCGCACGCCTATAAACCCCGTGCCAGCCGTTCTCCCGCCCTTCTGACCAGTGACCATGCTACTCGCTGAGCATATCAAACATCTGCCCTCCCATTCATATTCCGATAGCCGGATTCAAAGCTCTCCACCGTCGGACGAGGCCTGGCAAGCCGCCAGATGGATGTGCTCTACGGCACGCTCTGGATTAGGGTGCCGACGGTCGCACTTCCGCTGGTACAGGAGCGTATGACCGCGCCCGAGTCGCCGTGTCGGGCGCGTCGGGCGCGTCGGGCGCATTGCATCTCGTCTCGTCAGCCAGTCGCCAAAAATGTGTACAAGCCCGACTCGGTGCCGACATCGATGTTTTAGGGAGCCGGCGGGTCGCTGAAACCGTATATGTTGCCTCGCGCGATATTTAATCAGGGCGACGCCGTCATCAGGATCTCTCTTAGCCGACACGGGTTTCCGTTGGCGGCTTGCGCTGTTAATGTAACAGATCGGTCGTATGTCTGCGCGCGTTGGATCTAGATCGAGGAAATCGTCGAGCCTTTGCGTTTCCCCCGTGTCCCTCTGTTGCGATGGAATACTTATGGAGAGCGCGATACGAGTGCACTGCACTTGAAAAATTCGAGCAAAAACGGAGAGAAAAACGCCCGAAGAGAGGACAGTAACCACAGAAAAAAAGACCGTTCGAAAGTCGACGTGGGGGGGAGGGGGTTCGAACGAGGTCAGTCGTGGATCTGCTGATGGCCTTCCACGGTGGCCGATGGGCGGTTTCGGCTGGCTTGTCGGGCGGGAATGGGGATCGAAGGGACGGTCCGGGTCGCGGTCGACGCGAGCCGTATCGGTTCCGGTGCAGGACGCGAGCGGGTTCTCGGTCAGCGGGACGACGGCGCTGACGCGGTTCAACTGCCCAAGCTGCTGAGGTCGTCGACTAGCGCGTCGAAGCGGGCGACGGGCGGAAGTCTATCGTCGATCGTTCGGACGGGGTGTGTGCGTGCGGTCATGGCGGTGACGAGGGGGCTGTATGAACAAACAATCCGCGGTGTTTTTGTGCCATGGATAGATCAAGCCTATATTTTTTGTTTGCTTGTTTTGGAGTGTGGGTTGACGCACAAACCGCCATCGGCACAGAATGGAACAGAAAGGACCGGAAGCGTTGATTTTTTTTATTTTTATGATTCTTCACCTCGAGGAAGTGCGTCTTGGCCCCGGTTGCGGGAGGAGAGGTGAGTCCACGTCGGCCGTGAACGGGACGCGAGACGCAGATTGGCTCGCTTGGTATTAGGGGCACGATGGCGTCGTCGCATTCGACGGGGTCAGGCGAGCGGGGGCCCGGCTGCGGCGTGGAAGGTCCGGGCGAAGCGGAGGTCGGTGAGATCAAGTGTTTCGTCGGGCTTCGCGCACGCGTTGGGGAGATGGTGCGCCGACGATGGGTCCAGCGTGATTTTGTCGTGCGCGCAGTTTCTTAGCGAGAGTTTCGATTAGCGACGAGATACGGGCGAACGGCGGCGGCTTACCGGTGTGTGTGGTATGATTCTTGGACATGAGATAGACGCCCTGATATACGGTTCGATTACTCTGGGGGAGAAGGCTCTCGAGGATGTATAGCGTCTCGAAGACCTGACGGAATAACGCGATGACCTCGCCGACGGAGTCCCAGGGCCAGCGCGGGTCGTCGTACTTTGCCAACAAGAGCAAGGCGACGAGCACATCGCGGTCCGAATCGAGCAGGTTGGGGTGTTCGTATAGCGGTACGACGTGATTGCGCGGGTCCTTGAGCAAGGGTGCGGTGTTGAACTCGTGCGACAACATCGACCTCGAGGTGGTCACGGCCCTGCGACGCGACTATGATGAACTATACCGTCGTTGCGGCCTGGCTTGAAGCGATCCGGAAGTTGGTTAGCCGCAGGTGAGCAGCCATTGACACAGGCTACGCCAATGCCCCTCTGCTTCCGGCAGAGCAGCTCCGAGTGCCTGTTCAGAACGTTCAAGCATGCAACGTTCGTTCGACTCAACAACTTGGCAACCACGCGCCATGCAGTAGCGGTGAATGCTAGTATGTACATCCGTATTCGCCCACGTGGAGAGAGCGTGGCTCGTGCGCTTGGTTTCGTTCGTTCAGGAGAAGAATCAGGTGCTCTATGACCCTGTACACGACTTGAGAAGGCTCGGAGTCGCGATTCTGTCAGTGAGCAGAACTTACCTGATCGAGAGCGTCTGCGCTTTATATGAGATCATATAACCGATTCACTGGACGAATGAATGGGAAAGAATATGTTTGTCATGATCAGAGGCTCATGAATCTTCCGTTTCCTACGCCATAGGACGTCTTTGGACGATCTTCGGTCAGAGGCAAGGGCATTGTGACCTCCGCAGTCGAGATCTAAGCACATGTGTGTCCGGAGGCACTTTAGCGTCAGATTTGGGCCTCAAACGCGTACATATATGAAAGTCCAAGCTGAGAGGAAAGCAGACCGTGGAAAGTGCCGAGCGCGCAGCGTGCGAAAACCCGCTCAATCCGGGCGCATCACCTGACCCGTTCCTGCGCCCACATGGTCAGAGGCCGCCTAAACGGTATATCGCCTTCAGGGCGCCCATTTCGCGGTCGTGAACGCCAGCAATATTCGCGATTCCCAACACCGACGCGCACGACGCCCGACGTATTATTGTAAAGGCATCAACGACGACGAACAGAACGACGGACGCCCGCCGGCGCAGATCTGATTAGCTTCATCCGGACCGGGCCTGGCGCATCTTCGTCGGTTCGGAGCCTGATCCACCTTAGCTCGACCAGGCTTATCAACGTCCACGCACGGCTCGATCCCGCAACCGCTCGTCAAACGCCCACACTCACACCCACTGCGCACGTCTTACACGCCCCCTTTCTCGCTTGGCGCGCACGCTCAGCGGGCCCATCTTATACGCCTCGCACCCCTTGCGACGACACCGCGAAAAGTAAATCATTCACGTTAACAACTCTTACCTCAACGATCTGAGAGAGCCTTGTATTGTCACCTTTTGCTTTATCTGTCATGCCCAGCAGCAAAGGCCGCAAACCGGCGCCCGCGTCCGTGAACGTGCCATCTATACCGCCCAGCCAATCCCAAGATTCGATGCCCACATCGCCCGCGTACTCGACCGCCGCGTCGGGCCAGCAGAGCCCGAGCGCGCCGAGCGTCATGACGGAAGACGAAGAGGACTGGGAGGACTACGTCAAAGGTGCGTGCCCCCAAATCGATCGGGGCCGATGTGCACGCGAGAGTTGACTTTGGTCGTTGGAAAATCGTTTTGAACAGGCGGGTACCACCCCGTGCACATCGGCGACAAGTTCTCGGACGGACGATACACCGTCGTGCGCAAGCTCGGATGGGGACATTTCTCGACCGTATGGCTCGCTCGTGACGAAAAGTGCGTCGCGATGTGCAATCGTCGGGGAGATCCTCTCTTCCCACCCCCCTTTCCTCCCTCAACCGCATCCATCACAAGAGATTGACGCTCCGTTGGCGTGATCCAGGATGAACCGGCATGTCGCGCTCAAGGTCGTCAAGTCCGCACCACGCTATACAGAAACCGCGTTGGACGAGATCAAGCTCTTACAGCGCTTGATACAGTCCAAGTGCGTAGATCCGCTCGTGTACGCCTTGCTAGATCTGATCCTTGCGGTCTCAGTCAACCGCCCGTCGCTCCTACACCCGAAAACCCGAACCCTGAGTGAGTGTCCTGATCCGGCCCCCCTGTGTTCGGTGTGTTCGGCTGTCCGCGTTGCGGGCGGGCGCGTCGCAAGAATCCCGGGCTATGGAGTCGTTGGTGTCGGCATCTTCCACGCTCTTCACAAAGCCCAAGCGATGAGCTCGGCGAGTCCCACAGCGGCTCTGCCAGCTGGTTTCCTCGTGTATGCGTCCAAGTATATGAGCTCTTCGACTGACGTCACCCTTCTTGTCGTGCAGGAAATCGCCATCCCAAACTCACCCTGGTAGGAGTCACGTCATCAGCTTCCTTGACCACTTCCGGCACAAAGGTATGCGCTTGGACCCTTTTTTCTTGCTGTTTTTTTTCTCTTGACAATTCATTCCGTTGTCAAAGGCCCGAATGGAACCCACGTATGCATGGTGTTCGAAGTTTTGGGCGAGAACCTGCTGGGCCTAATCAAGAGACATCAGAACAAGGTGTGTTGCAAGTGATCATCGGTTATGGGTTGATGCCGACTCTGTGGCCGCATAGGGCGTACCAAAACACCTGGTGAAGCAGATCGCGAAACAGGTGCTTCTCGGTCTCGACTACATGCACAGATGTTGCGGCGTCATCCACACAGGTTCGTGACGCCCGATCCGGTAGGACATGTCCGGAGCTCGAATAAACTCTCTCGAACAGATTTGAAGCCGGAAAACGTCCTTATCTGTATCGAGGACGTCGAGAGCATCATCTCGTCCGAAATGGCAGCCGGATCGCTCTCAGCTGCGCCACCGCCGACGAAACTCGTCGGTGTACCACCGAGCAAGGTACGATCTCGCAAGCGATTCTGCGAGGAGAACTGATGCTAACGGTATCGGCGTGTGCACAGGGTCGCGGAGGCAACCAGACGCCTCGTTCGGAGTCGGTCTACATCACGGGCTCGCAGCCGCTGCCCTCTCCCTCGTCCTCGTTCGGCAGTGGACCCAGCTCCGTTCGTCTCGTTCGTCTCCTCATCTGCGCAGCAGGGTGCTCACGCTTGCCGCTCGACGAACGCCGCAGATGCTGGACCGCTGGGCGTTCGGGATGTCCAAGATCGACAGCTCGGACACGACGAAGACGGTCAAGTCGTCGACGAGCGCGAGCAGCACGAGCGAGGTCGTGGCCGGCAAGCGCCCGGAGTCGAAGGACTCGGCGGAGGACGCGACGAAGGCGATCTCGAGCGTGAGTCTGGACGGGAAGAAGGCGGTGGTGCCTGTCAAGCCCACGGCGGGGCCGTCGTTGTTGTCGCGGCAGGCGCCGCCGGCTAATGCGAGGGAGGAGCCGAGGGCGGACGAGAGCGATCGGATGCACGAGCAGTTGGCGCATGGGCCGAGGGAACGGGAGAGGGAGAGGGCGCCTGCAGGCGAGGGCGATGTCGAGGTGAACGTCGGGTCGCCGATGTCGACGGACGCGACGAACGGGTTGATGGAGGAGATGGGCAACGAGCGGATCACGGTCAAGATCGCTGATCTGGGGAACGGTGAGTGGGGCATACGAGGACGTTTTAGGGGGTTGAGCGATGGGGCTGATGTGGTTCTGGGACACAGCGACGTGGGTGGAGCACCACTTTACCGACGATATTCAGACGCGGCAATATCGATGCCCGGAGGTCATCCTTGGCGCGAAGTGGGGCCCGAGCGCCGATATATGGAGCGTGGCCTGCTTGGTACGTCTAGAATCTTTTGTATGGCGGGGGAAATGGTTTTCATGTGAGGATCGACAGTTGTTCGAGCTCCTGACAGGAGGCGACTACCTCTTCGACCCAGCATCCGGCTCGCGTTACTCGAAGGACGACGACCACATCGCGCAGATCATGGAGCTCATGGGCGAATTTCCCAAGAGCGTCGCGTTCGCCGGCAAATACAGCCACGAGTTCTTCAACCGGAAAGGCGAGTTGTCCATCCCGGCGTGGTCGTTCGGCACGCGCGTTCCTAACTTCCCGCTAGGCGAGTTGCGGCACATACAGAAGCTGCGGTATTGGCCGCTCGACGCGGTGTTGCACGACAAGTACCTCTTCTCGCGCGAGGAGGCGGACACGATCGCGTCGTTCCTGAACCCGATGCTGCGCCTCCACCCGGACAAGCGCGCGCCGGCGGCCGAGCTCGTGCACCACCACTGGCTCGACGGCGTCGTCGTCCAGGGCGAGATCGACGTGATAAGGCGCGCGGAGGAGGAGGAGAAGGCACGCAAGGCGGGCGAGCGCGCGGCGGCGAGCCGCGATGCGGACGCGATGAAACCCGTCGGTGACGTTCCGGCCGAGCAGCAGCAGCAGGCATCGGCCGTGCCGAAGCTTTCTGTGCCGCATCCGGGAGGGGTGGGGACGGGGACGACGCAGACGGCGAACGCGAAGGAGAACGTCGTGCCGCCGAAGACGCACACGAGCGCGAGCACAGGTACGGCGCATGAAGTTAGGATGAACCCGCCGTTCCCACCAACGATTACTCCGGCAGCGTCGCCTGCGGTCACCCCTGCCGCCTCATGATGCCCCGCCGCTCGTCACGCCCCTGCGAAGACCAAGATTGTAGATAGGACGGTGATTGGGTTTTAGCTGGACGCGATGCGTGTAGAAGTATTGACTTTGCTGTCCTTCCTGTGCTACGACGTCCCTCGGCTTTTTTTTTTTTGCAACAGATACTACTGTAGAAATACCTCGCGATCTCTTGTAATGCTTGCATGTATCTCGGGCGCGCGACATTCGAATGGCAGAAAACACGCCCGGTCCTCTCACCATCGCTACACGTGATGGTATCGTCGGCGCTGACATCATCTTCTGCCTGATATTCCTAATCCTTGCCTCAGGCGGTGTCGTAGGACCGACTTTTTAGGTCGCCATATATCTCGCAGGCGACCAAAGGGCGATACATGTTACATCGCCTAAATTCCCTTCGTGCCTCTCTCTTGTCACTCTCGCGCAAGCCGTATATCCCACAGAACCTCCGCGACATGGCCACTAGCGCAGGAAACACGGAGCTCGCGACCTTTGCGGCGGGCTGCTTCTGGGGCGTCGAGCACATTTTCCTTAAGCACTACCCGATCGAGCAGAACAAGGGCATACTGAAGACGAAGGTGGGGTACACGGGCGGGTACGACGATGCGAAGAACCCGGATTATAGGCTGGTGTGCACCGGCAAGACGGGGCACGCCGAGGCGCTGAGGATCGAGTTTGATCCCAGCATTTTATCGTACGCAGAGCTTGTCGGTGAGTGATAGTACGGGAGGGCGAGATGGCCGTGGGCAGGGCTGATTGTTCCGGGATGACACCGTCAGAGTTCTTCTACCGCACCCATGATCCTACCACGGTAAACTCTCAGGGTAACGATATCGGTACCCGTACGTGCACAACGTTTTCCTCCGACTTTTTCCCGTGCTTACGGATGCTCCCGTAGAATACCGCTCTGCCATCTTCTACCACTCGCCCGAGCAAGAAGAGACCGCGAAGCGGGTCACAGCAGAAGTGCAGGCGAAGCACTTCGACACCAAGGGAAAGAAGATCGTGACCACGATCGAGCCCGCGAAGGACTGGTTCGACGCGGAGGATTACCACCAGGAGTACCTGTTCAAGAACCCTAGCGGGTACCAGTGCCCGAACCACCGTCTTTGGTGGTGAACCTTTGAAGCTCGCGGCTCGGGGTGGAACTCGGAAGGCGCGGAATCGTAACGGAGTGATGTCACAGGTCTGTACTTGTTCGAACTCTTCACTAGGAACTTGCATGTGTGTACTTTTGATGGAATGGCATTTCTCCCGCGTTTTTTGGACAGCCAGGTTGGTCTTTTTGGACGCGACCATCGAACGTCGCATTGATGGAAGGTGATGCAGACGGCGATACTTGAGTAACATCCGCTTTTCAGAAAGCCGGCACATCTCCCCTGTGATCCACCCTGCCATCCCCTGTCGCCCCCCCGAAGTGCGACGAAAGTCAAATTGACCCCATCCGCGCTCACGTGAGGACCAGGACCACGCTGCTCGGATCCGGCTGTTACGGAACGCTACCCCGCTCCATCAAACCTCCCCGCCTTCTCGCGGCTTCTCAATGCCCTTGTCCTGACCTCCTGACGCTCTGTGCGTGCCAAGAAAGTCGGAAGGCTCGTCATGTTCGCTACCCTGCATTCTCGTCGTTCTCATGGCCCACCCTGCCGCCATATTCTCGCTCACGCTAGGCGACGGAGAGTGTGATAGCGCCCCGGCAGGGCTCGGACCGCGAGCTGTCTTCGGCGCTACATAAACTGGTTGGACGAATGGCGCTGCTCTTCGACGCCTTCCCTGCCATCACCCGGTAGTTGTACTCGTCAAAGTATCGCCGAACGCCGGTACGAGCGCCGCAAGCATGGGCAAAGGAGTATGTGCCGTCTATCGTCTACGTCGCTTTGGATGAAACAACTGACGTTCGTGAATTCGTAGTACAATACGGCCATCGCGGCCAACCCCTACATCGTGGGCGGTTTCGCCTGCATCGGCGGCGGCCTGTTCGGTTTGGACATCTCGTCCATGTCCGGCGTTATCGACGTCAGTCGCAGGATGTATTTGATCTTGGACGATGGGTCTGATCGATGTGTTTTTTTTGGCTGCGTAGGCGCCGGCATATGACAAGGTGTTCAGTAAGCCGCGCGGCAATGCCCAAGGCGCCATAACGGCGTCCATGCCAGCGGGCTCGTTCATCGGCGCCCTCATCGTCACTTCACTCGCGGACAAGATCGGCCGCAAGAAGGTCGTCATCCTTTCCGGATATCTCTGGGTCATCGGCTCCATCCTCCAATGCGCGGCGCAGGTGAACACTATGTATACGTCGATTACGATTGGAATCTGACATCTTATTCGTCAGAACCGTGGCATGTTGGTCGTCGGTCGTATCATTTCAGGTCTTTGCGTTGGTCTTGCCTCTGCCGTGGTGCCGATCTACCAGTCCGAGATCACCGCACCCCACATCCGTGGACGTATGGTTTCCCTGCAACAATGGTCGATCACTTGGGGTATCCTCCTGCAGTACTTCGTTCAGTTCGGATGCTCGTATATCGATGGTGCTGCGTCCTTCCGTATCCCATGGGGTCTTCAGATGGTACTACAACCGCATCTCCTCCCAACGGCCACTATACTGACGCATGTATCCAGATCCCCGCGATCCTCCTCTCTTTCGGCATGATGTTCTTCCCCGAGTCGCCTCGCTGGCTCATCGACCACGGCCGCGAGCCCGAGGCGCTCGAGATCCTCGCGGACCTGCACGCCGGCGGGAACGCGAACGATGAACTCGTGCAGCTCGAGTACGAGGAGATCAAGTCCCAGGTGTACTTCGAGCGCACCCAGGGCGCCAAGTCGTGGACGGACCTGCTCAAGCCCGGTATCTTCCGCCGCGTCGGCCTCGGCTGCTCCCTCCAGATGTGGAGTCAGCTGTCCGGGATGAACATCATGATGTACTACATCGTCTACGTCTTCCAGGGCGCGGGCTTGACCGGTCGTCGCGGGAACCTCATCGCGTCTTCGGTGCAATACGTGCTCAACGTCGCGCTCACCGGTATGTCAATCTTCCGCAAACTCTAATCTTCTTCGATGTCTCATTGGTACTGTTTAGTTCCCGCGATCATCTACATCGACAGGTGGGGTCGTCGCCCCATGCTCCTCATCGGCACCTGCTTGATGGGCTTCTGGCTCATGCTCGTCGGCGGTCTTCAAGGACGCTTCGGCCACTGGGGCACCGTCGACAACAGCCCGGTGTGGGTCATCGACGGCCACAAATCCGTCACGCGCGCCGTGATCGTCTGCTCGTACCTCTTCGTCTGCTCGTAAGTACACATCCATCCCCTCTCCCTCTCCTTCTCCGCTCACGCCTTCTTTTCTCTGCGCCTCAGCTTTGCGATCACGATGGGCCCCGTCTCGTGGACGTACCCGGCCGAGATCTTCCCGATGCGCGTGCGCTCCAAAGCCGTCTCGCTCGCGACGGCGACCAACTGGGCGTTCAACTTCGCGCTCGCCTGGGCCGTCCCGCCCGGGCTGCAGAACATCGCGTACAAGACCTACTTTATCTTCGGCACGTTCAACTTTGCGGCGATGATCCACATCTTCTTCTGCTTCCCCGAGACGGCCGGCCGCACGCTCGAGGAGGTCGAGGAGATCTTCGACCAGGGACACGTGTTCACCGCCTGGGCGATCAAGCGCGACGTGGGGAAGAAGACGCTCGAACAAGTCAAGAACGAAGTGGTGAGCTTTTGGGTTTTTTGAATATTGGGGCGGCGAGGAGCTCACGGATTGCGTGTTCAGCGGGTGCACGACTACGAGGGCAAAGACGAAAAGGAGCCCGTCACTCCTCAATGAACAGCTTTCCAACTGTTTCGAGACGTTTCATTCATGATTACAGCTGCCGTGCTCTCAAAGCTCGGTATTGTACGAGTATATGTATCGCTATCACGACCCCCTCAATGGAAACGGAACGCATTCTGGTATCATGTCGCGGCATTGCCATATTAGGGACCCGGGAGTCGGGATGCGCACGTGGCTCTGGATCTGTTCCGTTTCCGCGACACGAGTTGACGCGAGACCAGTTGCAAGTTCCCTCCACATACACTCACTTAGTACTCCCTACACATTCGGCGCAGCTGTGCGGTGGAAAGCTTCGAAACTGGAAGCAGCACTTACGCGACGATTATGACTAATTCACGCGGATGGGGTATCTGCTCAGGCAACGTCAAGAGTCGGTTCGACGTACCTACCGAAAAAGGCGTTAATCATAACCTATGGTGGAGAGTAGATTGCATGCGGCGTCCGAAGGTAAGTTCTGCAAGCGACGTTCGATAGTGGTTGCTCTATCTTCACTGGGCTGGGTGTAGTCCGTACTTGGCGTTATATGCGTTTCTGACGGCGCCTCGGTATGATCAGAAATTGGTCAGCTGTTGCTCCCTCAACGCCTCAGGTCGCTACATGCTATGGATATGCGTGACGGTGCGCTCTCGTGCATTTTGGCTGCGTGCTTGGTTTCGTGATGGTAACGGCCAGCTCGAAGCTGGGCCCAGCCCCGCAGGTACGTGAATGTCGTTGATCTCGAGTCAGGTGCTGAAACGTATTTGGGACGAGTTCAGTGTAGCTCACGAACACTAGATGAGCTACCAGAGACTCGAAGTCAAGGACAAGTACGACCTTCCAAGAAAGACTCGCTAGCACCAAGCGCCTCACAGCGCCTGAAAAGTTTCATGCACACGAACTCGTCTCTAGAAAAGTTCAGCGATTCTCCCCGCCTGGATCGCATTCAGGCGTGCGATGCTTGCTGCAGACCCCAGCTACCCCCCTGAACTCGTTCTGCGTAATGAAGTTCGTACAACTATCCTCCATGACTCCGACGAAGAAGCTAAGAAGCAGTACTACAGTCATCACCCAGTACTCCGACTCGGGGCTGCGGATCAAGCGCCTTATAGTCACTTTAACACCATCCGGAGGTAATACCATTGAGATCCGAGTCGTAAGTTGGCTGGTGAATGACCAGTTGCTTACATGATTCGTACCCATTCGATACAGTCAGACTATCCCCGCAGCGCCTTGCTGGCGCGATGCGCTTGTTATGACGCGACACGCGTTGGGCGAGGCTTCACGGAACGAACATCAGGATGAACAATCCACGATGTTTATCAGTTACGCCGTGGTAAAGCGCGTGACATGATCCTCTCCGAGCCTGCCTGCACGAATCTCCAGTTTAGATCCCGCTGAGAGCACTTGATCGACATGCCATCGCGCATTGCGTGTTACGTATGCCTCCTCAGACCTCTGCATCACTGGTGTCAGAAGACGGGCTCCATATGGGTCTCAGGTACTACACGTATTGCCGACGCGGGGTGTGCCGACATAGCTTCAAGATAACTTTGTTGATTGAGTGCGCTCGGCGTTATCCTTTGTATCAGGTATTTCCAGCCAACGCGCCCTCACATCAGATACTTATTTCCAGCCATCGCGCTCTACGAAACAGGACCCCTGACACTGCAGCCCTCTCAACTCGCCATCGTTGTTCCTTTTATCTCCACCTGCAACGCTTCCGACGCGCGTCCAGGGCGGTCCTCGATTGATAACGCGAAGTTCACCTGCGATTCCCACACATTTCAACCGGATGTCATACCCGGGCCTTTGGTCATCAAAGGATTCAGTCCGTCGAAGGTTCGATCATTCTTCGCGCTACGAACTGCATTCCCTCCTTATAAGAGGATGGAGGTTACTCTGCTCTACATCATCAACAGCGCTGCAATCACTCTTCAACACGACTAGATGGCTTCGATCGCACTGCCTCCTCTCGATGCAGGGCTGTCGCTCCCCGGACTGCTTGATTTCCATTCGACAAAGAACGCGAATCTTCCCTTCGCGATATACTCCTCTCAAGATGCAAAGGACCCGCACGATCTAATTCGCGTAACGTTCTTCGAGTTCACGAGAGCTACGCACCGCGTTGCGCTTTCGTTGGGGCCTCGTCCTAATCATGCAAGACCCGTCATCGCACTCCTCATTCACTGCGATACTCTCTCATACACCTCCACCATCATTGGGGTGATGAGGGCGGGATATATCGTAAGTAATTCATTTCCTCTTCAATCGAAATTGTCGTTTAACATGAAACCTATCTCAAGCCATTCCCACTTTCCCCGCGCAATTCGCCACCGGCGGTAAGCTGCTCCATCCTCCTCAAGTTTCTATTTTGAACAGCTGCCAGGTTGTCAGCATGCTCAGCAAGACCGATTGCACCCGCATGGTAGTGACACGGAGTACTCTCGGGCCTCTGATAGACGTTGTCGTCGACGCGCTGAAGCAAGCAGGCCGTGAGATCGAAATAAACGAGCTACCGGCGCTAGCAGACCTGTTTCCTCACCTTGGTCACGAGACTGTCGACCAGCCTTTCAATCCTTACGAGACTTCGCCCAACCTCGCTAAAGACGATATCGCATTGTATCTGCATTCTTCAGGATCTACTGGATTTCCTAAGGTTTGTGTCAGTGTTTCGTTCGAAAAGATCCATCTTATACGGCCGGATTAGCCGATTTCCTTGACGCACGAAACGCTCACACACTGGGTCACGCATGGTGAGTGGCAACAGCGCCCGTTCTTTCGTGAACGTGATAGAGAATACCCAGAATCAGCGGCAGGGGGACGAAAAAGATCAGGCGATGTCATCTTCGGATCGATGGCTCTTCCGTCGTTTCATACTTTGGGGGTCATGATGCAAATTTGCGCCCCGCTGTCATCGGGGCGTCCTATCGCCGTGTTCCAGCCTCAAAGTCCTCCAACGATGCCTAATCCAGACAACACGCTGAAGGCCGCTAAGGCCACAGGTACAACTGCGTTGCCAACGGTTCCGGCCTTTCTGGAGGTTCGTACCATCATGCTGCGTAGGACTAGATAGATATTGATATGATCTTCCACCTAGGCATGGATTCAGTCCGAGTCCGCGCTCGAGGTCCTGCGGGCCATGGACGCAGTGGTGTGTTTGAGCGACATACGGGATGAGTATACTCGCTCACTTGCTGTAGTCCTTCACCGGAGGTCCTCTGGCCCACGATATTGGCGATCGACTGGTCCACCAAGGCGTCAAACTGACCACTGTCTACGGCGGTACAGAATTTGGCGCGCCCATCAGTTTCTTCCCTCGCCCTGACATGGACCCCTTCGAGTGGGCGTGGATTGCCTTTGACCCTACGGTAAAGCCGCGGTTTGCCCCGCAGGAGAATGGTCTATACGAGTGTCAATATCTGGTCAGTAAGATGGCATTGTTCCTGCGCGGACGTTCACTTCGGACTCGCAGACAACTGCAACTCATCGTCCTTCGGTGGAAAACCTTCCCGACGTTCGAGGCTACGCTACTTCTGATCTGTTCGAGAAGCATCCTACCAAAGAAGGACTGTGGCGAATGTAAGTCCAGTCTGTCGCGCAAGAGGGCATTATGGTGCTCATCGAAACTTCACGCAGTGTTGGGCGGACGGACGACGTCATCGTGTTGGCAACAGGTAACTTCGATCTCAAGGTCTTCAGCATCTTCTCATAAGATTGGAAGGGGAGAAAATCGTGCCGGTTCAAATCGAAGGTCTGGTGCTTGCCAGCCCTCTCGTCCAGGGGGCAGTGATGTTCGGCCGCGCAAGAGACCAAGCCGGTATTCTCCTCGAACCCAAGCCCGCCCACGCCATAGATCCGTCGGATCAGGCTGGTCTCGCAGAGTTCAGGAACGCGATCTGGTACGTATGGCAGGTATTCCGTATCGGCGTCTCTGATCATATCCCGCAGGCCCACGCTCGTCGACGCAAGCAAAGATGCCCCGGACTTTGCCAGGATATTCAAGGAGCTAATCATCGTTACACATCCCGACAAGCCGTTGCCACGCGCCGGCAAGGGAACCGTGCAGCGCAAGGCTGCCCTGGAGCTGTATTCTGCGGAAATCGACGCGCTGTACGTCGGCGTCCTGCACGGTTCATCAATAACACCGTTCACTGAACGAGTCGCAGATACGACACCGTTGCAGACTCGATGCAGCTGGACTCCATTCCGGATGCTTGGGATAAAGAGTCGATCACCGCCTGGCTCATCAAGCAAGCAGAAGCTCTCATTCCATCCACCTCGCCAGATGCAAGCTCCGATCTCTTCGTGCTCGGAATGGACAGGTACGTGTACCCTCTCTTTTACCCAGTCCTGTCCCCGTGCTGATGTCCATGGGCAGTCTCGGAGCTACCTTCCTTCGCAATCGCGTCATAGCCGCCCTGCGTGCGAGGGCGCCTCAATCTGTAGCGGGCGTGGATCAAGGCTTTGTGTACACGCACCCCGTCGTCTCCGACCTCGCCTCCGCGATCGAGTCCGTGGCGCAAAACCACCAACCCAAGGACCCGGCGGATATAGCAAAGGCGCATGTGCAGGGGATGACCTCCATGTATGAACGATACGCCGAGAAGTTGGGGTCGACATCTGTCAGGGACGCGTACTCGCAAGCGTCGGATCCGGTCACGGTGCTGGTGACGGGCACCACCGGCAGCTTGGGATCATACCTGCTTCATGCGCTGCTGAACGCCACGAACGTCGCGCGCGTGTATGCCGTCAACCGAGCCGTCCGGGGAGTAGGGTCCAGGCACCGACAGCTGGATTCGTTCAAAACGCGCGAGTTGAAGGTCGACATGGCTCAGTTGGATGCGAAGGTAGTGTTTGTCGACGGCGACACCTCCCGCGACCAACTCGGGCTCGCGAACGACTTGTATTCGGAGGTTCGTGCTTGCCCGCTAACCCAATCCCGTATCGCGCGTTGATATTCTATCTGGACTTTCATAGATCAAGTCTAGCGTGCACCTCGTCATCCATAACGCCTGGAGGCTCGATTTCAACCTCACCCTCTCGTCGTTCGAAAGCCACGTCAAGGCCACGACGAACCTCCTGCGGCTCGCCATAGAAACTAGCGCGCGGTTCGCGTTCACGTCCTCCGTCGCAGCGGGCCAGTCGTGGCAAGGGCCGGGCGATATCCCGGAAGACGCGCTCGCACCTCAATACGCAGTAGGGACCGGGTACGGCGAGAGCAAGCACGTCGCGGAGAGCGTGAGTCGGCGCTGTTCCCCGCGGGCGTATAGGCGCTGACCCGCTGCCTCGGCAGCTCGTTTTGCGCGCTAGGGTCCTCGGCTTGAGCGCGACGGTCGTGCGGGTCGGCCAGCTCTCGGGCGACAACGCCGTCGGCGTGTGGTCTACCGTGAGTTCTCCTCGAGCGCACGTTCAATCCCTGGCTGACTCGACCTCTTGCTCCCGCGCGCAGACGGACTGGTTCCCTATCCTGGTCAAATCGAGCATCTCCCTCGGGATCTTCCCGGACGTCGACGGGGTGCGCATCCGTTTCGTCGATTCGCACCACGTAACGGGAACTGTCTTGTTCTAACCTGGGGCATGCACCCTCGACAACAGGCCGTGAGCTGGGTGCCGATGGACACCGCCGCGCGAGCGCTCGCGGACGTCGCGGCGCTGAAGATCGACGCTCCGCCGGTCGTCAACCTCGCCCACCCGAAGCGGTCGCCGTGGCATGAGCTCGTGTCAGCCGTCGCCGCCGCCGTCGCGGGCGGGCAGAAGCTCGTACCGTACGCGGAGTGGCTGAGGGAAGTCGAGAAGCGCGCGAGCGACGCGGGCGAAGGAACGTTGCGGGACGTGGTGAGTATCACCTTCCCCTCTGCCAGCCGGGGCTGAGCTGACGAGCGGCCTCGTTTCGTAGCCTGCGATCAAGCTCCTCGACTTCTTCCGCGCGTTCGAGCGGGCGGGCGGAGGCTCGGAGGCGTTCGGGGTCGCGGGTATGGCCGTCGAGCGCGCGGCGAACGTCAGCCCGGCTCTCCGGGATTTGCACGCGTTGGGCAAGGAGGACGCGGAGCGATGGGTGCGCTGGTGGCGGGCTCAGGGCTTCTTGCCGGCGTAAAAGTCTGGCATGTTCGGACGCTCGTTTCGTGGAATTCCCGCTCGAAATGACGCATAGTGTTCTCTTTGGTCTTGGGAGGTGGTGGTTACAACATCTGGCTCACGGTGCTGTCGAGGTCTTGTCCTTCCGCTTTTCTGCCCCTGATGTCGCTTCCTTGGGATCCTGCCTGTAAACTCGCGTGTTTGGCAACCAAAAAAAACCATATGCCTTGCGCTCTCGTCTCACAAGCACAGTCACGAAAAGCACATCGAATAGCACAGGTAACAATACAACACACACAAAAAATCCCAACATCGACGTGAGCAAATACATCCCGATCATAACGTTAAAATCCAGACGTTTTTGGCATGGGGAAAAAAAAAATCAATACGCCTTGCCCTCGACCGACGTCCCCCCGTACCCGCCCGACCCCGACTCCTCGGTCCTCGCGATCTCCGACTCCTCGCCGTACCCAAAGCCCATCGAGTCCACCGCCGAGTGCGCAAAGTTGATCGAACCCTTGTTGTGAGGCATCTTCTTCCCGCCGCCCCTCGCCCCGGACCCGGCGTGAGAGCCCGAGTGGGTGCCCGAGTGGACGTTGTACGCGGCGGCGTCGAAGGTGGTGAGCTCGGTGGTGTCGCCCGAGCCGCGTCCGCGCTCGGCGTCGGCTTTGATGTTGAGCACGAGCCGGGCGACCATGATCGTGGGGAGGAAGATGCCCCAGGGCGCGGCGGCTTCGATGAGCGTTTCCTGTTTTCGCTCAGATATTCAGAAGACGAAAGCAAAAAAAGGGAGAGGGAGAGGGAGAGGGAGAGGAGGGAAGGGAAACACGTACGGGCGCCCAGAACCACATCGCGGCGTTCATGCCGTAGACGGCGTTAATACTATATACCATGGCGTCAAAAAAATCAGCTTGCGCGCGAGAACAGTGTCACGAGAAGCACGGGTGTGTGTGTGGGGGATGTTTTTTTTACGAACAAGAGGTAGTACATGACCGAGTCGCGCACGAGGAGGTTGGCGAGGTGCCGGCCGGAGATGCCGGTGAGGACGGAGACGGTGTCGGCGCGCCAGTTGAGGTATCCCTTGTAGACCATGAAGCCGGCGAAGGTGAGGTCGACGGCGAGGATCGGGATCCAGTAGGCCGCGAAGTATCTGTTTTTTTAAAAAAAATTGATTATTTTGTTATTGGGTTATTGGGTGAGGATTTTGGGGAGGGAGGGGCGGGGGACCGTGGAAAAAAAAAACGTACGAGGGGAGCGTGCCGGCGCAGACGACGAAGCCGGGGTCGGGCTGGGAGACGACTGGAAAGGGGGAAGAACGTGAGCGGGGGAGCGGGGGCAGCGGGGGAGCGGGAAGGGGGGGGTGGTAGAGATTACGACGCACTGGGGTGGCGGCTGAGAGAGACGGACATGAGGACGACGCTGGCGGCCCAGCCTATCGCGGCGAAGACGGAGAGGAAGAGGAGGACGGCGCGCGAGCCGGCGTACATGCCCCATATCCGGATGATCAGGATCGCTGCGGGGTGTGCGTGTCAGCTCTCGCTGCTGGGGAGAGAAGAGGGAGGAGGTGAGGTGAGGGGGGGGGGTTGGGACGCTTACCGTCGATGATGGCCAAGTTGATGAGCGCCTCGGCGGATTGCCAGATGAGGAAGCCGGCGCCTGCGTTTGGTTCACACCCGGGACCCCGGTCAGTTTTTCGGTTCGGTGACGCAAGGTCGGAGGCGACTGGGGGAGGGGGGTTTACTCACATCTGCGGGTGGAGGGGAGGGAGAACTGGTCGATGAGAGGCGACGGGGGGCGTTAGGGAGGAATGGCGAGGGTGCTTACACCTAGAGGATAGAGGAGATGAGCGATGGAGGAAGGGGAGGGAGCGGCTGCGACGTACGGATCTCGAGAGGTTCAGGCCGGTGTAGAGGAATACTGCGGTTTCGGGGTTAGAGGATGAGAGAGTATGTGTGTAAAGGGGGGGGAGCGGAGGTGTGCTTACTGCTCGGGCTGAAACTGTGGAGCGCCAAGGGTAAAGAGACCACGGATGAGCCAAGTTTTTTTTCCGAGTCCCGTTAGGAGGGGGTATGTATCTTACATGCTCTGGAGCAGCGACAGATACCGGTTCTGTGTGTGCGGGGAGGGGTAGGAGATCGATCAGGGCTATTCGGTTTTCGATGCACAAGGAGAGAGAGGAGGGGGGGGGGTCAGGCGTACCGCGATGAAGAGGTATTTGAGCAGCGACGCGGGCCGCATCTGTTGTGTGGGGGTTGGTGGGGTATTAGTGCGACTGCTGGCGCATCGACTCGACTCGTCGAGGAGAGGGGGAGGAGAGACGACTCGCCCATATGAACTCGACCTGCGCAGGAACGACGGGTTAGAACGCGATAGCTGCGAACCCCGCATATCCAAAGTAAAAAAACGCACCTCGTCCGCGAACGTTAACGCTGTTTCGAACATCTTACTCAGCTTCTACGAGAGGGAGGGGGAGGGCTGCGCTTACACATGTCGTACAAGAAGCATATCGCCAACGCGACTGCCAAGCAAGCGCGAGACAAAAGGACCGGCGTTCAGCACGCCTCCGAAAGCTCGTAAGCGAGGGAGGGGGCGGGGGGACGGGCTTACGGTAGTTGTACCGCGCCGCCTGGGTGTTCCCGACGGCCTGGTAGATCGCGTGCAGGACCGAGGGCGGGAGCTCGGGCGGGCCGGCGGGCACGGTGGCGTTGTTCATCGCTGCGTCTTGACGGTGCGTTCGCCGGGGGTGGAGGGATCTTGCGAGGAGGAGGAGGGCGGTGGTGGAGGCGCTGCACGGGGAGACGATAGGCCTCCGACTCGGGGACCTGTTAAGCAGCGCGAGGGGCGTGGATGGGGTTCCCAGGCCTCAGGGCGGCGACAGGAACGGGTCTGCGCGCGGGGCGGAGGAGCGCCCGAGATGCGGATGCGATGGCCAAGTACGGGAGCGGGGGCACACTTAACTTGGACAGGGCGGGGGGGGCTACGTTACATCTGATCGGGTCGAAGCGACTCGAGGGGCAACAGCGGTAGACCATGGGATGGGTATGTCGGTCTCGTTGATGTCGGTGAGACGGCGCGCTAATGGAGATAGGCAGCAATAGGCAGCAATGCATCAACATGATTTCGTACGGGACCCCCCTCCCGGTATTCACAAAGACCCCGGACGGCCAAATTGCAAATTGCTTCCGCCCACGCGTGCTTTAACATGCCGGTCCCTGACTCCCCCTCTCACACGTCAAAGCTACTTTTCGCTCAAGTTATCCTTGGGTTTTGGCATTTCGACCGTCGTGGCGGCCTAGGCTTCACCTCCACCTCTGGACAGATACGCCGTCGTCGTCCCATCGATATCGCCGCCCTTCGGTGACTTAACATTGATGACCCCCGACGGCCTGCATATCCACGTTCTATGTAATCTCGAGATAGGGAGCTGAGACCCGAACGGTCCCAGTAAATGTAATAATAATAATGGCGGAACGCAGCCACGATCATGAACGTTTAACCGTATGTTTTAAAAAAAAGAACGCGAAAGGCGTTACCGTCGAGCCCACGTATCAACATCAATCGAACTCGAAGTCGATGCGGGAGGGAGGGGGGGGGTGTCAACCTATCGAAGGGGTACGATCCGCCCTTCTTTTGAACCTAATCTACGTTTGCATCCCACCCTCTCCTTCTTCCAAACAACCGCAGGATCGGCATATCCCTCGCGTTTCGATACGTTTCGATACGCTTTCGCGAACCAGTGACTTACGGCGCGCACCGCACACTACCGTCGCACACACACGCGTGCGCGCGTGTCTGTTGATCCCTAGGCCCGCAATGAACCTTACGACGATCAGTAGCGGGTCGTTCCCACCCCGATACTTGCAGCCATTCTTACGCCCTGCATTTTGATTCTTAAACCCCCGAAACGCCCTTGATGCGATGATCACGCAGGACAGAACGCACCGTGACTCGTCGATAAATGGGGAACCTAGGAGGCGGGTGGGCGGTCAAGGAGGCTCGAGGCTATGCGGGTGTTCCCGACGGCGAAGAAGCGACGATATGGAGATGCTTTGCATGACGACGGAAGGGACAGACGAAAAAAACCCTAACAATCCGACGTAGAGGCAGAGAAAAAAACAAAACAGGTAGTCTTTACAATGTGTCGTTAAAACTTCCAGTCATACTCGAGTGATCGTGCCAAACGTTCTTGTTGGAACATGTCGAAATGCCCGCCAGGCACCTGGACGATATTTCGCTCCTCCACTCCAAAGTCGGCCCAGAAGTGCTCTGTATCATTTGCTGCGAGAACTCCGCACTGCGCCTTGTACACTGTGAACGGTGCCTTCAATTCCCGCATCCTCTGAGCAAGCACGTCCTTGAGCGCAGAGGCGAAGCGACCAGGATCATCCCCAACTTCGGCTCGTACTTCAGCTGGGACGGCTTCCAATAGGTACTTGACGATCATTCCGACGATACAGACGAAATTATCGTGGTACACCTGGATAGACGGGCGCACAGGCTCGCCGAGGAATGAGGAAAGGAGCTCGCCTTTCATGCGCTGGCGTGATGGTGCGCGGTCGTCTTCGTATGCTTGAAGAAGCACGTTGAAGGCATCCTTAATGTATGCAGAGCTCATCGCTCCATCCCGGAGAGTCTGTGCATCAGGAGCGCCGGGGACTTCGCAGAATATGGACGGGAAGTGATCGAGGAACGCCAGCTGCAGTACGCAATCCCCTCCTCTTTCAAACTTCCTGACCAGCTCCACCGCCATGGGCGATGTCGCGCAGAAAACGCCCAATCGATAGGGTCCCTTCGGCCGCGCAGCTTTGATCTCGCGATGATAGAACTCGACAGTTTCGTTCATGGAGCCGAATGGCGTCTCGGGGGTGGTCTGCATCATCCAGAGTGGCGTCGTGAACATGTCCTTGAGAGGGTAGAACCCTTGCCCATTCCCGCTAGTGCCATGGATCAATATGAGCGGAATCGCATCATGATCATCGGTATCCACAATCTTGATGATTGTCTCCCCACTACGATGGAAGTTCTTCCAATCGAAACCTCCGGTCTGTGGGCGCAAATTCTTGCGCGTCATGTCTTGCGCGGGGCTCGCGCTAGACAAGTTCTTCTCCTCCGTCCTCGTGCGTATGTCGTTCAAGGAGACGTCTGCTAAGAGCTGCATTTGGGTAATCTCCAAGAAGGGACGCAGGGCGGCGGATAGTCTTGCAGCAGATAGGGAATCAAGCCCGTACGAGGTCAATGGAACGGCCGGGGAAAAGTTGTCCGGCGATATGTCCAACTCGTGCATCACGAGATGATCGAGCGTCAACTCGTTGATCTCTGCACCCTCTGATGGCTCGTCAGGCGTAAGCAGGTGCTCGAACACCGGTGATCTACCGAGCCGGCCAGCCACACGATTCCAATGGAAGTCGGGGACGTACAGACCGAAAGGCCCGTCGGCGAGTCTGCGAATGCCGTCTTCAATACAATTGCAGAGTTCTATGAACCTTGTGAGTGACGATCATCATCGCAACTTGGGGTGCGAGACCGACCTCGCGCCGTGAATCCCCAATCTGAAAGGTGCCTGAGATGAGATGCATTACGAGGGTCCGCAATGGTACTATCAATGATCATAGGAGCAACCTGCAGGTGTAACTCAGAAAGCGGTCGGGGCATGATCATATAACCTACGAACCATGGCGAATGCATTTGGATATGGCTCAACAAGCCCCTCCAGAGCAACATTGGCGGCAGCGTAGTTCGTCTATCAAAATATGTCAACAGAACTTGTCTGAGCAGCTTATGGCAACTCACCTGGCCCGCACTTCCGAAAAATCCAGATACCGACGTGAAGGCGACGAACCAGTCCAAAGAGTCAATCGGAAGAGCCTCCGAAAGTACCCTGAAAGCCTCTATCTTCGACTCGTACACCGCGTCGAAGGACTCTTGCGTTTGATGGGCAAATGTACGGTCCCTCAGAACCGCTGTCAACAACATACAACCCGAAATTGGGTACGCGCAACTCTGCACTAGAGATGTCATTTCAGGGAGCGATACGGCGTCAACGGCATGGAGCTTGAGGTCTAGATCACTCAGAGACTCCATATAAGCGAGCGCTCGCAGAGAGAGCGAATCATCGCGCTTGCGCAGGCCATCGCGACCAGACCGAGATGTCATGACAATGTGTCGTGCACCATGCTAATCCACAGCTCAGTGCATCTGAAAATGCAGTGTTCGCGACGCGGAGACTCACCTCATACATCCACAGCGCTATTTGGAACCCCACACTGCCGATTCCGCCTACAAGGAGGTATGCTTTCTCATGACAAAATAGGTTGCCGACACTTGGTACCATCTCGCCCAAAGTTGGAGGGTGGGGCACGAGCGAGAGAGGGGCAGAAAGCCGATGGCGTATATTGCGTAACGAGGGAGTGCTAGATGAGAGGCGTAGAGCGTCTCCAATGTTCCAGGGCTCTCGTTCAAGATAGCTCATGAGTCCAGTCGTCGGATGATCCCAGAGAAACATCTTTCCGTTCGCGTCCAAGGCCCCGGCTAGAATATCTATGTCGGCGGGACTATTGTAGCCGCTTAAAATGAAGCTAGCACCAGTGCCAGTGTAAACGCTCAAGTCGTATATGGATACCGTGCTGGCTATGGCGGTGACATCAAGACACAGGGCATGCAGTATTTTCACAAGGTCGCGACCGAGGTTGCGATCTGCATGAGTGACGATGATCCGTCGTCTCCGTAGTCTTTCAGGGTGTATGATCGCACTGATGCCCATGGAGATAGCGATGATAGCGATGGCGGTCAGCGGCGGAGCGCTCTCACTATATTCGGGGTCGGAAGGTAAAGGCGAGAGCGAATCCGGGTGAGACATGATGAAGTTGGCAATCGGTCCTCCGGTGATGCCCATTACGGCATCGTTAGACTCCGCGGTATGCCCCAGAAAGATGAACAGAGAATCGGAGCACTGACGGAAGCCAGATACTTTGATCGAGACACGGACGTCCTTGCTCGATGTGGGGGGTGACGATGTATGGCATACGCCGCCGTCTCCGAGTATCCATGGTTTCTCTGGACAGAAGGGTACGCGAGAGCTGGGTGGTGAAAGACTTCGAAGCCTAGGTACGCAGACCTTGCCTTCGGGGCTCACGAGGATTTCATCCTCTGCATCATTCCACGAAGACAGTTCTCGGGCGATGCCAACATGATCGCTCTTCGACCAGAAGCGATCAAACACCGCCAGCTTGACCCGCCATGCTGGATATTCGCGCCTAATGGACCTTGTGAAGCCTCGTGCGGCCTGTCCATCGATGCCTTCCTCCGCCGTGAACCATGCTGCAATGTCGGAGAGCGGGTCGAGTTCAGCGATTCGGCGTTGTAGATCTATCTCGCGTCCTTGTTGATACGGAAAGTGACGGAACGAGGCACTGTCCGCAGGCGTGGTAACTTGGCATGAGACGTCCGTGGGAGATGTTCTAGTCACCGTTTTTTCCGTGGTTTCGTATGCCAGGGTGTGTCTTTTCTCGATAGTCGCGTTCGCTGAGGGGTCGCCATGGCGAGCTACCTCAAGTCCGGCAATACTTAGCAGTTTTGTGCCTTCAGGACCCGACAGAACGCAGTCATATACCATCGTCGCTATACGCCATCGTCAGCATGATGGGTAACTCGATCAGGGAAAGCACGTCGCACTCGGTGTCCATGATCGTTGGATGATATGCACGTATATCAACTCCGGTGAGGAGCAGCTGAGATAAGCGTCGTGTATGATCACAGATTTGACCTTGGATGGAAGATAGTAGACTCTCTTGTCCGTACAACCGGTGAGTCGAGGATGAACGGTCGCGTGAATGGCAGCGTCTAGAATGGCCGGATGCAATACGTATCGTGGGGATCTATTCGACGATTATTGCACTGGAGAAACCGAATGAAACGCAACACATACTCTCTCAGCTCGGCATCCATGCCACGTACGCCTATCAACGCTTCATCCCGTATCCCGTCAGATCCCTGGCGTATGGAGACAATTCGCTGGTACTGATGCCCATACCCGGCAAAATGTGCCATGGTCGGGTAGAACACTGATCTGCGGTGTCAATCTTGAGTAGCAAGAATGCACGAGGATAACGTACTCGTCGCGTCCACGGCTTTACTGCGACTCCGAACGGCTTCCAGGTCGACCGAAGCCGGTGCACGTTCCTCCTCCGAGACATCTAAGGTGAGAAAACCTGTCGCATGTAACCGGTCGAACTGTTGTCCGTTATCCTTGTCAGCGCGACCGCGACTACGGGAAACAAGTTCGCGTCACCTTCGGCGGCCACGAAAGGGATTCAGAGCTTGAAGACGATCTGACTGTCCATCGATTCCCGACAAGAGTCACATCAATGGGGACCGGACGCGGCGAAGACAGAGCGATTATGGACAGGAAATCGACGTCCCAGATTTTCCGGGCGCCGAACTCGAGAGCCTTATTTCCCCATATGTAGTGAGCTACGTGCCAATGAGTCACAACACAGACTGACCATTTCAAGGTAACCCGCAGCAGGCATGATAGGCTCTCCCTTGATGATATGCTGCGCGAGATCCGGGTGGGTAAGACCATTAACACGCAACTGTGGATAATTCAGCGGCCCTCGTCTTCGCTGCAGATACCGCGAGGTCTCATGTGAGGGTGTGTAATAAGCAATCTGCTTCGGAGCTAGGGGATAAGGTGGTAGACTTCTAGATGGCTTGATGTTGGGTCCAACGAGCCTTGCATAGTCAATGGAGTTGCAGCCAGCAACGGCCAACTTGCCGAGTGCGGTGAGCATCGTATGAACTTCAACCTCAGCTTCTTGCTTCTTAGGGTTTGCTCGACGCATAGGGCACACGACGAGGCTCTTCTTCCCGCCAATTTCGGACAGGTAACCGGATAGTACCGGATGCGGACCTAACTCCACAAACATCACCTCCCCTTTCTCTTCGATAACGGTAGAAATCGCGTCTCGAAATCTAACAGGCCCACGAGTGTTCGCCCAGAAGTAGTCGGCATCCAACTTGGATTGCAAAAGGCCGCCAGACTCGCAGGAGAAGACCGGTATGGACGAGTCATGTAAAGCATGACCCGATAATGCGTCGCTGACTAGCCTTGTATAGTCCTTCTGTACAAGTTTCATCATAGATGAATGGACCGGTACCCGCGTTCGCAGTGTCCTCGCGAAAATACCAGCAGCCGACGCGATCTCTACAGCCCGCTCGACGTGCGACCTGATTCCGGAGAGTGTAATGGCTTTGTCAGCGTTGTAGCACGCTATTTCCAGGCAGCCTGGACCCAAATCGACTGCAACGTCTTGGATGATACGTTCTGCCTCCTGTACGTTGCAGCTCAAAGCAGCCATGGTTCCTTGACAGGCCTCGAGACTGCTGAGAGACCGACCGCGAGCAATGGACAGCTGGATCGCAGCCGCCTTGGATCCGGCACCCGACGCGTATAGCACTGCCGTTTCTCCCGCGGAATGTCCAACGACAGCATCAGGCTTGATGCCAAGGTCAACCAGGGTATCAAAGAGGGCAAGTTGGACGATGGTCAATGCTGGCAAGGTGAGTGCGATGGGCCATGTCTCGTCAAGACTCTCGGCCGTCCGGACATCGTCGAAAAGGCCGTAGCAGCTGATCAACGAGACGCCTGTGATCTTTTGGTAGATGTCATCGCATTCTAAGACGCTTTCACGGAACACCTGGCAAGTCCGAAAGAGCTGTCGCCCCACTGTCGAGCGCATTCAATATGGACACTGCAAAGATAAGAGAACCTATGCCGCTTACTGTCGATATGCTGTGGTCCCTGTCCTGAGAACACAAATACAATAGGGTGTTTGGTTTTCGTTGCGAGCGCCGGATCGCTGAAGCGTATGTCCTTCCCAGCATCAACTACTGCGAACGATCGCCAGGTCATCGATCTCGCACGTCGCCCATATGCTAACGCCAGCGAGGGAACTTCTGTTTGATGTATGTCCTTGTCGCATATTGTGTTTATAATATCTGCGGTTGATCGTGGAGATAGTCCGCCTACCACCAGTAGATGGGTGGATGGCACCATTTCTGCTGTCCAGAAAGGAGATCCCTTCCGCGAATAACGTTCCAGAGGGCTTGGAGGGCTTTCGACGACACAATGACCGTTAGCTCCACCAATTCCGGAACTTGTCATAGCAACCAGCGAACGTCCAGATGAAGAGCGACAGGGAAGCGGTGTGAGCTTAGTGGGCGCTCGGAGACGATACTGCTCCCACTTGATCGCAGGGTTTGGTGTATTAAGGTTAATTGTGGGTGGTATGAGCCCTGTTTCAAAAATTCCGCAGACCTTGACAAGTGACGCGAGGAACGCAGCTATCTCTAAGTGACTACAATACCGTGCGTCAGCATTTCTACAATGTTTCACTGACAGCAATATTTCTCACCCGATGTTCCCCTTCACACTTCCTATGAGCAGATCGTCGTCCCTTTTGAAAGCCGAACCAATCCAGTTCGCTTCGGTCGGGTCCCCACGAGCGGTACCAGTGGCATGAAGCTCTATGAAGTCAACTTCGTCGGGCCTTCGTGAGGCCTCCCTGAAAGCGCGAACCATCGCTTCCTCCTGTGCGGACGCCACAGGCGCGTTCACGGGTGCTAATGCTCCAGACGAGTTGACACCTGTACCCAGGATCTGTAATAAATGCGTCAATGTTGCCGCATGGTCCAGAATGACAAGAACTTACTGTTCCGTATATATGATCACCGTCCTGTATAGCCTGTCCTATCGGCTTCAAAACAACCACAACGGCTCCCTCTCCACGAGAAAAACTGCGTATATGAGCACAATGTATCCCGTGCAGGTGTGTACACTCGGCTCACCCATCTGCAGAAGAGTCGAAGGGCTTGCATCTACCGTCGGCAGAGAGGATACCACCCTGGGTGTAATTGAGCCAATCCACAAATCTGATCCGGATGTTAATGTGATACATGCTACTCGTGTATATGAACCTGACCTCGAATTAATTTGAGCGCCTCCGACGATAGCAGCTTTGCATTCCCCTTGCTTCAGAGCTTGAACCGCGAGGTGTGTAGCGACGAGGCTAGAGCTACATGCCTGCATACGGATGGATGAATGGAAAGACATTCGTTGTATATGATAGGTAATGTACCGTATCTACGGGAATTGACGGTCCGCGTAAATCCAAATGGTAGCTTATACGGTTTGCTATCATTGCCGGCAGGCATGCAAAGGAACCTTGCGCTTCTGACTCATCCTGAGGATATATTAACAGAAGTCCTTATTCAAGGTTTCGGAGGGTTCACTGACCTGACCGGATATCGTGTGGATATCGTGGGAGATCCCGGACATATAACATCCCACATTCTGACCACGGTAATCGATCCCAGAGTCTACTAGGCTTAGAAATGACTGACATATATAGAAGTCATCAGTACACTGTCATGAGATAATCCCTCAATAATCACTAACCAGTTCCAACAATTTACGGGTGCTCAATGCCATGGCGCGGGCATCCTTGGTGGTCAAGCCGAACTCCATATAATCGAACCAGTCCAGATGCTTAACAAACGTTCCATAACGAGGGAGTACGTGGCCTATACTACGACCTTGTAGGCTGTAAGGAGTGATGAGCGTAGTTCATTGCCCGGAAATGTTTACTTACGACTGTATATCGAAGCGATCATGGGGGATCGTCTCATACGACTCCCCGCCGTTGAGTAGAAAGGATATGAAGGAAGAATAGTCGAAGTTGGTGTTCTTGCACGTTCCACTCGGTAGCTCCACGGCGATCCCGACCTATCTGGGTAGTCAGGAACATTCCGACGTAGCCTTAGTAGACGCTGCGTACGATAGCAATACCGGTCATGGGATATATGCCGTAGTATCGCAGTAAAAGTGCAGGATGGTTGGCAATTATTAGTGGCCTTGGATCGTCTTTTATAGCGAAAGTGAAGACCCTCAAAACTGAACAAAAGCCCCGGGCGGAGCAATATGATGATGCCGTGGAATAGAATGCGGCTCAATCACGTCGAGACTTAATCCGGGTGTCCAGCAAGATGTCTGAGGAATAGCGAAGACTGATGGTTCATTGGTCAGGCATTGTATCGCGATGGTTGTGCCATCGTGGCGTGCGAAGCATACTGATATACCCCCAACAGAGTTCCCGAGGAAACGGCTGATATGGTCCACTCTATTTGTTGAAAATAGGGCTCTCCGGCTCACACGCCGCACATGCTGTTAGATAGAATGATTGATAGAAGAAGCTAGCCTGCGCATGTCTACGGGTTAAAGCCATCATGATGACTTCACATGCGTGGAAGAATGTCTGGCTTATTGTGGCAAGCCCGGACTCTCCGGAAGGAAGGTAAACGACCACTGGAACAGCCATCTGTGAACACACTTGTCGAATTTAGATAAGATTCTTGTGGGCATGTTTGTTCCCATATACATTTCTGTTCCCCTATACACACCGGCGGCCGTACCTCGAGAAATCACTCCCGGGCATGATGAGCCCGTGATTCTTCCGTGCATATACACGATGTAAAATGCAATTCTCCCATAAGACACTGTCAAATAATTTTCTCTCCCCGACAATAACTCGTATACTGCTAACTGGGATCATTCCAATACCATTTCGAATGTATATAAATGGTACACTACGCAGAGTTCCACGCTCGTACTGGCTTTAAAGCGGAGTACGAAAAAGATGTCGCTCCAGACAGTTCACCGAGGAACTAATGTTCATTCCGATGTGCAAACTTGAAAACAGGAGATGCATCACGTACATGCTCCGCCGCATCTTCGAGATCGGGGATCAAGGCTCTCTGAGAAGCGATGTCGTGCCTTTTACATGATCCGTCTGCGTCATATTGAGCACCGACTCCTGGACTGAGTTCTTCCGCCCAAAAACGTCATCCTGCGTTACCGTGAACTCTTGCTCTCGCGTGATGCGCACATGCATAGGAATCGAGTTCTTCTGGATGCTGTCAGGATCCCCGGCTGAGTTACCACCTGTGAAGCGGCTGAACGCTTTCCCCAGCCCCACACGGAGGGTGATGAGACTGAAAGAGATACCCGTCGTTGGTGATGCCTGCGTATCAAATGTCAAGGCGCTAACTCAGAGACCCTAACTCAGAGACGAGCTCTCGATAAGCTGGGAACTCACGATTGCAAGGATGGTAAAGTGAACGGTATGACGAGAAAGAAGCGTGATCATTGTGGCGGCGTTGACGAGGCTAAAGAGAGAAAGAGTTAGATGATCGATTGTCGCAAGATCCGTGCGACCGTAGAGAGTACCAGTAAATTCCAGCACTTTCAACCGTGATCATTATGATGGACTGTATATGACCAGGAATAAGTAGTAGTATATCTCCATAAAAATAGCCGTTACCGATAGGCTTCCCACTCCAGCACCTGCGTTGGAAAATGCTTTGTCTCGGCGCGAAATACGGTATGCTATGAGAACTAGACGTAAGGTTGCCTTGAGTATCTTATTAGCTTGCAAGTGGAAAGATGGAGTCGCACCAACTGCAAACAAGTTCGTTCTTGATGAAACACAGTCTTTAGAAATTACGGGGCACGCTTATTCGTTATAGAATGCATCACGTACGACAGACTGAGCGTGAAACAAGAGGTAATCCACCTCAATATAGGCGCACATGTCAGCAGAGTAATAAAAGGCACATGTGATTAACGCGCACTTTGCAAGTGTCAGGTCCCAGAGATCAACGTACGGGGGTGCACGCGCGAAGCCAACACACAATGCAACACCCGTAACTAAACCATGTGTCAGCATACACATGGCGTACATGTTGCAAGAGCGAGCATCCTACCAACGGTACCAATCTCAGTGAGCGCAGGGAGAACAATAACCATCCAGTTGTTGTTCCAAATGACATATAGACGGTAAAGCTGTGGAGAATAGGTCAGCTTCCGAATGTTTACACCACTACCCATCGTTACTAACGAGCAAAGAATCCAATACTGGGTGAACATCAGTGAGGACTCGTAGTAACCAATCGCAAATTTCGTACCAATCATTTCCGAAACAAAGAAAACAATCCGAACTACATTTCTAGGATCCCGCAGCAATGCGTAAAAGAGATCCGGACCATCTTTGTCGGGCTGGTGAACAACGAATGCCTGCCATAGCCTTGCTTGATCGAGAATCCAGTGCTGTAAATTGTTTGCGCGATATCAGACTGAGGCCATGGTGGCGCACATAAAGTCCTTACGGCGGTTACAAAGAAAAACAAAACAATCCCGCCTAGCAGTAGGATGCTATTGATTGACGAACGGCGGCCTCGTGCTACCGCTTTTCCATGAATCAACAGGACGTATAGCGTGAACGGGAATAGAACAATGTACACCCCTAATAAGTGCCGATTAGATTTGTTTTGTAGTGGCTGATTGCACATACCGAACACTATAGTTTCAACTTGCGCCCCTATAAGTTCCGCCTGAGACAACGTGTATGGCATCTGGAAGGAGAGATCGATATGAGAGTGAACACCGACAAGAAGATGTATCTTTGTTATATCTAGGAGTCGCCTTTTCGCTTCAGGGGTGTTTCTCAACCTGATCAGCATGCCCATCCATCATGGTTACGCGCGTGTTCTTTAATCAGAGAGGTCATGAGAATGCTGGACTGCATCGATCTCGCTGCTTCTCCTGAGATAAGGGCAATGAATATACCTACTATGATGAAACGTTCTCATCCGATGGCATAACAGTCAAATACCTCGGAGAAACACATGACACAAACACATACATATGAGTGCGGAAAACTATTCTTGATTGTTGTACCGCTGAGTATGGCATGCTGTTTACTTCGATTTCTAGTGATGGACTAGAATAACTCGGGGTGTGAATTAGTTCCACGATGTCTAGACTCACCGGCCTCTTCTTGCATCATCCCCTAGCTCTCAACCTTGGCACTTCAGTTGCATCGCGAAGGAAGCATAGTGGACATTCAATGTGCTTCGTGATGCGCTCATTTGCTCTGAGTCGCCAGTCGGAAGTTGTAGGCCATCGCCGCCGACTGTAGTAGAAACCATGTCATCGTGGCGTGAGATGATGTGCAGCCGCGATGGGGAACGCTGTCGCCAAGCCGCTCCTCCGTGCGCTGAACGTTCCCGAAGATCAAACAGGGAAATAGAATGCTGATAATGACTCACACCACGCGACTGCGATTCACACCAGAAGTTCCCAACCAATCTGAATCACCGACGCACTGCCCGCCGGTGATCATGGATCATGGATCAGGTCAGAAATAGTAGTGCTCCTCGACAATTCCGACCATCTATGTCAATGACGCGTGACAACAGCTCCTTGTCTCGCTGTAAGGAAGTGATGAGATGATATCGCCTGTCCATGCAGGGGAATGCAAGTTTCGGTAAGGAACATTCAACGCGGACGCGAAAGTTCGCTTCGGGCTTTTGTCATGACGCGAGCATCAGATACTCCCGAAGTATGCGATTCTATACACGCCATGAACCCTTCTCTCGGGAGACCAGAAACCGTGTAGCCCCCAATAACCCCGACGCCCCAAAAAACATCATCTACATCCGCATGAACGTCAAGTCAGTCGACGTGACAGTCTTACTCACTGCAGAGAATAAGGCCGGTCTGAACCATTTGTTTCCGGCAACCAGAGCACCATCGATAGGTGTGCCTGCCAGGGTCCCGAAGGAAGTGTATCCAAATGTGAGAGCCATCCGGAGTCTGCATGACTGGGTCAGTGAAATTCACCTTAGCTTTCTTAGAGACAATCATACCCTAGCTCCGATGGACGCCGTGACAGAGTGGCCGGAACGGGTCCCAATAGAGCAAAGACTGCGTAGACCATTACAACGAGCCAGTAGCTCATATGTGCAGATACGCACATGCTCCAGATGATAGCCCAAATAGAACGGAAACGATGATAGCCGTCTCCGCGGTCTTCACATTCAGCATAATCAATGTCAGTGCGCCGCCTAAGAGACACGAGGGTGTTATAACGTTGAGCACCCCAAACCGGTCAGCTAATATGCCGGAGATGATACGTCCTGGGATGGATACACCATTTAAGATAGCGATCTAGCACAGTATGAGAACATTTTGCCACGCGTGCGCGAGGCGAAACCTACCGTATAGAATGCCAGGTCTTTGCTAACACCATGCAAGATTTCAGTAGCTTGTAGATAGAAATCTGCGCCGGTCAGCAATCGCAGTGACCAATGGGAGTGCAACGGCACTTACATGGGAAGTATACTCCCATCAGACCTAGAAGAAGGCTGTCAACGTATTAGCCGCTGCAATAGACATTGTATTGCTAGGGAACTCACCCCGTGATTCCCAGAATGAATGGTCGATCGCAAATAACCTCTCCCAAAGCCACCTTATCGTCAAAGTCGCGCGGATGAGCAGGCCCGGAACTCATCAAGGTATTTGCAGCAAGTAGCATCCCGAGTATGATGAAGGCGGAAGTGCGCACACCCCACGCAAATCCAACCTGACCGTTCATCAGTCGGTTCAGCAAGATTGAAAAGACGATTGAACCCGTGGATGTGCCTGCTGTCGATGTCAGTCTCGTGGTATTGGTGATACTGATGCATGCTAACCCGTCATGACGGTTCCCATTGCCAGCGCGCGGTGAGATTTCCAGTGATGTGCTTGGACGGTGAGTGCAGGCATATAAATAAGCCCGGCGCTACAAAGCATGTGAGCGTACAGCTTGAGACAAGATAAACGAACTCACCCGATTCCCATACCTACTCCCTGCGATAAAATAACTTGATAGTAGCTATGCGGGCTCGCAAGTGATAACATGAACGCTCTGAAAACAGTATCACCGAAATGAATCACATCATTTGTCGTTGAGCTCACGATATGATGTAGAGTACCGAGCCCGCGAAAACGACCTGTTTGAAGTAACCTCGCTCTAAAAGGCGCCCTGCAGGAAGCCCCATTGCGACGAGAAAGAATAGCTGCAGTGAGCCTATCCAGCTAATATCGGATGACGTCGATAATGCTGAGCGTTGATAGAAGTCTTGGTACACTCCGAAAGCATTAGCATAGCCAAACGTTGCGAACAAGGCACACCATCTAGACAACCAGTGATATCAGCTCTTATGCTGAAACGAAGGCTAGCGCGCATTGACGTACCCACCAATCAAGGTGCACAAAGCTTTGAATCGGACGCTTCGAGGTAACTTGGGCTCGTCTGCTACCGCCATTTCGATATTAGCCCCAGAAACATCTTGCTCCGCCTTCTCAGGCATAGCTGCGAGTTTGTTCTTGGTATTGTGTGTTGTATGTTGCGTCTGACGGGTAGCAAAGCACGGACAGGCAGTGCTTGGGGAGAGTATGCAACTTAGCGAGGCTAGTGTCCAGTGTGATTACCCGCCAGAGTCTGCATGGTGAGCAGTCCGATGCGATGAGATCCCATATGTCCGTCCAGACTCAGTTGATTCAGTTGATGTGGATATGAATAGACCCAGGCATCGGTTGCACTTGGCATGAGGGAGTATCCGATGCTCGCGTCATGACAAAAGCCCGAAGCGAACTTTCGCGTCCGCGTTGAATGTTCCTTACCGAAACTTGCATTCCCCTGCATGGACAGGCGATATCATCTCATCGCTTCCTTACAGCGAGACAAGGAGCTGTTGTCACATGTCATTGACATAGATGGTCGGAATTTGCCGAGGAGCACTACCATTTCTGACCTGATCCATGATCGATGATCACCGGCGGGTAGGTAGGTAGGTAGGTATATTTCCGGCGCGGTCCCAATAGCGGAACAACCGGTTGCCGCACCGCACGTCAATACGCACGGCTTGGCGCACACAGTGCATCCACGGCCCCCGTGAGCTGTTATACAGCCGACACGCCGCTTCAGCACCGGGTGCGTCGGTGATTCAGATTGGTTGGGAACTTCTGGTGTGAATGGCAGTCGCGTGGTGTGAGTCATTATGAGCGCTTCAACGCAATTGAACGGGATCTATTCAAGTTTGGTCGGACCCTTCGGTGCAAGTATACGATAGTAAATATAACCTACATTCCGCAGGCAACGCCGTATGACAAAGCGTGTCTTACTTACATCAATATGCCGATATTCCCGGAAATAGCTAATCTCTTCTGCATCATGCAGGAATGTGAAGCGCTGCAAAACCGGAAGTCAACCTCGCCGGCGCTCTCACTTCCATCAGGGTCCAGGCGGTTCGGGCACAGCCTGACATGAGGACAGCATTCTATTTCCCTGTTTGATCTGCTTGCGCCGTGCAGGTCGAGTATCTATAGTCGATGGCAGGAAGGTCACAAAGAAGTGAGTTGACTCGCCAGTATTCAAGTCCGCGGAGAGACCTAAGCGAGGCCTTATCCCCCAAAGATGCCCCCTCTTGTCTCCCTACCGCAAGCGCATGCGCTCACTTCGAACACGTTCAGGATCCCCCCGCTCGATGGCTCTCTTACCGTGCCGGAAATCTTTGACTGGCACCTCGATCACAACCCGGATCATGTCCTATGGTACTACTCCGACGCGGATGCGGTGGATCATTGTGGAGTTATCACCATGAAGCACGGCGTATACGCCATCCACCGTGCAGCTCGTCTGTTCACGGCTCGTCTGACGCGGATGAACCTCCATCCTGCTACACATGACCCTCCGGTTATTGCTATTTTTGCTGCCACAGGTAAGCCAGTTGCCGCGACGGTGGATCTTGTCTAATTCGGCGTTGAATAGATACCATCACCTATTTTCATACGTGGCAAGGCCTCATACGTGCGGGGTATGCTGTCTGCCACATTTCTCATCGCAACTCGTCGGTGGCTCTGGCCCATATACTACAGAAAAGCAACGCGGACCATCTCTTGATATCCGGAGAACCAGGAATACAAGCTGTGGTCCGTGCGGCTCTCGAAGGCATGGCAGACAAGGAGAAGCAATGGGACAATTTCGTTTCGGACATGCCCATCTTCGCGGATATATTCAAGAATGACGAACCGGATTTGATGTCGAAACGCGATTTCAACCTCAATTCGAGAGCATACTACATCCACTCGTCGGGTAGGTTAGGCGATATCACGGATAAAACTTCGTACTTACTCCGCTTTTCGTAGGCACGACGGCGTTTCCGAAGCCGATCTCGTGGACTCACAAGGACTATCTGATTTTTGCGTATAGCATACGTGAGTGTCCAATTGAGGACCGCCACATCCCAATTCATTAATGTAATCATGGTTAGTTTTGTCCGAACATGATTTTTGTCACCAGGTCCTAGCGTGCCACTCTATCCCGATGTTTCATGGACTAGGTATATTGACTACTCTCTTTGCGGTAAGGGTTCTCGGGAACTCCGTATACGTTCATGGCTGACTTGCGTGTCATGGCTAGACGTGCTGCGGAATGACACTGTCCGCATTCAAACCCCAGTTCCCCGCTATCACCATGGCACCCGACTCTATATTTGAAAGCGCTATGCAGACAGGTTCGACATACATCTTCAGTGTTCCGCTGTTCATCGAGGTGGACATGACAGCGCTCTACTATCCTTTTTTAATCTAAACGGCCTCTGTGCAGATATGGTCGCGCGATCCTGTAAAGGTTGCCGCACTGAGCAAGATCAACGGCGTGGTGTGTTGTCAAATGCCTCGTTGATGACCGCGTTCCAATATCAGCTGTCAGCTCTACGGTGGAGGCCCACTGAACAAGGCCGTCGGTGATTTTCTGACAGACCACGGGGTGAACATCTACATTACCTACGGAGCCAGCGAGAATGGCATGAAGGCGCCTATTCTGCCCGGTGAGCGTCGCGGCAGATATGTCCATTGCAATCTACTAACGGTTCCATCAGTACCTCCCGGGAAAGACTGGGAGTACTTCCAGATCACCCGCACATATCATCCTGAGTTTGTACCGTACGGGGACGGTACGTACGAACTTATCATGGTGGTCAGTAGCAACATGACGCTCGTTCCCGCGATTTGCTGACCTTGTACAGAAATGTGAAACGCATTCACCACTGGTCTTCAACATGACCTGGAACGGCGCTCAAGCATATGCAACAAGCGACCTCCTCGTCCCGCATCCCACGAAGGAGGGTTATTGGAAGGTATATGGAAGGACCGACGATCAAATCATGCTGTCAACGGGCGAGAAGGTGAATGCCGGATTTTTGTCCCCGTCCTCTTTTTACTGATGAAATCATCTTTATAGACGAACCCGGGCCCGCTAGGTACAATACTCACCGTGTTCCACTCTGCACTGTGCTGATTCTTGTTCGATGTGTGCAGAGAGTATACTATGCCAAGATCCTCGCGTCCAGGCTGCTGTCATGTTCGGGCGCGGCCGGTTCCAAAACGGCGTGATCGTACAGCCCAAAGTAGATTACGTCTTCGATCCATCCGACGAAGCCAAATTAGCCGAGTTCCGAAACTCGATATGGTCTACTGTTGAACGCATGAACGAGTATGCGCCTCAACATTCTCGCCTGTTCAAAGAGGTAAGTTTTACAACACGTAGTAACGTACCGTATCCTGACTCATCCCCTTCCGTCCATAAAGATGATTTTGGTGGCATCGCCAACGAAGCCGTTCCAGTACACCGCCAAAGGGTCGACGCGTCGCCAAGCTATCCTCAAGGACTATGAGAGCGAGATAGAAGCCCTCTATCAGGCTGTGGCCGAAACGGCTCAGGAAGGCATAGACGCACCTAAGGATTGGGATATGTCTACTGTACTCGAGTTCGTTAGGAGGACTGTTCACGGTGTTATGAAGGCTCACGTGCGCGACGAAGATGACCTATTTGAATATGGATGTGATAGGTATGTATTGCTTTCGTATAGACAAGTAGCAGAAGCTCAACGCAACGTGTAGCTTGCAAGCGACTTGGATCCGGAACACTTTGGTGCGCGCGCTTCGCGATTCGGCCGTAGCGCCGCGTGCGATCCCAGCGGACTTGGTGTACATGTCCCCGACGATAGCCTCGCTGGCCAGATTCATCACCCAGAATGACCACCTGATCAATCGCGCCAATGATGAGGCGCAAAAAGCTGGCGACATGCTCGCACTGCTAGAGAAATACTGCGGTGATTTCCCTTCACGCCCAGGCCATGCAAAGTTATCGCCCGCGTTAGACAGACATGTGATCCTCGTCACTGGTACGACCGGTGGACTCGGTGCTAGCGTACTTGCGGAGTTGGTGTCGTTACCCAACGTCCGCAAGGTCTACGCGCTCAATCGACCTTCTTCGAAGGGTAAAGCAATAGAAGCACGCCAGAAGGTCGCTCTCGCAGCACGCGGATTAGACGAAGGCCTCGTTGACTCGGAGAAGGTCGTGCTCATCGAAGGCAACCTGGCAAGTCCTAGCTTAGGACTGGAGAGTGCATTGTTGGACGAGGTACGTCGGTTACATTCCCTGAAATCTTGCTCCTACTCATGATGCCACGGACTAGATCCGGAGCACTCTGACGACAATCATCCACATAGGTATGATCGTTACCCCTGTAGCAGATTCCGAATATTCTGACATGGTATGTAGCATACCGCGTGGACTTCAATTTGTCACTGGCCTCGTTCGAGCCTCAACTAGCCATCATCCGCTCCCTCATAGATTTCGCGATCTCTTCGCCGCGTCCGACACCGCCGTCGATCGTATTTACTAGCAGTGTCTCTGTCCTGCGAAGTACGTGACACTTAATTAGTTGATCGAAGTATATATTGACCAAGCACTCACAGATTTGAAGTTGACATCGCCAGCGAAGGAGGATGCCCTCAACGACCCGAAGGTCGCGATTGGGAACGGTTACTCGGAGTCCAAATGGATATCGGAGAGGATTCTGGCGAATGCTGCTGTCGCTGTTCCCTCCCTTCGAACCCTCTCCGTCCGAGTTGGACAGCTCAGCGGGACTAAGAGTGGTGCTTGGAACACGGCCGAATGGTTCCCCTCGCTCGTGGCGTCCGGACCGATCCTACGTCGACTTCCTGACCTAGACGCGGTGAGCACATTTTTCCATGCCATTAAATCTCAACCTGATGTACCCTGGAGCAGGAAGTGGCCTGGATACCCCTGGCAGCTGCGGCCCGTGCTCTGGTCGAGATGTCCCTGGCCGAGGACATGCAGGCATCTCCTGTCTTGCACCTGGCACATCCTCACCCAGTGCCTTGGACGTCTCTCCTTCTGTCGATATCCGAAGAACTCAACGTAGAGTTGGTCTCGTATTCCGACTGGTTGGCCGCGCTTGAGGAGAATTTTAAAGACAAAACCAAAACGGAAGTGCAACTCATGCGAGAGAATCCAGCATTGCGTCTACTCGCGTTCTTCAAGTCGGCCGGAAGAACGGTTGGACAAAATTCTGGTAAAGATCGTGGTAGGGAAGCGATGGGGCTCCCGATGATGGATATGTCCAGGGCGAAGGAAGTCGCACCGAGCTTGGGCAAGCTGCAGCCGCTTGGAACAGAGGACGTTCGACACTGGCTGGAGTATTGGAAAGACGTGGGCTTACTGCCCCGAAGCCCGGATGCTACGCATTAACTCCGTGAACCTGTACCTTGAGATATGTAGATGTACCAGTGAATGCAGTTTGGGATCAGTCGATTGCCATGCGCTAAGGTCTCACACGACCGGGCGCGCGGCTGGGAGATGGCGTGCATTACGTAAATCTACCTACATCTTGCTGTACGCACTGAGTGCGGGGGTCGGACGGCGGGTGGCATTTTTGGTGGACGAATTCATTAATGCGGATGCCAATCCCTTGAAGGTCAATGTAACTCGCGACGATGCTAGAAGCGGATGTATTTGCCAGTAATATGAGACAGCGAGGAGAAGTCACTCTTCGGAGTCTAGTCAAGGTTGGATGAGACACCATGAGTTGTGGTGGCGTGAGTACTGTTATCAAGCGCGTGGCATTGCGGCCATCGCCTTTGCTACGTACTGTATGGGCTTTCCTTGTTGCACTTGACTCTGTCGAAACAAGTCTTCCGCGAGATGTCAAGAAAACATTACAGAGTGGAAATTTACGATGGAGGTGCCGTTACGGTCTCGTTGCTCTCCCTCCATCCATCTTCAGGGGGATGGACGTAGTAGACACAAATGCCGGGCGCTATTCATCCAGATCTTGTGACGAAGGTGGATGGTGATATGCTACTAGGACACGTTTGAAGGAATCCCGGTATTTTTTCCGCCTTCATTATATCATCTTCCGCTGCTATCCCGTTCGTTAGACCGACGGTGGTCCCAAGTCCAGTGGACGGAGTACTTCGTGCGTTGTCGTGACGGGCACATAGAGTAGCCCATGGCCATAGACCATGTGTGCCACAGAGGATACGCACCGCTTAGGACAAAGACGGCTTATATGAACGATGGTTGACTTTGCGGCAACCCATCTCCTTATACTCCGCTCCTCGCCTGACCATCGCCGCACCCGTGACCTGACGTGAGTGAATATTTTTTTATCATTTTCTGCTCTTGTACTGACTCGATATCTTTCTTACCAAGGATGCGACACATTTCGGGAGCGCGGAATCCGTCGCGGCTTGTCGAGAAAGACATGTCATGTTGTCCCGGCCTTGACGGCGATGCCAAATGTGTTCGCCTAGAGGGGAGACCCATGGAGGACGTCGCGCGAAAGGTCACCACCTGCTCCAGGGTCATGGACGCGACATATTTGTACATCGATCTAAACTCGCCGACGGCCGACGTTCCCCGGTTTCAAATCTCGCTCCCGCACCTGCGGAAATTGTCGATCAGGTACCCCTCTGTCGATCCGGCGAAGCAGGTTCTGTCGTTTATGGCCCTCAGTTCCCTGGAGGTGCTCGAACTTTGTGATCGCTGGAGCGTCATTCTTCCGGAGCGACAAGACTCGTCGCCGCTGCTGTACTACCTGGCTCAGCCATCAGCCATCACCCCGAATCTTTCTGTAGCATTCTCTTCTCTCAACCACCTCTGCATGCAGGACATGCGCTTCTCTGAAGCTTCATTTTGGGCCTTCTTATCGCAGTGCACGGGTCTCAAACACCTCTGCTTGAGCGACTGTTCCATGCCTTACAATTATTCCGGAGCATTTTCTACCCTCCGGCCCGGCTGCCAGCCCTCGCGACCCTGCGGATTACCTATCGCAATACTTCCGATGCACAAAACCTACTAGCTTGTATCGACGCTCCCATGCTCCACACCCTCTCGCTTCGCGACCTTCAACGATATCGCTTTCGTAAATTGCGCTGCCGTTCTCAACGATTCCTCGGAACTTGTTACAGATTGGACTACGAGGGATCGTGCCGTTTCCTCCGGTCGTTCCTGGCCCTCGAACTGTTTAATATGCACGGCATCCCCAGCAGCCATCGCAGAATTTCCTGGTCCATTGCCCTGCCCTTCAGCATATCGTGCTCACCGATTGTACCCCTAAGATACAGGAGGGCTTGGTCCTGACCGTGTTTCCCAAGAGGGCTTTTGCGATATACCAGGACCCAGGGCGCTACCCCTCGCACGTTACGGAGCGCGTACTGCCCAGTCTCAAAGACGTCGATTGCTTCAGTGCAGGACTCATCGCCCCCCCCCCCTCTCTCTCTCACGTCAAAGCTACTTTTCGCTCAAGTTATCCTTGGGTTTTGGCATTTCGACCGTCGTGGCGGCCTAGGCTTCACCTCCACCTCTGGAGTCTGGACAGATACGCCGTCGTCGTCCCATCGATATCGCCGCCCTTCGGTTACTTAAACGTTGATGACCGCCGACGGCCTGCATATCCACGTTCTATGTAATTTCCGAGATTGGGAGCTGAGACCCGAACGGTGGGTCCCAGTAAATGTAATAATGGCGGAAACGCAGCCACGATCATGAACGTTTAACCGTATGTAAAAAAAAAGAACGTGAAAGGCGTTACCGTCGAGCCCACGTATCAACATCAAGCGAACTCGAAGTCGATGCGGGAGGGGGTGTCAACCTATCGAAGGGGTAAGTAGAGCCCACGATCCGCCCTTCTTTTGAACCTAATCTACGTTTGCATCCCACCCTCTCCTTCTTCCAAACAACCGCAGGATCGGCATGTCCCTCGCGTTTCGATACGCTTTCGTGAAAACCAGTAACTTAGGGCGCGCACTGCACACTGGCGCACACCCACGCGTGCGCGCGTGTCTGTTGATTCCTTAGGCCCGCGATAAACTTGACGACGATCATTCTTATTCCCTGTTTATTCTTAACCCCCCGAAACGCCCTTGATGCGATGATCACGCAGGACCGAACGCACCGTGACTTTGCTCTTCTTCGTTGATAAACGGGGGGAACCTAGGAGGCGGGTGGGCGGTCGAAGAGGCTCGAGGTTATGCGGGTGTTCCCCACGGCGAAGAAGCAACGATATGGAGATGCTTTGCATGACGATGGAAGGGACAGACGAAAAAAGACATAACACTCCGACGTAGAGGCAGAGAGAAAAAAAAAAACAGGTAGTGTATCGTGGTCGTATACATGAATACATAGCGAGAGAGAGACCGAGAGCGAGTAGGGGAAGGGAGGGGGTGGGGGAAGAACAAACAGCGTCTCTACTTACTCTCTCTCTCCTTACTGCGCGTCGGTGGGCGCGGTGGTGTACTGCGCGAGCACCTGCTCGACCCGCGGATCGACGTCTTTCAGCACCGCGACCGTCTCGTCCTATCAAATGAAAGGAAAGGAGAGGAGAGGGGGGGTGGGGGAGGAATCAGCACTCGCCCGAGGGGGGGAGGGAAGAAGGTTCATCACGTACCCACACCCTCCTCCTAAACGTCCTCTCCTCCTCGCTCCCTCCCTCGACCCACCCGCTCGCGCCCACCACCTCCCCGTTCGTCACGTACGCCCCGTTCAACCCCCCCTTCCCCTTCCCGTTCCGCTCTTTTGGGATCTCCGCGACGACGGGGAGGACGACGGCGCGCGCGCCGCAGTCGGCGGAGCGGGCGACGAGCGATTTGAAGAGCGGGAGGAGGTATTTGCCCGGGAAGGCGGACTCGGCTTCGCGGGTGAGCGAGGAGTGGCAGAAGCCGGGGTTGAGGGAGGCGGCGAGGATGGGTGCGGGTGCGGGTGCGGGCGAGGAGGAAGGAGTGGGGGCGGGGAGGCGGGCGGCGAGTTCGTGGATGAACGCCGTGACGAGTACTGTGATGGTATACCGACCGACGAACGACGCAGATGAGCGTATGAATGAAAAAACGGAGGGTTAAGAAGAAGTAAGAAGAGGGGGGAAGGGGAGAGGTAGGGCACGCACGTTTGGAGAGGGCGTAGCGCGCTTTCATGGCGCTCGGCGTGCAGTAGGATTCGTCGGACGCGCGCGCGAGCATGTTGGGCGCGCGGAGGAGGTCGGCGAGGGAGCCGGGCGGGACCTGGAAGTGCGCGTCGCTGGAGACGACGAAGATGCGCGCGGGCGAGTCCGGCGTCGCGGATCGCGCGAGCTTGGGCAGGGCGAGGACGGCCAACAGCGCCGGGGAGAGGTGGTTGACTTGTAACCTGCGAAAAAGAAAACGCCGCCCAGATGGGGTATTAGGGAAATATTAATAAGGATTGGGGGGGTGGGGGGTTATAGAAAGAGAGAGAGAGAAGGGGGGAGGGGGAGAGACGCACGTCGACTCCCATTTGTCGGGCGTTTGGACGTATTTTCGGGTGGCGAGCCCGGCGTTGGCGAGCAGCGTCGTGAGCTCGCCAGCGCCCTGCACGAGCGAGTCCGCGAACGCGCGCACGCTCGCGAACGAGCCCGCGTCCATCTCTCGCCAGTCCACGCTCGGCGCGTCCTCTCCCGTCGCAAACTCTGAACAAGATCAACAGATGAGAGATCAGAGAGAGAGAGAGAGAGGTGACGCACGTTTCTCGAGCTCGCGCATCCGGACGGGTTGGCGGCCGGTGAGGATCAGCCGGGTGGGCGAGAGCCGGGCGAGCAGGTGGGCGGCGGCGAGCCCGAGCCCGGACGTCGCGCCCGTGATGGCGATGGTCTGGCCGCGCGCGCTGTTCGGGGCGGGCTCGGGCACGGTGGCCCACTGTTCGCGGACGAAGCGGAGCGGGGTCATGCGTGACATGCTCTCGCTAAGGACGAGGAGGGGGGTGCCGGTGAAGAGCGCCTGCGTCCGCGGGTTCCATCGCGGCGAGGGAGAGGGACAGGAATGGCGGACGAGGCACGTGAGGGCGGACGCACCGGAGCGGAGGTCACGTGCGGCGGTGCTGATTCTTGGGCGGCGGAGGGCAGTCTCGCTGGCTGCTCGCCGCCACATCCTAGGGGCGGCAAGGAGGTCCGGCCTCCCCTCGTTTCTTTCGTATTGGACTCCGATTTCGTGAATTTCCGCAATGCCTCCATGGCTCGAACGACCCCCACTTTTCGTCAAACGACTGTCGGCCTTGCGCAAGGAGGAACTGCAGCGACTGGCCACCCACTTAGGGCTCGAAGAAGAAGGCACAGTGGCGGCCCTCAAAGCCAGGGCGAGGCAGAAGCTTCTAGCCGACATCAAGTTCTACATGGCGCACCCCGACTTCAAGGCCCTGTTCACGAGGCAAGAACTCGCGGAAATCATCGACAACGCGTCGAGCACTTCGAACTCCACCTTCGAAGGTATCGCACGAGAAGGGGAGGCGAGACCAGATGAAGGCTCTCACCACGAGGCGGATGAAGACAGTAGGGAGTCGGAACCCGATAGTACGGGCCATGAGCGGAGCCCGGACCAGGAGGACGAGGACGAGGAGGACGACCCACAACTCCCACCGCCGTCGGAGGACAGGGGTGAGTTGTTCTTCCCAGATTTCGAGGGCATAGGCCCAACCAGCACGCGCTTGCGACGGCCATAGGGCTGCCGGCACGTCACCCACCGAGGTCGCATATGCGTCCGAGGAATTTGGGGGGGGGCATATGCCCCCTTTCCCTTCCCGCCGTCCGTCGTATATACGACGAGGACCATATGGTCGAGGGGCATTGCCATAGGGCGCCCGGTCTCGGAATCCAGCCGTATGGCAATGGAACTGACGCTCACCCAGGCGGTTCGTCTCCCCCGACACCTCCCACGTCCCCAACGCCGTCTAGGCAGGATACCGTTAACTCCCAGGGACTCGAGGAAGAACCCCGTATGGGTCGCCAGTCAGGAGCCGAACCCGTGCAGGGTGGGCAGCCGGCGAGACGTCACCACCGTAAACGGAGACAGGACCGCTCGCGTCCGAGACACCGTCACTCCCATCGCACCTCCCTGGCTAGGAAGAGGAGGCGGCGCGATTCGTCCCCGGACCCGTTCGAGCAGGGTCATAGGCGGGGCGGAGAGGACTCGAACTCGCGCTCAGGGAGGCGCTTCAGCTCGCCATCGTCTTCGTCGAGCAGCCCCTCATCGAGATCTGAGACTTCGTCCGGGAGCTCGCGGACGCTCAGCCCCAATTCCGGCAGGTCACGAAGCATGTCCCCGCCCTCCTCACCCTCCCCCCGTGCGCGGAGAGCCGACTATCGCGACAGGCGCGCTTCGCACCGCGACCACAGGAGGGACCGCCATTCGAGGTCAGAGCACCGCATCCACCAGGTCCAAGAGTCGGCCAGAGGCCCGCGTCGCCCCCAACTCGTCAGAGGAAAGCAGGCCAAGACGGACTGCTACTCGATCCCCGATCCGATCAGGAAGAAATTCCAAGAAGGATGGACGACCCACATACCCTTAAACTACCTCACCGACAAGGCTGTAGCCGAATACGGCTGCAACACGTCGTCGCTCCTGACGGACATGTATGCGGTCGACCCGGCGAAGGGGCTGATCCAGGCGGAGAAAGTTCTCCCATCGGCGGGCGAACTGAAACTGACCTTCGGGGAGTGGTACCAGGCGTGGAAGCGCCTGCTCCAACTCATCAAGACCTACTTCCGCCGTGACTACGAGCGGTGGAGGAAACACTTCGATCGCATATGCCGCTCCGATGGGGCCACATCGGATAACTGGACGCTTTGGCTAGCTTACGACGCCGAAGTCCGCCGCAGGTGCCACCTCGAAGGCATAGACCCCGGCACCTTCCACAAGCATATCTGGAGGAAGGTAGAGCCGGCGTTCGTCAAGGCGCAGGTGATGGCTTCCCTGCAGCCCTTTCGGACCCAGAACGCAGCGCGGGGCACCGGCTCCAAACCAGACCAGCCACCAAAACACTCGGCGGGACGGTCCCAGACCTTCGCCCCGAAGCCGATCGACGCGAGATGTTTCTTCTGCGGCGGGAAAGGCCATAGAGCGGCGACGTGCAAGGCAGAAACTCTCGTCAACGGCCAACCAGTTATGCTCACCCGGGGAGAAGATCGCGCAGTCCGAGACGCCAAGGGCCGACACTACTGTTTCTACTTCAACATGGCCGGCGGATGCACGAAGAAGGACGCCGGACCGTGCCTTAAAGGAGACCACCGGTGCACCCTTTGCGGGGGCGCAAACCACGGAGCTCAGGCGTGCACCGTCGTGTGCTGATCCCTTTCCGATCATCACCCCATTCATCGCGTCCCGCTGGGACGAGGCGCTGCGCAACGCCGGCCTGCAGGACAGGTTTTCGGACGTGGTGTCGAACATCACGGCCGGGTTTGATATGGGCATCACTTCATCCTTAATAGATTCATACAACCCGCCTAATCATCGGTCTGCGCGGGAGAACCACGAGGCCATCGACGCGTATGTAGATAAGGAGAGAAAGGCCGGCTGCTACTCGGGCCCGTATTCGAAAGCGCAGCTCGAATCGCAGATAGGCTTCTTCAGGACGTCCCCGCTCGGAGCGGTCCCGAAAGCAGGCACGAGCGAAATGCGCATGATTCAAGACTTCTCATTCCCGCGCGATGACCGAACTCGATCGTCGGTCAATAGCGAGATAGACACGGATCAGTTCCAGTGCGACTGGGGCTCGTTCGCGGAGATGGCGTTGCTGGTCATGGAAGCACCGCCAGGCGCTCAAGTCGCCACGCTCGACGTCGACGCCGCGTTCCGCTGCATACCAATCCGCCCCGATCAGCAACGCCATTTCGTCGTACACTGGCGGGACCAATTCTGGATCGACCACAACGCCCCATTCGGCCCGGCTAGTTCGCCGGGCGTATGGGGCCGGGTGGCGGACTGCATGGCGGCGATTTATCTCGCCTGGGGAGTCGACGCTCTGAAAAAATGGGTTGACGACTTCGCATTTTTCCGGTATCCAGAGGGTCTCGATTCGGAAGGAAATCCCGGGTTCCGTTACGGCCTCGACGAGCTGATGGCGCTGGCGGAATGGCTCGGTTGGCCGTGGAAGCCGTCAAAGACTCACGATTTCGCGACAGTCTTCAAATACCTCGGATTCATATGGGACTTAGACAGGAAGCGGGTCTCAATTCCCGAGGAGAAGAAATCCCGATACTTGGCGAAACTCGAAGCCTGGAGGACAGGCGGCTCCTTCACGAGGAAAGAGGCCGAACAGGTCCTCGGAACTCTGGTTCACTGTAGCATGGCGGTGCCCGACGGCCGATCACGCCTGGTACACCTTTCGAGGTTCGCAAGCTCGTTTCCGCACGAGTCGTCCCCGTTTGCGAGGAGGAAACCCAACGCGCACGTCCTCGAAGACGTGGAATTCTGGAGGGCCCAGCTCCAGCGATCGGAGTGCGGCAGCACGCTGGCGGTGCCAACAAACACATCGTCCTGCGACCTATGGGTCGACGCCTCGACGTCCTTCGGGATAGGAGTCGTCGTGGACGGGACGTGGGACGCTTGGGAGCTGATTCTGGGCTGGAAAGTCGAAGGGCGCGACATAGGTTGGGGGGAGATGCTCGCAGTGGAATTCGGCCTAAAAATGGCCATCGCGAGAGGCATCTCGGATACTCGCCTGGTCATGAAGTCCGACAATCAAGGCGTCATTGGGGCTCTCGAGGCCGGGAAGTCGAGGAACACGGAGCAAAACCGCGTTCTCCAGAGGGTGGTCTCGCTTATGCGGGCGGCAAACATCTGGCTAGTCTCGCAGTACGTCCCCTCGAGCCTCAATAGAGCGGACGAACCCTCGAGAGGAGTCGCGCCGAAGGACTTACATCGGTCAGAGGTATCAATCAGGATTCCTAGTTGTCTTTTGGGTCTTGTTACAAGGGCCGATCCATGTATTTAGCATTTGTCCGAGACGCTACAGCTTCAAGAGGACTAGTAGATAAGAGAATGAGCAGAGGGTGTGGAGCTTACAAGAGGGGGCAGGAAGGCCAACCAGAGGTTATCGAGGACGCGGAATTGGCGACGCGTCAAGATCGGGACTCCTCTCATGTGCACCACGACGCCTCGGTCCTCGTCGACACAGCTCAAGCATCGATACCCTCTGACGACCTCTCGGAAAGCTCCAGAAGGCGACCACTTCGCTCTACCCAGCACAAAATCCCGACGGGCGCACCTACATAATCCGAACGGGATCAAGCTTTCCGGGGCAACGGAGGGTCATCTCGCCAGAGCGTTACGCCACGGATGGGCCCCATCAACGTTGAAGGGTTATAATGGTGCAGTGGGCCGTTTCATCAAATTCTGCAGAAGGGAGAAGGTCCACAGACAATTCTGGTTGCCAGCGGATGAGCTGGTCCTATGCGCGTTCGCGGCATCGAACGAAGGCCGCCAGGCTGGCAGCACGGCGAGGAACGCCATAGCCGGACTCAAGGCCTGGCATGCGGCACAGAACGCGGACTGGAAGGGCGGCAAACGGCTCAGATACGTCTTGAACGGGGTCGAGAACAGGCGACCACCGGTTTCTCGCCGACCACCCCGTCTACCAATCAACCGCAATATGCTCCGCATCCTGAGGGCGAATCTCGATCTGACCGACCCGGTCGACATCGCCGTTTTCGCAGCCGCGTGTGTGGCCTTCTGGGGCCAATGCCGTTTAGGGGAGCTCCTCCCCTCCTCGACGACGCGAGCGGCCACAGAGAGGTCGCCATGCCGCAGAAACCTTGCCCTTCCCTCCCCGGCCTCACCGTCCCACGTCATTCATCTCCCTTCGACCAAGGTCCACTACAGCCAAGGGGAGGATGTCGTTATCCTCCGCCAGCAAGGATCTTCGGACCCCATTAGGGCCCTGCGGCATCACCTATACTGGAACAACCCGAGCGACACCAACCACCTCTTCGCATATCGCACATCGTTCGGCACGCGCCCCCTCACTCGCCGGTTCTTCATGACAAGATGCAACGCGGTTTGGACCCAATCCGGACTCCCAAGACTCACGGGGCACTCATTCCGCATCGGCGGCACCACGGAACTGCTTCTGGCCGGCGTTCCGCCCGATGTGATTAAGAGGGCCGGGCGGTGGTCTTCCGACGCCTTCCTCCGCTATTGGCGACTGGTCGAGGGCATCTTGCCCGTTCACATGCAGCTCCTTCCGCTAGGGGACCTCCGAGGCAAGCCCCGAAGATCTCGACCGCAGTGTGGGGTCAGCCGGGCGCGCGCGCCCCGTCTGGGGGGCGGTCTGGGCGAGCCGTCGCGCTCGCACCCGGCTTACGCCCAAGCAAGAGCTTCACCCACACCACACGGTGACTCCCTCGACGCGCCCTAGCGCGCAACTGCAGGCCCGCAGCCCGCCCAAGAGCGGACGCACCGGAGCGGAGGTCACGTGCGGCGGTGCTGATTCTTGGGCGGCGGAGGGCAGTCTCGCTGGCTGCTCGCCGCCACATCCTAGGGGCGGCAAGGAGGTCCGGCCTCCCCTCGTTTCTTTCGTCCCACCCTCCTCTCCCTGGTGGAGCGGACCCGTCGAATCCATGTTAATTTAGCAGAGACATTTGTCTACGTACTACGGAATAGGTAGATACCAGAATCAGTGCTTCAGCAACCTAGGACAAGTTGAGAGAGTCGACCGAGTAGGTCGGGGGCGAGCCGTCGCGCTCGCACCCGGCTTACGCCCAAGCAAGAGCTTCACCCACACCACACGGTGACTCCCTCGACGCGCCCTAGCGCGCAACTGCAGGCCCGCAGCCCGCCCAAGACGCGGCTCGGGGGATGCCGCACGGCGGGTTTCTGCGAACGTACGGGGACCCCCGCGATCTCCTCGGGACTTTCTTGGATATCGCGTTCTGACTCTGCGAAACGTGCACCCATGGTTCTGATGTGATCGCTGGTAAGGAGCAGCAGTTCACAATACCAGCGTCCTCCGTCGTCCTGACCGGTGACAGAGTGACTGGTGCCGGTCAAAAGCCAGGCGCCTCCAACCTATCATACGCCGCACCCTGCCTTCATCATCGTCAGCTTCAACCCCAAGTACGCCCCGCCGACGATGACCACAGAACAACACGCGCTCCCCCCTCTCTCCCCGGCACCCCCGACGCCCGCGCCCGACGTGCTCATCGTAAGCCCCCATGCTGCCCCGCGAGTAGGCCGAACGCTGACAACGCCCCCGTCAGGCAGGCGCCGGCCCGGCCGGGCTCGTCCTCGCGCTCTCCCTGCTCAAACACGGGCTCTCCGTCCGGCTCATCGACAAGGACCCGACGCACCACGTCGGCCAGCGCGGCGCGGGCGTCATGGTGCGTCTGACATCCCCCCCCGCCCCCGCCTCCTTGGCCATCCGCTCACCCCGCTCACCGTGCTCCCGCAGCCCCGCTCGCTCGAGCTGTACAACACCCTCGGCGTCCTCCCCGACATCCTCGCCGCCTCGCACCCGCCGCTGCCCATGCAAGCCTTCACGATGCCCGGCGGGCGCGAGCCGCTCCGCCAGTGGGAGATGTCGCCCCGCGAGCACCCGACGCCCGGCACGCCCTGGGTGCGCACTCTCCCTTCCCTTCCCTTCCCCCCATCCCATCCTACCTCGTGCTCACTCGGCCCCTTTCGCAGCCGAACGCGGTCATGATCGGCCAGGACAAGACGGAGGCCATCCTCCGCGCGCACCTCGCCCAGCTCGGGTGCCGCGTCGAGCTCAACACGCGCCTCGCGTCCTTCGCGCAAGACGACGACGCCGTGCGCGCGACGCTCGCCAAGACCGGCGCCGACGGCACACACACCGAAGAGGTCGTGCGGGTCCCGTGGCTCGTCGGCGCCGACGGCGCGCGCAGTAAGCACCACTCCCAATAAATAAAAAAAAAGGTGGCGGAGTACCGAGTGTAGCTGACGAAATATGCGTGCGGCCGTTGTCGCGGCGCAGGCACGGTCCGCAAGGCGCTCAACCTGAGCTTCCTCGGCGAGACGCGCCAGGAGCGGTACGCGATCGCGGACGTGCACGTCCAAGGGCTCGACATGCACGTACGTCGCATCCCTCCTTCCACCCGCTCTCCCTCCTTATCTCAACCGCCCATATCAACAGCACATCCACGTCTTCGGCGGTGGCCCGCCCGGCACGTACGTCCCCCCGTTCTCCCCTATCCCCTATTCACTCTCCCCTCTTCCGTCGAAGGAAACAAGAGGAAAGAAGGGCTGACGCACGGACGGGGGTGTATAATACGTAACAGGATCCTGATCTGGCCCTCGGAGCGCAAAGACGGCGACCTGATGACGGTCTACGTCGCCGGCCCGGACGCGGACTACGAGCGCCTCGCCTCCTCGCCCGACTTTTTCCGGGACCACGTCAAGGCCAAGCTCGGCCGGGACGACGTCTCGCTCGGCGCCGTCACCTGGCTCACCGACTACCGCCCCAACGTGCGCATGGTCGACACCTTCCAATCCGGGCGCGTCTTCCTCGTCGGCGGTGAGCCCCCTTCCCCCTTCCCCCTTCCCCTCACAACACCCGAACCCCCGCGCTCGTACACTCATCCATTATCTCGCTACGACCAGACGCCGCGCACGCGCACAGCCTCATGGGCGGCCAAGGCCTCAACACCTCCATCCAAGACGCGTCCAACCTCGGCTGGAAACTCGCGCTCGTCGCCCGCCGCGCCGCGCCGCGCGCCCTCCTCGCCTCCTACACGTCCGAGCGCCTCCCCGTCGTCGCCGCCGTCCTCGACCTCACCTCCGCCCTCCAGGACAAGCTCTCGAGCGCGAAAGGCGAGGACGCCGGCGCGTGGAAGCGCGGGGACGGGCTCGGCCAGCTCGGCGTCAACTACCGCTGGAGCCCGTGGGTGTTCGACGAGCGGCTTCCCGAGGGCGCGGAAGAAGAAGAGGGCGCTGAAGGGGACGATAAAGGGAAGGGGGAGAGGAACCCGTACGGCCGCGCGGGCGACGAGGGCGCGCAGATGCTCCGCGCGGGCGACAGGGCGCCCGACGCGCCCGCGCTCGTCCCCGCGTCCGGCGCCGATACGGCACCGACGCGCCTGTTCGACCTGCTCAGCCCCACCGCGCACACCGTCCTCCTCTTCCTCGCCGGCTCGACCGACGCGCGCGCGGAGGCGGTCAGGAAACACCGGGTGCTCGCCCGCCCCGGGGTCGCCGTCGCCGTGTACGAGATCCTGCCCCCCTCCCCCTCCCCCTCCCCCCTCCCTTTCCTCCTCCTCCCCTTCCTCCCTTTCCTCCCCCTCCTCGTCGTCGGCCGGAGCCGCGTCGGGGGAGCATAAGCATATAACCCCGCTGCGCGACGCGGAGGGCCACGCGTACGCCAACTACGGCGTGGACAAGGACGCGTTCGGCGCCGTCGTCGTGCGCCCGGACGGGTACGTCGGCGCGGTGGCGACGAGCGTCGCGGGCCTGCAGCGGTACTTTGACAAGCTGATCGAGGTGCCGGAGGGATATACCGGGTTCACGGTATCCGACTGAGACAAAAGAGAAGAGACAAGAACCCCCCCCCCCCCCGCGAAAACCGAAACGATATCCTGCTGCTGTTACTGCTGTTCTACTGCTGCTAAAATGGACTTGGTGTAACTGCCCGAAGGCCGAATTGTAGATTATCCGAATTGTAGATTATCGGGGTTGTCTTTCTGGTTGGGTTAGTAAGATGTGTATGCATATGCGTGTTGCCGCGCACTCGATGCTTGCAGTCGGCTCCGATTAAGCTGCGCCGGCGGGCGAGAGGCTTCATCCCTCCCCCCCACCATGCGACTTTCTGAAGCTGGTGGCGTTCCAAGACGACGGTTATCAAGCGAATTTGCATGCCGAAGGAGCGAGAGCGACCAGCCCCAGGCTGTGCGTGCGAGCGAGCGCGAGTCTTCGCGACGAGACGCGGTTGCTGGCGCTGCTCCTATCGATGTTACCCGGCATAATCACTGGGACGCTCGGGAACAATTCAAGGGCAGAATGCGCCCGGTGGGATCTTTTGCGCTCATCGGGAGAGGGGCATGGGATGAAATCGTTGATATTCTATTGGTACGGACTACCGTCGCTACGGCCATACAAGGTCCGTGAGCATTGCCAAAACATTACATCGCGGAGAGTGAGAGTTACAACAACAACGACAAAAAGGAACGATATACCTACATATCCCAATAACAATATCAAGAAGGAGTCAACAACGAGCGACAAAGGAGGGGGGAGGGGAGAGGGGGGCATCCTCGCCAACCTCACCGCATATATACTACACCTCATTTTCACACGGCGGGCAGGGACGACCCGCCGCTCCAGGACGTGCTGTCCTTCTGCGGCGCGGGGTAGTCGTACTCGGTCTCCTTCGTGATCCGGAGCTGCATCGGGTACGTGCTGCCGTTCCCCGTCGTCACGCCCGGCCGGCTGGCCGTGCTGAGGAACGTCGGCGCTGACCCGCCGCCGGCCATGCCGAGCCCGACGCGGACGATGATGAGCCCGAAGGAGATGCCCTGCGTCAAGCGAACGATGAGTATGTCGCGCTCGAGAGGGGACGGGGAGAGAGCGGTGCGGGCTTACGGTCATCGGCGCGGACATGGCTACGGAGATGAACTGGACGTTGGACTGCGCCTCGTACGCCGTGAGCGTCATGAGGTTGAGACAGCTGGTGAGCTGGTCAGGGCGCGTTTTTTTGGGAAACGGGTGCGTGACGATGAATCTTACCTGACAAGCGCTGCACTCTCTACGAGAATTAGGAGAAGAGGCTACGAAACGAGGGTGTTAGTTGGATTTCGCTGAGCCGCGAAACAGAAGAAAAGGGGGCCTCACCGATAGAGTCGTCGACGTGTACGATTTCATGACGCGATCTCTCCTGATGATCCTCCACCCAATCAACGCAATGGCCAGGACGTTGGTACTGAACTTTCTTTTAGACGCGATATCGCAAGTCATGCAGCGAGTAGACGTACCCTAGGCTGAGAGAGAAGACGCTAGTTATCCAACTATAGGAAAGGTGGCGCTTGAGCTTCGGGCAATAAAACGGTCGTGGGAGCAAATGGCTCACTTTCCGGTGGTCGAAATGAACACGTCTTCTCCGGGTTGAACTTTGGAGAACGCGATGGATACGCCAATACCGCTCACTGTAGACTCGTGCGTGAGAGAAGCCCATCGCTGTCCGCGAAATGTCATACCGAACGTCCCCACGGTCGCCAACGCCGGTAGTATCGTAGGTAACCAGTTGTTGTTCCAGATAACATACACTCGGTATACCAGAACCGCGTCAAGAATCGTCGCCTGGACCGTGAAGATGATCGTCCTCGCTACGTTCCTTGCGTCCCATAGTTGCGCGTAGAAGAGGAGAGACCCGGGAAGGCCCTCAGCGCCCGGCGTTTCCACAAAACCGGACCATGCCCGGTCCGCGTCCAGACACCAATGCTGAGGCACAAGAATAAGCCTATGGAACGACACCGCAGCGATCCTTTGGAACTCACCGCTGTGGAAAGGATAAGTAAAAGGACAGTCGCTACCACCAATGCCCCTTTTACAATCGGGCTGCCCACAGACTGTCCGCTTGACCTGCGCCGTAGAAGCAGGAACAAGCTGATCCCCAGTATCGCGAGAGAAAGACCTGTGTCGGAAAACACCATTCAGCCCGATACGGATAACCAGGATCTACAAGGTTTGACAGTACCGTAGAGTACGCTCTCCGCGATAAAGCCTGCGAGCTCTGCTTGATCAATCCTGATTGAACTCATGGTGCCCCAGGGAACTAAGTCTCGAGTTTGGTCGGGAGGCGCTGATGTCTCCTTATAATACCCCACCCACACCTCACTAACCTTCGTGGCTGGGACATGTATCACGGTGCCCTATCAAGAAGCATCGGGTTTGCAGACGACAATCAGCCGGCGTCACCCACGCCCGGTTTGGCAATCATGCTTTGGAGTGCGTCCAGAGCTGAACGGTCAGCTGTCGCCCCTCGATCAGGACGAAGTCTGGTCGCGCTATCAGCGTCCCGGCATCCAACGAGCCTCCCACGGCCGATCATGCTTGAGAAGCCCCCGAACACTTGATGCCGCATCGCCCAACAGACCGTTTCCGCAAGTGCGGCGACTGTTTTTCTTATTCGCCCCTTCAATTCAACTGGAAGGGTGCCGAGATCAGATTCGGCTGCGTAGAACGAGCTGGCATGCCGTTGTGTTCGCCCTATGCCAACGGGTGGCTACGGGTGGACGCCGGGATGGTTGCCGACTGAAAGATGTGTTTCCCATTGAATGACGCTGAGAGGGTAGGTAGGTAGGTAGGTATATTTCCGGCGATTGTTGGGCGAACTTTTGATCGAGTGTTGATGTACGTTCCATTACTTGCGCGAACGTTGTGGCGTCCTGGCTCACGAAACGTCGTGATAGCACGTCGTCCTTTTCGCAGGCGACATAACAGGCACTGATAAGACAAGATCGAACAGTCGTCAATTTCGGCACTCTCCTGATCTTGAACGCGGTGGGTAATCCATGTCCATGTAAAGTCATGTCCACTATGAGCCAGTGTGGATATCCTTACGCGATGATCGCGTTTGAATCTAGTTTCCCACGCCTTGAAGTTTTGCGCGATCCCACTGAAAGGTCCATATAGATCCATTCTTACCACATCTACCGATGAAACGCGTCTTAGGCTCCCTTTGCATCATGTTAATTGCCAAGTAACACCGGGCATCGAGCAGCAATGTCGTTCTGGACCTGACCCAGGTTTTCTCGCCATCGAAGATCGGACGAGGCACACGCAGATGGTTGACCATGCGTGTCCAGGCTATATCCTCCGGGACAGGCGACAGATGCGGGATTATCCAGGCACCTCACGATTATTACGGGCATTCAAGGCACCAGAGGACCCAGTGTGGGACCCTCGCCTCTTTGCAGCTCCGCGCGCACACATACCGGGCATTATCGGACCTTCGTATTCATATGCACGGGTCTCGATCCGCAACCAATACAGCCCGTCTTGCGCGCGTATTCAGTAAGTACAGCTTCGAAGCCCTTCCATCATGTTAAACATAGACTTCGAAGTTTAGGGCGCCACCTGATTTCTCCGGTTCCCCTATCTGGGCATACTGTATTGGCAAATTCATCACCTCAACTATATGGCACCCACCGACGTGCGTGTCATCCATATTTAAATCGATGCGCGCCCGGACGTACGCCGAACGGCGCCCTGATCGCAGTCATGCTAGGGATTCGCAGAGGTCGACGTGGTGAATCTACTCGTCTGTCATAGTGATTGATCGTTCAACATTGATAGAGCCCATGGATGCCATAGACCTTGACAGGCATGGAATTTGTGAGGGAGCAGAAAGAGGAATCCTATATATACACACGAAGATCGCCCAAATAGCATGGGCAGTGAACCCAGTTCGCATCTTCTCTTGCTCTATCAACTTCGGCGGGGCACCCAGCGTCAGCTTCTCGGAGTGACTTGCGACATCCTATGCTCCAGGCTATCTCGCAGAATACGGTAGCATGATACTGCTATCTCCGACTGTACACGCCTGGACTGGTCAGCTCAGCGCGTTCAATTGACTTCATCATCAACACGGGAATCTATGATGAGCGCATCCAATGGGACCTGCCACATAGGGTAGCTGGCTCGAAAATACCTCGACGCAGGGTTCCGCGCTCGTCGAGGGTTTCATCGGCGCGTGGGTCGACTGCAGCTTCCGTCTGCAACGTCTATCCGAGGCGACTGCAGCGAATGTGCTAGAACCTTGCTCCCCGCGCACCCCGGAGTTGACACCTGCTTGCAATAGGCAAGTGCTGCTCTGACAGATGCACAGGCAGCATGGAGCACCTGTGAGTGACATATGATGCAAACTGTGCGACTCTGCTCCGGAAGCATGTTGATATTGCTACTTCCCAAGAAACAGTCAATTGTAAAACCGAACTCGATCTCAAAGTCCGCCGCAACCCTATCTCCATTAACCAAGCTACGAAAGCAAGAGGAGTACGTGCTCGGAATCGGACATTTCCGGGCGCGGTTCTCCCTCAGGCTTTGACAGATAGTAACTGCGGATGCGCGTGGGGCTTCCCCGATCGTGATGCAGCGAGAACGACGTCCTTCCGAGGCGTCGTCTCAGAGAGATGCAGCACGTTGCTTCTCGGGAGATCGGCATCGAGGGAGCCCTACGCGCGACGCCGTTCGCCAGTCAAACGGCACGGGAGATGATCATCCGCATTAGAACCATTGACCGCACTCGCGAAACGCGGGAGTCATCGAGTTGGCACCTCAGCGATGACTCGAAACGATTTCTCTACATTGGTGCCATGCGTTTTGTCAAAGTCTACGCTATTGTGTACATAGTCATCGTTCCGGGCGATCAGCGCAGTCTCAAGAACTGGACGATAGTCACTCGGACTAGAAGTTGCCTCGGTACACAAACCACGAACCGTGCACGTTCGTACCCCAAAGACGGGGCAGCGTCTTATTCTCTGAATCGATGTCGTACTCGGCATTCCGGACGAACATCACAGTCAAATCATCCGCACTAGAAGTCGCGTAAGGACGTGTACACACCGCATTCACGGAGCACCAGCGATGTTCGCGTTAGCACATACCCAAACACACGCCAACATCCAATTCTCCGAATTGACGACACGCATATCCGCGCAAGTCTACACACAACAATCGTATAGTCATCATCGTCCCGAACCATCTATCGCAGTCAGCCTAGAAGTCGTAGCGTACACAAAACCCACACAATAGAGCCCTGGCAAAACGCCGAGTCGGAAAACAAAAAACCGAACGAGCGCGAAATCTACGCCTCCTCCTGCACCTTCTCGATCTCCGCCTCGCCCACGGGCGTCGCCGCGCCCGCCTCGGCGTCCTGCGGTTGCGGCGGCACCCTCGTTTCCGTCGCCGCCTTCTTCGCGATCGACCGACTGATGAACAGCGCCGAAAGCAGCGCCGCGATCGCTGCAACACGGCAAGCAAAGAAGGAGATTAACCAGTCAGCGCGCGCGTCATTTCAGCCCGGAATGCGAACCCAGGGCAAAAAAAGAAAAAAAACGTAGGAAGTATCCACGAAACGACATGTGAAGACGAGAGAGAGGTAGAAGTGAAACTTACAGAACGGCAACCCGATGATGAGCGTCGGCTGGAGCGCGCGCGCGTACGCGAGCACCGCGCCGGGCTTGAACTCGTCCGACAGACTCCGCACGCTGTCGACGTTGCTCTTCACGGCGTGCACGATCGACGCCGGCGCGCCCGGGAGCGTCTTCGGTATCTCGGCGCCCAACTAATATCGCAAGAACCACGCATGCCGTCAGTCCGTTTGTTCTATTGCGATATGCCAAAAAAAAACGATACGAAGGGGGGGAGAAAGAAAAGAAAAAAAGGGGGGAGGGGTGAAACGCACGCGGTTCAGCAGCACGGCGCCGGCGATGGCGATGGCGAGCGAGCGGCCGATGAAACCGAGGAAGAGGATGAGGGACATGCCCATCCGGGAGTGGATCGGGTTGTCCTGGTAGATGACTGTCCGCGCGTCCCATCAGCATTCCTCGTGTTCTATTTTTTCGACGTTGAAATAAGCGAGGGGTGGACGAACTTTGGGGGACGAGCAGGTTCTGCTGCAGCCCGGCGCCGACGCCGAGCGCGACGAGCACCTGGAGCCTTGTAGCATCCGTATTTTAGCCCGAATTCAAAAGGCATACACAAAGAGAAGCGAACACGTACCCGTACACCCTCGCCATACTCGACTTTTCGTCCAACGTGAACATGAGCCCGCTGCCGCAACGCAAGAAAAAGGTCATCGGTTACCCCCAAGTCTGTTCACGCTCCAACGGGGAGGGAAAAAAAAAAAAAACACAACTCACTATCCGATGGCGCATAGCACGGGCGGGAAGACGAGCCAAGACGTGACGTGGCCCGTCCTGGAGATGAACGCGCCGCCGATCGCGGCCGCGACCGTGCCGCAGATCATGAACGGGAGCAACTCGACCGCGGAACGGATCGCGCTGACGCCTGTCCCATAGCTCGTCAGAATAAATTCCTGCATCGGGGTTGGACGAGGAGAAAGCGGAGAGCGGTTTACCTTTGATGGCTTGGAGGTAGTACGGGAGGTAGACGGAGGTGATCATCATCGCTCCCTATAACAACGTGCATCAGAGGGACACGGCGGAGGGAGAGGAGGGGGGGGGGAGGATACGCGTACCCAGATGAAGAACCCGTGTCCGCACGCGCCGTTCATGCTCTTGTTCCGGAGGAGGAAGAGCGGGAGGATCGCGTCGGGGCCGCGATAGCGGCACCACGCCATCAGCGCGACGAAGAACACGACCGACACCGGGAAGAGCTGCATATATGCGGCGTTTAGATACGAGAGGAGAGGGGAGGGGAGGGGAGGGGAGGGGAGGACGTACGGTGCAGACGACGGCGCTTTTCCAGGCGAAGACGTTCCCGCCGGTGGTGAGCGGGACGAGGAAGCAGACCGTCGCGCCCATCGCGAGTATGCAGCCTGGAAGAAAAACAGGAAGCATTTTGTGAGCTGATCAAGATATACTAGAGGGAGAGATGGCAAGGATCCGCGGGACGCACCGAAGAGGTCGATCTTGCTGAGCACCTGGTACCACCGCAGCCCGCCGGGCGGGGAATGCGTCGCGGGCGCGTAGGGGATGACAAGGAGGAGGACGAGCGAGGCGAGGCCGCCGATGGGCAGGTTGATGTACTAAATAATAAGCATACACACGTTAGAAGAGGAGAAGGTGCATAAGGGCCGTAGGGAGCTTACGAAACACCAGCGCCAGGTCGCGCTCGAGTCGGCGAAGGCGCCGCCGACGAGCGGGCCGACGACGGACGAGAGCGCGAAGACCATCGCGACCAGACCGGTCGCCCACCCTCTCTGCTTCAACGTCGTGATCTATATACGTCCCAACACGAGACGGTCAGCGACTCAAAATACGCGCGATCATGTGTGTGCGGCGGGTCCGTACGTTGGCGATGGTGGCGAAGGTGGACACGGAGAGCCCGCCGCCGCCGATGCCTTGCAAGGTCCGGCTGAAGAGGAGGACGTTCATGGAGGGCGCGGCGCCGGAGATGGCGGAGCCGGCTTCGAAGACGAAGATGGAGGAGAGGAGGACGAGTTTGGTGGGGAAGAGGGCGGTGAGTTTGCCGAACATGAGCGTCGTCGAGGCTTGGCCTCTGCAACACCCGATATCGTTAGCATACATTCCACGCGACGGAGAAGCGGAAGCGGATGGCGTACACAAAGTAGGCGGTCGTGATCCATGCGATGTCGCCGAGCGCGTTGAACTGCGAGACGATGTGCGGGGAGGATGTCGCTGCGGATATATGCGGTCAGGCTCTGTGCACCGAAAAAAAAGGATGTCTGTTGGGAAAGCTCGACTGTATGCACTCACTGAGAATCAACTGGTCGAGCATGACGAGGAAAAGACAGCCATATAGGGAAACCAGGGCGATCGCGAGCTTGGATCCAGAGAGCACCGTCGATCGCACAGGTATCGGTGCGACGTCCTTCTCTTGCGCTTGCGAGACGGAGTGCTGCTTCGAGGCCATGCTTGGTCGCTCCTGGCTCTTTACTTTTCGTCGAAGCGGAAGGTGCAAAAGAAGGGCAGCGAGCACGAGTAACTACAGGCCGTAGCGTTCGAGCTCAAGAGGCAGGGCTCAGTGTATTGGACGAGCGCCGGCGGGCTGATGGTCCCATCCGCGGGGAAGGGGGGGGTTATGGACCTGGCGACGCGCAAGAATTCGACGCAGGAGATGGAGCGACAGGCCTGCATTCTGCCGCCCGCCCCCGTCTGAGCGCGCGAATGACCTCGCCGCAGTGTGGCGGTCCGTGACAGAAAGGGAAGACTACCGAACGCGGGCAGATGGGAAAAAATGCGACATCTGAGAGGGGGGGTCCTGCAAAAGTCTTTGCTTCCGGATTGGATGGTGCGCGCGATCGATTGATCCCGTGCGCGCGTGGCCGGGACGGACCCCGAGCACACGTTCACCCAAGGTGGGATCTCCGAATCTCCGCGATCCTGAGATGCCGGAGATTGGTCCCGCAGATCGATCTGGACCCCCCGTTACATATTAGCGTTCGACCCATAATTGACCGCGACACAGCATCGCCGCCCCCTGTCGCCCGGCGGCTCCAAGTTCCAGATTCCACCAAAAGAGTGAATATGTAGGAGGAGGCCAGGTTTCAAGCGGGTCGCAAAGTCGGTCATAAGCTATTCAATCCCCGAATCCACACACGCTTTGATCAACTCACACCATGCAGCCCGATGGCATAAGCCATTTGCAAACTTCGTTCTGATATGAGGGTCAAGCTCCTTTCTGATGGGGCTCTCACAAACAATGAGCCCCCCTCTCTTCCCCTCTCAGCACGCGCCTCGCGCCTTCCTTCGCTGATAGCGAGCAGATAAAATGGGAAAAAAATAGATAATGCGTCAAGAGTGTGTGCCGCGACGTTGGTTCGGCGCACGCGCACGCTGGCGGAGCTGCGACGAGATCTCGCGTAACACTAAACGGCAACGTTTGCATCTATCTTCTTCTCCTTCTTCTTGCACCGCCCTTGAGTTTGCACAGAGCACTGAGATTGAGCCGCAGCCGATTACGAAGAGAGAGAGAGAGATATGGAGGGAGACACCGCGGTCGTTCGTCGCGATGGTGATATTGTAAACACTACGTAAAACATACACCCAAATCTTCCCATGACACACCACCGAATGAATAAGAGTTTATTCTGAGCCTCTAAGCGACAGATCCGGAATCTATGCGGGCTTTCTCCTCCTTTTCCAGCGCCTCCCGCGCTTCCTGGGCGGCATCGTGTCCCATCACCCTCGTCTGCATCTCAGGCGCTATATATACCGATAAGCCCGGTCAGCAGCCGATTATGGTGAAGAGGTGACCACGGGAGGTGGGAGGGGGGGACGAAAAGACACGGCGGGCGACAAAAGAGGGAAAAGAAGATGATACGCGGGAATGAGAAATGGAAAGAGAGAGAGGAGGAGAGAGAGAGAGAGATAGAGAGAAAGGGAGAGAGAAGGGGAGAGAGGTAAAGAGAGAACACGGGGAGGGCGGAAAACGCACTCCGATAGTATAACCCACGTTTCTGCGGCACGGTGATCTGCTCCAGCGACTCGGTCTTGATAAACTCCGCGCGGTCCTTCCGGAGCGCCTCGTACAGTTTGAGCCGGGACGCGACGTCGGAGGCGCGGGTGCCTGGCGGGAGCAGGGCGGCGAGCACGACCGCGTCTTCGAGCGCCATCGCCGCGCCCTGGCCTAGAGCTAACCGCACCAAAAGACACCCAGCGTGAGATTCCGAGAGAGAGAGAGAGAGAAAGAGGGGGTGGGGGAACGTACTGGGGAGCATGGCGTGCGCCGAGTCGCCGAGGAGGCAGAGCCGGCCGTTGATCCACGTTGGAAGGTTGGGAAGCGAACGTAGCTGCCACAGCCCGACGTCGCCGTCGTGGGCGAGCGCGAGCAGCTTGCGGAACTTGGGGTGGAAGTCGGCGTAAAGGTCGAGCATCTCCGCGGTCGTCGCCGGGACGTACAGATCTAACAAACAGAAAAGATGGGGGTGATGTCAGCGTTGCAGCCCAGACGTTTCAGCCACCAACAGAGATTAGGGGTGGTTAGATGCAGATACGCGCGAGATGGTGACGCGCGTAGATAGATCTCTTTGATGGTGGGGGGGAGGGCAGAAGGAAAGGTGGGAAAAGCCCCATCGACGATCGAACGAACAAAAAAGTACCGTACCGACCGCGTTCTGGTCCCTCCGGTCGATATGGATCCCGAGCGCGTTCACGAGTTTACCCCCGCGGCAGGGATACACGAAGATGCACTTGAAGTCGCCCGGGGCGGAGGTGACGACGCGCGGGCCGGAGGGCCCGTCTTTCAGCACCCAGGATAACTCGGGGTTTTCGTCCAACTTGAGCTCGGAGGCGGAGGTGATCCAGCGGTAGGCGGCGACGGACGAGGGCGGGGCGGTCACCGTTTGGCCGAGGACGGTCGTGCGCAGGTTCGACTGGACGAAATGTTCAGATGAGCGATGGATGGGGGAACGAGAGAGCGAGGGGAGGGAGGGTGGTTTCACGTACGTGGATGCCGTCGGCGGCGATGACGAGGTCGGCGGTGAGCGTCTCGCCGGAGGCGAGCGTGATCGAGCCCGTGGACGGGTCGCAGGTGAGCACGCGCGAGTTGAGGTGGAGCTGCGCGGCCGGGCCGTCGCCTTCGGCACCGAACGCGAGCCGGGCGAGCTCGTCGTGCATGTCGGCGCGGTGGCACAGGTTCCATTTCTGAAAATGTCGCCCGTAACAGGACGAAGGAACAAGGGTACGCGAGAAGGTGAGGCGTTGTCAGCGTTTTTGGATGCTGATGCTATGTTTCGGGAAGGACGGATGGGGCTAGGAGGAGATCGGTGATGGAGGGGAAGGCTTACCGCGCCGTATTTTTCGGCGATGTTGCCTAGCGTGACCGTGTAGCCCGCACCGCCGTCAAAGTTGAAGGAAGATAGCTGAAACGGCGAACAGATCGCGGTCAGTGGGGGGGACCGGACACCAAGAACATGTAAACGCTCTCTCACTCCACAGTACTCCACTCCCTGGACGCGCTCGACGCTCGATCCGAGCGCGTTCAAGATCTTGACCGCGTTTGGCGGCGTGCCGATGGCTGCTCCGATTTCGTTGAACACCTTCGTAGCCTCGAACACCTGTTCGAAACCGCAGCAGTTAATTCAGCAATCTATTCGTAAGCAATGAGCGGGGGTGATAGATCCGTCTTTACCTCGATCTTGTGTCCCTGCCGACGTAGCGCCACCGCAGCGGCCAGCCCACCGAGGCCGCCTCCGACGACGATGATATGCAGCGGCGTAGCGCTCGGCGATTCAGACCCAGACATGCTGTATACTGCTAGGGCAATGGTGGCGTAACGGTGCTATGCAAGGTCCGAGTCTGGATGAACGGGTACTCCGAGAAACGTGTCGAGTGTCGAAGCGTGTAGCAGCAGCAGCAGCAGCAGTAGCAGGGGAGCTATATCATCCGTAGATGCGACACAGCAGCCAGAACAAAAATACCGGGGCCGTGTCCCCATCTATGATCTGTGGGCGGGCGGGCGGTATCATCACCGCCCGATTCCAGAATGTCATCATTGCATGGACGGGAGTCCCAGGTGTCCCGAACTGGGAGGGAGGGTGAGAAAGCGTACCGGGAGCACCGCCACGGACCGTGTGCCCGGGTGTTCCCGCAGCCAAGAGCCTGCCCTCCTTCCCTGATCGTCGTCCGCGATTGGCCCACGCCTCCCCCCTCTCCCGCCCGCCGCGACTCAGAAAAAAAAAGAGAGAACATGATGGATCTCTCCCTTTCTGCGCCTCGTTCCGTTCCCACATGCATCAGCGCCGCTGGCCGACGCACCCGGCCTCCTGCTCGATTCACTTGGCCGTCCAAATCCGGGCGCGTTACCATGCATTACTTCAACGTCCCTGATCATCTTCTATATTCGCCCTTCTGATGCTTCCATTGTTATACGCCCTGCAGCACCTGATCGTCATGGGAGGGGCAACTCTAATCACGCTTTCCATCAGCTTCCTGCGCCGGGTTTTGACTCACTTGAGGCTCTGCTGGTGGTAATGAATGGAACGTGTCGCGTTCACGGTCACTTGCTGCTCAGCCCTATGTGCGCGGCTCGTTTCACTCCACGCGCGTGGCTGTTCGTTCGGAGAAGAGAGGAGGAGGAACGCGTGCGTGCCTTGATCGAATCTGGGGCCGCGCGAGCCAGATATGTGTCGGACCCGCGACGAACGCGGCTCGCTCCGCCCCAAGTGCCGGAGGGGGCCAATTGTCCACGGACAGAAATAGTCTCCCATCTACAGATGTGCCCGCGCGCGGAACTCTGCACCGATATTGCTCCCCCGCCCCCCTTCACAAGGCGGGCAGATTGATCTTTGACTTCTGAGACTTATCGGCGCCTGTTATCACAGCCTCCCCTTTGCCTTCCCTTCCTGACCGGACCTACTGGGCTTGGGATACATGCAAAGCTGAGAAGAAGTTAGGGAAGAGAGAAGAGACGTATATAATCTGCGAACCTCAATCCACCTCGGTACTCCATTCCCTGTGCACCACTCCCCCTTCTGCCAACCCACATAACAAAGAAGCAATGGCCTCCTCTTCCTCACAAACGAGTGCCGCTTCGCAGAAACCCATCGCCATCGTACGTCACCCTCACATGGCATGTACCCGCATCGTCTCTCAATCCGATCTCCCCTTCTAGGTCGGCATCGCTACCGAGCTCCCTAGTGGCTCGGCCGCTGAAGATAACCTAAGCCACGATGAATTCTTTCGTTTCCTGATGCAACGCTGCGATGCCTACGAGAAGATACCTCAAAGCCGATTCAACGTAGACGCGTAAGTAATCACGTTCACCGATCCTTGGACGCTTTTTCGTCTCACATCACTGACACCTGTACCAGATGGAAGGGCCGTGGTCTCGGAAAGATCATCACGGACACGGGCACGTTCTTGAAGGACGTCGACCTGTTCGATCACCTCGAGTTCGGAATCACCGGCAAGGACGCCAAGAGCATGACCGTCGGCACCCGCAAGCTCATCCAGCTCGCGTTCCTCGCGCTCCTCGATTCGGGCATCGACTACCGAGGGCGAAACGTGGGCTGCTTCGCCGCCAGCCTTCCATACGACATCACCGCGCTGGGAGACGCAGTAAGCCCGCTTTCATATAATCCCGCTCCAGGTGTCTTGTCCTCGCATTTCGTTTTCGCTGAAATCGCTATCTTCCGTTTAGGATGAGCTAGAACTCCGGGGCTCGTTTGCCGGCGCACCGTGCATGGCCGCGAACAAGATCTCCTACCATTTAGATCTCCTCGGTAAAGTTTCATTCCAAGACAAATAGCCGCAAAAATCAAATCTGTCTCTGACGCTCGCTTTTTGCACAGGCCCCTCGCTTCCTACAGACACCGCATGCAGCTCGAGCATGACCGCGTTCCACCTCGGAGTGCAGTCCCTCCGAGCGGGCGAGTGCGAAGCCGCCGTGGTGGGCGGCTGCCAGATCAACGTCCGGTACGTACGGTCTCTGTGGCGCGCGCTCTCTCACGGTACTGACGGAAACTGAACTACCCGTTTAGGTTCGTCGAGTGGTTCCAGTATAGTCAAGGATCCATTCTCTCCCCTGACGGGCGGTGCAAGCCGTTTGATGCGTCCGCTAATGGGTAAGAGCCCCCGCCCGCCCATCATCGTTTACAGAGCCGCAACGCTAACTAACTCACTCTCGCAGGTTCTCGCGCGGTGAAGGCGGTGCGGTCGTGGTTATCAAGCTTCTCGAGGACGCGATCCGAGACGGCGACAAGATCCACGCCACGGTGGGTCCCTCTTTCTTTCTCCCTGTCATCCATCTAAAATGCTGACGTCGTGGGCCACCAGATCTTGGGGACCGGGATCAGCGCGAACGGCTCGGCCGCACCCGCGTACGCGCCGGTCGCGGAAGGCCAGCGCGATGCGATGCGGCGCGCGTACCAGAGCACGACCCGATCGCCTTCTGAGGTGAGCTACGTCGAGATGCACGCGACGGGCACCGCGGCCGGCGATCCGATCGAGGCAAACTGGGTCGGGGACGCCTTCAAGCGGGACGACGACCTCCTCGTTGGCAGCGTCAAAGCCAACATCGGGTAAGTCGTTCCCCACTGTCCCATCCTCGCCGACGAGCTTGGTCTTATTGATACGCGTATTTGCAGCCATCTCGAGATCACCGCCTTCCTCGCATCGCTCTCGAAAGTGTGCTCGATCTTCAAGCACAAGGTCATCCCGCCGAGCATCAACCTCGTCAACCCGAACCCGTCCATCCACTGGGACGAGTACCGCCTCCGCGTGCCGACGGACGTCGCGCACCTCCCGAGCCCGATGAACGGCAAACCTCCCCTGATCTCGATCTGCAGTTCGGGCATCGGCGGCGCGAACGGCCACGCCGTGCTCGAAGCGCCTCCGACCCCGCCGCCCACCTACCGCGTGCCCGCTAAGGCTCGCACCCCGACGCTGCTCCTCACCGGAGGCCTGACGCCACGATCTGCGGCGCAGATCGCGACGGATGTGGCCAAGCTCGCGGAACAGAGCTCGGACGTCCAGGCTCTCGCGGCTCTGTGCGCTCGCCGGTCCCGCCAGATGCTGTGGAGGTCGTTCTCCGTCCGTCTTCCCGACGGCTCCGTCAAGGTTCCCTTCGCGGCTCCAACGTTCGTACAGCGTGCGAGGTCGCCCATTGTATACGTCATGACCGGCCAAGGCCCACAACACCTGAATAGTACGTCAGATCCCTCATATCCGGAGCAAAACAGTAAACTGAGAGGTTGCATCACAGTGGGGAAGCAGCTTTTCAATGAGTACCCCGTTTTCCGTGGAAGCGTCCTCGCCATGGACCAGACCTACAAGAAGGTCACCGGCCTGTCCCTGATCGACGACATTGGCCTCTTCGGCGACGCCGCCGGACGCGACCCGCTCCCCGACACCTGGCCAATCGAGCTCACTCTCCCCGCCCTCGCCGTCTGCCAGGTCGCGCTCGTCGACCTGCTCGAGAGCGTCGGCGTCCGGCCGGACATCGTCATCGGCCACAGCGCGGGCGAGACGACGATGCTCTACGCCGCCAAGGCGTGCTCGCGCGAGATGGCGGTCGAGCTCTCGATCGCCCGCGGCGTCGCGATGGCCGTCGCCGCGAGCTGCGACGGCACCATGGCCGCGGTGTCGTGCGGCCCGGACCAGGCGAACGAGATCATCGCGCGCGTCTTGGCCGGCGCAGACCCGCGGGGCAAGCTCGAGATCGCGTGCTACAATGCACCGGAGGCGGTCACGCTCGCGGGGATCGTGAAGTACGTCGACCAGGCGGTGGAGGTCGCGCAGGGCATGGACATCTTCGCACGCAGGATAAGGACGCACATCCCGGTGCACTCGTCGCTCATGGAGGTCTGCAAGGAGCAGTACGTCAAGCAGGTGGAGGACGTGTTCTCCCGCTATGGTGGCGCGTGCTCGCCTCAAACGCAGGTGCAGATCTGCTCCTCCATGACGGGCGCGTTCTGGGACGGGGGCGCCATCACGGCGGACTACTACTGGCAGAACACCCGCCAGCCCGTGCTGTTCGACCGGGGCATCGCCGCCATCCTCGACAAGTACCCCACCGCGAAGTTCGTCGAGATCAGCCCACACCCCGCACTGTCGTCGTACGTCATCAGCGCGGGCGTCGACCCGAGCTTCATCGTCTGCCCCATGCGCCGGTCGAAGATCATCAAGGAGTACGACGAGGCGTCTTCGTTCTTGAGCTGCGTCGGCCAGCTTTCCGTGCTCGGTATCAACTCTATCGACATGGAGGCCTTGACCGGCCGCTCGTTTGCGTCCATTGACCTGTCCTTGCCTGCCTACCCATTCGCGCCCAAACGCATTCCGCTGTATCCGGAAGACTCGAAGATGGTGGCCAGGTCGAGGAAAGCGCGCCACGCCCCTTTGACCGGAAAGCGACTCCGCGTGAGCGCGGAGACCCACCCGGATCTCGCCCAGCATATCATTCGCGAGGAGCCCATCATGCCCGCCGCCGGTTTCCTCGAAATGGTACAGTTCTCTCAAGGTACATCGTTCCGCATTATGCTGACAAAGTTCACGCAGGCATTTGAGGCTGGTGCCCGCGAGTTGCGCGACGTGCGCTTCCACTCCATGCTGCCGATCCTGTCCTCGAAGCTGCTGTACATCGACATGGATATTGATGGTCACCTTTGGGAAGTCCGCTCCCGGCTATCGGATAACGACGAGTCGTCTTATAGTCAGGTCTGTGTCTTGCTCCACGGCCACATCCAGTAAGCTGACGACATTTTCAGACGAGGCGTCTTCATGCGGGAGGCTACATGTCCACGACGCCATGCGGCGAAGCACCGGCCGTGGACGTGGCCGCTATCATCAACCGCTGCTCCGAGTTCAAGATGGAAGGCGAGTTTACATTTCACGCTCAGGACTACTCGCCAGCTGACCCTGCCATAGGATTCTATGAGCAATTGGCCACGTTCGCCCAGTACGGTCCCCTTTACCGGAGAATTGTGGCATGCTACAAAGGTCAAGACGAAGGGCTGTCTCTGGTCCGGGGCTTCGGGGACGACCTTGCAGAGTGAGAACTATCGTCCCCCAATATAATGTACGAGGCGCTGATCCATGCCTCAGGTGGAGCGATTACGTTGTCAACCCCGCGATTCTCGACGCCTGTAAGTCTTGACCTCCTTGGAATGACGCCGTCCAAACTGACCAACTTTCAGGCCTCCATCTCATGGTCCATCCCGCGTTCATCGGGAACTGGGATCCCAACGCCTACTATCTGCCCTCGGCCGTCGCCAGTGTGATGCTGCACGAATCAGACTCCGGCTTTTCGATCCCAGACCAAGTCTACGCTCACACTAAGATCCGTGCATGGGCACCAGGTGAGACGTTTTGCTGTCTATCTTGCCAGCCAGGAATTCTGACACGTTATGTCAGATCATATCACGATCGACTACAGTATTCTCACTGTAGAAGGCCGGCCTCTCATCACCTTATCCGGGTTCGAGGTGGCGAGGCACGAGATGGTCATCACCGGTGCGCCGTTGGTTCGCTACGACTGCACATTCGAAGAAACGGGCCACGTCGTCGACAAGGCCAAGGTATGTTACGGCTCAGACCAGAGCGAACGACATAAGCTCAACAGTGACTGCAGCTTCACTCGGGACCGAGCACCCTGGACAAGACCCAGCTATTCGAGTTCCGTCTCGGACACGAGATGGAATTGCAGACCGCTCTGAAAGCTGTCGACTTCGCTGAAGTGAAGACCTTGTTCTTCTACGCCATCGAAGGGCCGAATGGTGCAGCTGCGCGCGGCTTCGTGCGCTCACTCGCCAGGGAGCTGTTCAAGGTCACCACGCGCTTGGTCGTTCTCGACCCTATTTGGTCATTGGAAGAGGTGCCGTCCATCATCGAAGACATATTCCCCATCGACCACCCGGAGCTGAAGGTTACCGACGACGGGAAAGTGCTCATCCCGCAACTCGAATCATTGCCTTCCCCCACTGGACGCTCGTCACAACCCGTGACCTCGTGGGTACGCAGACAGGAGGGTATGCAACCCGTGTCCCTCCCTCGCGCGCAGGAGAACCAGGTGCTCGTCCAAATCACCAGCTGTTGCAGCGCGACCGCGGAGCTTCTGAGCTTCTGCGGAGAGGTCGTCGAGACCGGTTCGTCGCACCTTCCAGCTGGCACCGTCGTGCTAGGACTCTCCAAGACCCCAGTTGCCAGCCACGTGCTGGCACACGAAGACAACGTGTTCGCGGTGAAAGACCGCATCTCGTCCGGACCTGCTGAGACGGCGGTGGGGTTGATACACGCAATTACAGTGGTGGGCCTTGCCTTCGGATCGCGGGCTCTGGAGAACGCGTCACGTCTGGCTCGCTCTCGCGTGTTTGTGACCCATTGCGATACTCCCTTGGGTCAAACGGTTGCTTGGGCCTTGCGGTGCCTCGGAGCGAAAACCGAAACCGCATGCAGCGTGCTGCGTTTATCGGACATGGAGACCATCGCCACTTGCAACTACATCATATCGGGGTCAACCGCGCCCGCGGACCTCCAGGTCCTCCGTAACGCTGCCGCTCCCTCAGCAACGGTATTCTTATGGAACGAGATTCCACAATATCTCCTCCGCGAACCATGGGCCTTCGCTGATTCGTTGGCAGAACTCCTTCCCCGGCTGCCTGCTGCTCCCCCTGAGCTTATGCTTCAGGGACAACCTCCAGCATCCTATGTCCAGGATGCCGTCGTTCTTCCTCGGGAGACACTCTTTGACCCTAGGAAAGTCTACCTGCTTTTGGGTGGGATTGGCTCTTTGGGAATACATTGCGCCCTGTGGATGTACGAGGTCAGTACCTGCTCACACATCTTCGCTTGTCGCGATCTGATGCCTCTCTTAGAATGGTGCTCGCGAGATTGTGATCACGTCGCGTTCGGGCCGGAAGTCTTTGGAACGGCAGAAAGATATCAACGCTATGCGCGTGCTTAGCTACCTCGAAGGTCTCCAGGATCTGCATTTGCGCTTAGAGTCGTCAGACTCGACTTCAAGCGACCAGACGAAAGCGTTACTCGACTCCATTTCCGCGCCGATTGGCGGCATCATACTCATGTCCATGGTCTTGAAGGACATGCCGTTCGGGGATCACACGCAAGAGACTTACGAGGCTGCCGTGATTCCCAAGGTCAAGACACTGGAAGTATTGCAAGCACTCTACCCCCTTGAACAGTTGGACTTCTTGGTCGCGACATCATCTGCGACTGGCCTTTTCGGGAATGCAGGACAGACAAACTATGGGAGGTAAGGCAAACCTACTTGCTTGATTGTTCGGACCCCGCTCATCATGAACGTATAGTGCGAATACCCTCGTGGACGAAATACTCCGGCCCTATCGCAACGCATTCTCGATCACCGCGCCGGCGCTCCTCGATACCTCTATCATGAGCAACGCGGATGGTTTCGACCCAGATGCTCGCCTACAACACTGGGTATCCTGGGCGATGTCCAGTCGACGTACGTCCTTTGTCATTCGAATCCACATCGCGGTGGCTGGGCTGACGATCAATCACATCCACAGGCATCTGCGAATGCATCGGAGACGGGATTCGCCTCCTGGCCGATCGAGAGCTCTGGCTCTACGTTCCGGACATCGATTGGTACCACATGCAGCGCGACTTCGGCACCTCACACTTCTACGACCACATGGTCAAGGTACCGGAAACCGCGAACCCGGTTGCGCTGGAGGATCCCTCGGTTTCCCTTAGAGAGCTCGTGCTCCAGTTCCTGGAAGTCGATCCTCAGGACTTCACGCCCGAGGTGCCGTTCACGGCGTACGGCCTGGATTCGCTGTCCGCAGGAAGGATGGCCTTCGCGTTGAAGCCGTATCTCCATGTCACCCAGGTCCAGTTGCTCGCGGACATCAGTTTCAACGATCTTTTATCCCATCTAGAGAAGTCCAAATAGAGTGTACCGTTAACTTATTCGTGTTGTACTGTAACCTTTGTATCGTTGGGCTTTTGGATTCAGGACAGTATTTGTGATCGCGCGGTAGCTGGAATCGTTAGATGTACTCTGTGGAGAAATAGAGCTTGCCGTCTTTTGATGACAGATGCAGCAAGGCAATCCTCGCCGACACGCTGAGCGCGACATTTGACACCTAGCTTACATTTGCTTCTTCAAAGGAGTGTACATCTTTGCTTTACTGCCTACTTCTACCACTTCTTCCTCCTCACCTTCTTGTTCGCCTCCGTCGGCTGGGTCGGCGTCTGCTGCTGCGCGCGTACCCTGACCGTCCTATGCGCCTGCTCCTCATCCATAAACCCTACTACTAGATCATCGAACCGTTCCGCCTCCTCGATCGTGGGCATATCGTCCGCCTCCCAACCCTTCCACGCGACATCCTCCTCCTCCTCCGTCGCTGTCTGCGCCCGCCTCCTCGCCACCGAGGGCGCCACGAAGTCCTCCTCGTCAACCTCGTCGAACTCCAACGGCACGGGTCCCTCCGACCCTTGTACCGGCACCATCCGCGGCGACCGCACCCGGCCCATCTCGCGCCTCAACCGCCCAAGTCCCTCGCTCATCCCATCGCTCAGACCTGCGGCCATCGACCGGATCGGGACGCCATATCCCTTCGGCAGCGACGATCCGCCGCCTCCAAGGCCGTTGGGATACATGGGCAGCACCGGCGGCGAGCTCCTGCTATCGTAATCCAGCCCGGCCGACATCGCGGACGCTAGCGGCTCGTCGAACCCGGAGGATGACGACGACGGTCCGCCATGGAAGTCCTGCGCGAACGCCGTCTGGTCGAATCCTCCTCCTCCTCCTCCGCTCCCTCCGACAATCTGGACATCGCGCCGCACACTGACCTTGGTCACTGGCACATCGAGCTGGTACCTGCGAACGAGTGCGTGGTAGTCCTCGCCGAGCGCGAAGAACGAGAACTGGTGCGAGAGATATATCGCCCGCGGCAGCACCCGGGGCGCACGCGAGAACGTCGACAGCTCCGCCTGCGCCAGCCACCTTCACCATACCAAGAAAAAACAGACATCAGCGTGTAAACGCGCTATATCAGAGGGAAAACACAACGTACTCGGATCGCGGCGTCCTCGCACGGCGCCGCGCCGGTACCCCCTCCTTCCCGTCCGCCCACTTCTTCCGTATCTCGCCCCAATCGACGCCCCGCCTGAGATTCCACGTCGCGCACACGCTCTCCTTCGCGTACAGCTCCGTCCTGACCGGCTTCTCCGCCGCCGCCGCGTCCACCGCAGACGGGCTCGCGCGGCTGCCCCAGCTGCGCGGCGACCCGGCCGGGACGGACGCGCTCACGCTGCCGGGAACGGGCAGCGCGGCGGGGAGCGACGTGAGCGATAACCGGTGATGATAGTGATCCGCCGCGCGCTTCTCGACGACGACGCGGCGCAGGCTGAGCACGCCGTCGGCCGGGTCGAACAGCAGCACGTCCTGGTAGTTCCGCGGGCGGCGCAGCGCGGGGTGCGACGGCAAGAGCGGGAGGAGCCCGGGCGACGCGGCGGAGGCCGTCGACGTCGTTCGCGGGCGCGACGCGCTCGGCACGGCGAGCGCGGGGGGGAGCAGGTGCCCCGGAAGCGCGGTGTGCGCGCGGTCGACGAAGGAGAAGGCGAGCGGCGGCGGCGGCGGACGGTCCTGCGCGCCGGGCTTGGGCGCGCGCAGGCGCACGAGGGGCGACAGCTCCGTCGACAGGGGTTGCTACCACGAAAAACGTCGATCAATATAAACCAAGGCGACGCGCGTCCATTCGGCCACGTACCAACTCGACGCAGTTACGGACCCGGCCCTCCAGGTGACTCCGATCGTCCGCGGGTCCGCCGTACGGGTTCGTCGCGAACACGTGCACGGTGCGCGCCCTCGTCCCGATCGCGATCCAGCGCTCGTCCCGCGCGCTGACGACGTCCTCGACGACGCCGCTCGTCCGCCCGCGCTTCAGCTCGTACACCGCCGCCGGTTCGAAGTCTTCCGCGTCCCGACTCGCAACCTTGATCGCGCCGACCCTGAACACGCGCACGACCGTACCGTCCCTGCGCGAGACCGCGAGCGTCGTCCCGTCCGGCGCGAACTGGAGTTCAGACACGGGCTGATCGCGCCACGCGACGAAGCGGGAGAACGGGTCGAGTCTCGACCGACCGCGTTTGTCGTTCGTCAACGTCAACGAGGCGAGGTCCACGATAGACACGTAGGCCGTCGACGACGACGACGGCGCGCTCGTTTCCGGGCCCGTCGACGTCCGCCGGCTGATCCCCACGATCGGCTCCGCGGATATCGCGCTAGGCGCGCTCTTCGACACGCCCGCGGCGCCCTTCTCCTTCTCCTTCTTCTCCCGGTCGCGGCCCCTGTCCCTGTCCCTGTCCCTGTCCCTGTCCTCTGCAGGTGCCGCGCGCTGCTGGATCGCGCTGATCGCCATCCCGCCGAGCGCCTTCATCCCACCAAAAACCGACCCTCCAACGCGTAACGCCGTATTTCCGATATCAGCCTGCGTGATCCCGAAAGCAGAGACGGAGGAGGAAGGGTGCTGAAGCGGCGGAGAAGGCCTCGGTCCTTCTGGCGCCGTCGGCGGGGAAGAGGCATAAGCGAGAAGGCGATGGGAGAGCGAGAAGACAGGCTGGGGTATATTGGCGCGAAAGGGAGTGGCGTCGTCCGCGGTAGTGGGGGCCGGGTCGGCGGGCGGGGTGCGGGAGAACGCGTTGGAGACGGAGACGGAGATGGAGATGGAGCGTGAGACGCGCGGGGCGAGCGGGTGCGCGAAGGGGGGTGCGAGATGTGAGGATGGGATGGCCTGTAAAGTCGTGAAGGTGCGAGAGCAGAGGACGTGCAGCGTCGGGGGCGAGATCGTACTCTAAACATGATCGATGTGAGCGGGATGTAGCGTGGAGTCAGGGGAGACGATGCGTACGACGACAACGAATTCCGCGCTGGCTTCGACCCGCGCGACGCCTTGGCCGTGAAACGGGATACGCGTCACTTCGCCGTGACGGCGAAGGGAGTAGATCACGAGCGCGTCGTCGCTGTAGTCTCTGCCGTTGCATGATCTGAAGGCGGTTTTTCAGAGGCTGTTTATGATCAAGAGGAAAACCCCGTACAGCATCCCAAGTAAAGGTCGCGCGTCGGCGTATTGATCTTCAGTCGATCTTGTATCGCGTTTCGAGGTCGCTGCAGGTCTCAATGCCGAGGGCGGGGGCAATATGGTCGCATAAATGGGGTGTTCGATATCAACACCAGCGGAAGAGGAGGTTGGAGACTTGAGGTTGAGCATCTCGGAGACGGCGCCAAGGTCGGTGCAGTCCCAAATCTGTATCCCGGTGTCGTATCCGAGGAGCAGCAACGATCTGAAGGGGATATAGAAGGACCGTCAGCAATCTGGCACGCATGAGCACGAGATGAATACGCACCGGCGCCGACGGCCTACAATGGACTCGTCCCAGCGGGCCCACAGCACGGGGTCCGCCTCCTCGGCCGGCGCGCCCGTCCCGGGGTACCGCACGCCGCCTCGGGACTCGCGCTGCTCCTCGCCCCCGTCCTCGTCCATCACGAACACGTCTTCTTCGACGCTCAACCCGCGCAGGTCCGCCGCGGGATCGGTGCTCGCCGCGCTCGACCCGCGTCGCTTGCCGGCCGGCGAAGACGACAGAGCGGGGCTGCGCGAGGACGAGGCGGTGCTCCGCGACGGGTTGAGCGCGGCGGAGGGCGGGAGGAAGGAGCCGAAGGAGACCGGGCGCGAGACGCGGGGCGGGCTCGGGATCGCGGCGCGGATCGTGCGCGAGAGCGAGTCGAGCGGGGTCTGCACGCTATAAACGAAGGATCGTCGTCAGCGTGCGGCACGGCGAGGAGGGGGGCAGAACATAAGGGGGGCACGCCTAAATAGGCTTTCGGGGCGAGAAATGGAGGGGGGCCGCCCCAAACGCGGAGTGACACGAGGTGGAGGACGGTACTCACGGAGCGAGCACGGGCGAACGTGTGTGCCCCAGCTGGAGCGCGCTAGAATCTTCCTGGAGCTGTTCGTCGTCGGCGTCGACCACGGCCCCGCCCTCCCAAGGCGCGCCGCCGCCCATCCGCTCCGCAACCGGCGACGGCTCGAACTGGAGCGCGCCGAGCGCGCGCTCAAACTCTCCCTCTTCCTGCACAGTAGCCTCCCCAGCTCCCTCCGGCTGTGCTGCCTCCGCAAAGTCACTGTGAGGGTTGTGATGGTGGCGGTAGATCGGCGCGTCCGAGTCGGGCGCGCTGGAGGGCAGACTCGACTGCTTGCTGGCGGGCGAGTCGAGATCGACGAGGAGCTGTTCCTTCAGTGCAGCATCGTTCCGTACATATCTCTTCTTGGATTTGGCCATATACCGAATGTCGAAACCTGGGTCTGTTGATTATGCTCGTCGCCCGCGATGTGAGATAGGGGCGGCGGCGGGCGTGATAAGGTCGTACAAGGAGCCAAGAAGAAAGCAATGCAGGTTGGGGAGCGCAATAGATATATGATTGTATGGTGGTCGTGCGTAACAGATGCGTGAATGGGGTGGTGGTCGCCGCTGGGGAGGGCAACGGCAGGACAAGAGACCATGACTCGCGCGGACTAGCGGGGCGATCAAGCGAGCCCCATCCCGATTTGGTAAGTAGCCCCTGTCTGGCCGCTTCGCCCTGACGATGCGACGATGCCCGCTTTGTTCCTATCGGCCCCGTCTCTTCTCTTTCAACGTTCTCGTAAGAGGCTAGCTTTACTTTGCTCGCAGTGTTGTGCTGTTATATAGCGCAAGGAGACATACGCTTGGAAAAAAGATGAACTTCCCGTGAGCCCAGCTATAAGTAGCCTAGGTCTGACCGACCGACTGAGACGAAACATATGGTTGCGACTCATCCGACCACCTGCATCCACACAGCTCCTGCGTTCGGGTGCATCTATGAGCAGAACATTATGATGGTCAAAAGCCTATAATCGACAGCATTGCGACAAGACGTAAACGACCAAACAACATGCGGAACGACTATATACAAAAAGAGATGCTACAGAAACGTACGTTATTATATACAGTCCCAATAAAACAAACACACTTCTATGCACAACTTTTGTACGGGGGCGATGGTTTTGCAAGATGATGATTACGTTCGGTTGAAAGATGAGGTGTCGTTTGACCGATTTTGGGCGAGTATTCTCTCGAGCCAGAGGGGCGGTCACTTCGTGTCGGACACGTAGCCGGGGGCCGTATCCGCCGACCCGTCCCACACGCGGTCCTTCGAGTGGCACCTCTGCGAGCCGCGCTCGGAGTCGTCGATCTCCGGATCCGGGGCGTGCAGCAGTTCGTCGTCGTCGAAGCGCACCATCACGCCTGCGTACGGTCACATCATCACGTCGGTCACAGAAGGGGGGGAGGGGAGAAGAGTTTGGCCGGCGGGGGAGGGGCTCACCGGCGGTCTCGGTCTCGTTCCGGTCGCGCGCGCGGCGGGCGCGGGCTGGGCTCGAGAGCGTCATGCTCGACGCCATCGTGTCGGACGGCTGCGTGATGTGAAAATCGTCTGACCATTTGTGGAGCGTGCTGCCGAACGATTTGGCGGACGGGTGGCGGTCGCGCGTCGCGCGCAGACTGAGGATGCTGTCGAGGAGACGACAAGTGTGAGTACGTGGAGAGAGCGGAAACGGCGAGAGGAAGAGATGGTGAGCGGATGAGCGGGCTTACAGTCGGCAGGATAGGACCATGGAGATTTGGATGCTCATGGGCGCGTTGATGGATTCTATCAACTTGTTTGCTTGGCTGGTGGACGAATACGCTTCGTCAGTGCCCCGCACCTGGAGTGGAGGGGTGAATCGTCACGTACACGAAGAAAATCACGTTGATACTGCAGTATACGTTCGGTAAGGATCATAAAACCAGTCGACGCCGTGCTGAGGTACTCACAGATTGAGGGCGGAGATCGCGACGTAATAGAACACGCCGTCGCGGATGAAAGTCGTGATAAGAGACGATCTGGTCTGCTTGATATTGATATAAAAGAACGCGCGATAAAGGGTGAGAGCCGTGACGATAAAGTCGAACGCCCTGATCATATACGCCGTCAGCCGTGCATCATCTCGATCAAGGTATGGAGAAGACGAGATGAAGACGGACATGGGCGCGGCGTAGAACGCGATGATGAACTTAGGGCCGGCTATCGACGCCTTGCCCGTGACTGCCAACAGGACCCACGCGTAGTGAGTATTCGTTTCCAAGAGTCCAGGCCTGCGAACGCCGTGCTCGTACCTAAACATGGACCCGGCCACGAAGGTAATCTGACGTCTACAGGAGATGCCGAGATGGCGTGAGCGCACGAATTTCTCCTCGCGGATCGAAACCCAAAGCTCACAATCGAAAGCGAGGACCGGTACTGCTATCATGGTCCCGAGGAAGCCGGCGAGGAGAACTCCGAGAATCGCGGCGACGCGCAAGTCGTGGTCGTATAGCGCGAAGACTCTGTGCGACACGATGGCATGAGCGACGGTAGAGAGCGAGACGCGTCGGGAGGGGAGCGATCTCACCGAAGAGCGAGTACTGTTGACCATCGTCAGCAAAAACGAGATAAGGGAGCAACGGTGATCTACTCGCCCAGTTCTACGCAAAAGTCGCTGAGGACGGCCATGCCCGGTAATATGGGTAGGTCCCGCGCGCAATCTCTGCGAGGTATGGGTGGCGGAAGTTAGATGAACGCGTTCTACCCCTTCGACCGCGCAGGTGGCACACGTACGCTTCAGACCAGTTCCCGAAGAACCCTTGCAGGAGGAGTGCCGATTGATGTGAGCTGGATGGCATGCGGATATCTCCGGGAACGATAACTCACAAATGTCTGTCACTGTTCGGCAGATGCCACCGGTCAGCCCACGACGAGTCATCCAGCTGTGCAGTGTGGACTCACCGATCAACACGACGAACGTATAGTACCGGACCATCATGTACAGGAATTTGATCGGCGTCCATCGCGATTTCCAAATATATTGGTACTGTATGCGCACACAGAGAGAAATCGGAGATCAGCTCTGGTGCATAGTTGGATGAGATCAAGCATCGATATCACGGCGCACCTCCTGCGGTAAACACGCCAACCAGTCCCAAACCAAGATGCTAGTAGTGCCTAACGCCGGCGCCGTCTTCAGTACATACCGCACAACGCTGGCAAACCGAGGAGATGTCTCACATGCTACATAGGTCTGCAATAGCAACGTCGATAAGTTAAACGTCGACGAGCGTCGCATGTGCCAGCACTAACCTGCGCAACCGAAACGATATGCTCAAGGCTCGCAGCCTCCGACGCACTCATGACGAGGAAGAGAGATGGAGGTCTTTTTCCATTTCTCTTCCTCGTCATGAGTGCGTGGAGGGCTGGTTCAGGCTGAACCAGCCCTGAACTTATTGCCATCACGACGCTAGCTAAGCGACGTCGACCCTAGATCCTTAGATGCGGGTCCAATTGCTAAAAAGCTTCCGACATCCAATAATACTATGGACCCACCTGATGTGAAACGCGCGTTTCACTTCTGTACGCTCTCCCTTATTCCGCGTTCAATTCTCTTGAAAACTCGGCGATAGATAGATATACATATTTTGTAAAATATAGTGAAGCCGTTATTATTTCTATCCAGTGTTGACTCTGCCAGAGAGATGCCGGTGAGGGATGTTGACCCCCGCCAAAAGTTCCAGTCGGTCACGGAAGGTCACGTAAAGCCGGTCTGCCGGATGCAACTCTGACCGTCGGCCGAGCCACGGCAGCTGCCCGAGCTCCTTCGACAGCCACAACCCGGCGCACTGGCATCTGGGTCGGAGCTGTAAATCTGTTGTCACTTCGTGAGCTGCTCATTCAAAGGATTGGTGTGTGCAAAGGTTTGTAGACATTTTGCAGACAATCGGGCAGGATATTAACTACCCGTATATGTTCTTGAACCACCTCACGAGGTACTCACTCATCAGCTCACACGATCCTCTCACCCGAGACTGATCTCAACTTCTAAGGCGCGATCAACTCGTCCAAATCGGCCTTGTTTCTTTTTTCTATAATCGTCCTCTCATCCTACAGATTGAATATTCTACGACCATGTATCCTGTACTTTGAGCGAGTCATGGAATTTCTAACTAACCTCTGAATGTCCGGGAGCATGGTATATTCGCGAATGTTTCACATCACGAAAGTGTTTCACATCAGGTGGGTCCATAGTATTGTGCCTGCAACAACGTCCACGTCGTCAACACAACACTCGTGGTAACTTACGATGAACGGAGGACGACCGAGAAGGTCGCTCGGTATCTACTTGTGAGCAACCTACATGGTGTTGAGTGCTCGGAAACAGATCAGTCGGAGTGCGAAATATCTATAGCTTTCCTCCGACAACCACGACCAGATGCAAGATGATATATGATACTTACATTCCAACACCGGCGCCTAAGGGATCCCACCCTGTGTATCCCCTTCTGAATCATCCTTGACTTTCGGAGGGCGAGGACACAGATTCGCTAGTCGGTTTCGACTTCTCTGCGGTGACCCGGTCCCGAAGTTCATCGATTGCGACTAGACTATGGGCGGAGAACGTCTGAGGGGCGGAAGGCTCTTCAAGAGGGACTTGGATGAGCTCGTATACGCCACCACGAACGGCGTACAGACTCACCGCATGGGTGTTACCGGTTCGTCACAGCCAGACTCGAGATGGGAGGGCAATACTGATGAGCCATCATTCCTGCTTCCAGATGTCGAGGTTGATGATTCAGATGGTACGACCACCATAATCTTTCTGATACAAAAGGAGGACGAGACGCCCTTGGTTAGAGTTCGCCTGCTCGTCTCCGGTGCGCCCTATCCTGAACCACCACCGATTCTTCGCTGACCTTGCTTAGCGCAGATGTGGCGGAATATCCTGACGCACACCTGTGGTTTGCCTCCTCCGACGATGACGACGTATCTCTCGAGATGGCGCGCGTCTTGGAAGGGGTGGTTGGGTACGGCTCTAAGCGTCTCGCCAACGTTGTCGGACTTGTACTCGCCGATTCGTCTCGAGCCACCACTTCTGGTGCAGTTTATGAGCGACCACCCGTGAACGCATGCTATGATAAGGAAGAAGGCGAGGATGAAGACGAAGACGAGGACGAAGACGAGGACGAAGACGAGGACGAGGACGAAGACGGTGACGTGAGCGACGACGAGGACGAACACCCATGGGTCTCAACAAGTGATGATTTGGGAGATGTCACATCAGGTCTTGCTCTGTTGTTCGTCCCATCACTCACATTAAGGCTGTTAGACTGACTGTTGTCTCAAGAAGCTCAAACTGTACATCCCGGCAGCCCGATAGCGAACCTTCTCTCTCGACCCAGTCCATAATCGGTCTTACCATGACACTGGTCCCACATACTCGGTCGAAAGGCAAAGAACGCGCCGACGGCGAACGGCCCCGGCCATGCCCTTGGCTTGGCCTCCGCCGCTCCCCGCGGACGATCACTCTCCCCACCGAGATCCTCGTCCACATCCTCAGTTTCGTGGCGGTGTCGTCTCCGCATATGGGCGCTACCCTTTGCCTCGTTGCTCACTGGGTTCGCGAGCTCGCCGAGCCACGCCTGCGGCTTGAGCACATCGTCCTCGATTCCAAGGTCCCTGTGCGCATCCGCAGCCTCCGCGCCGAGATTCTCGAAGACGCGCGACGGCGGCGACCCTCCGGCGCGGTCCCGTGGGGCAGACCGAACCACGTTCGTGGAATCTGTATTCCCGAATCTAGGCTCGGACAAACGCGCTTTAGCTTTCTCAAAGCCGCGCTCCGCGTCTGTCCCAACCTCGCTGACTTCGCCCTGCACGAGGCCTGGCTCCCTCACTTCTCCGAGTTCCTCGCGGACAAACTCACAATCGTCCCCAAAGAGGCGCCGCTGCGGCTCACGCTGTTCCCGCCCTCCCTTGCCGAACCCCGTTTCTTCCCCGCCGGCGTGCGCGGGCTGGGAGATCTGTACGCGCGCGTGACGCATTTGCGCGTGATGTCCCTGCGCGTGCTCTGGACGCTCGACCTCCCGCTGATTCCCAACCTCACCCGCATCGCCGTGCCGCACCTCATTCCCGGCCTCGAAATGCACCACACCTTAGCCGACCTGCTCTCGCTTCGCTCACTCGAGATGCTCGTGCTCGTCTTCAGCTGCGAGGACCCGCCGCTTAGGTACCCGAAGAAGGAGACGGACCGCGCGGAGGCCCATGTCATTGATAGGCGCTTGAAGCACGGAGACAGGCGGTGGTTTGTGATGCGCACGGGTCCGGTCAAGAATGCTGTGGAGAACGCGGTGAAGGAGTGGAGAGAAGGGTTCGAGGATGGGGTAGATATATGGAAGCGGGCTGAGCGAGAGACAGCCGCTCTTGTAGAGGAGTACTTAATCAGGTCTGCGTAGGTTGTTTCGCTGAACATTGTGAAACGATGATGCACTTGCGTTCACTGTATGATATGGACATGTCCATTCGTTGAACTTGTTGCAACTGGGGACGACGGGATCGGGGCGCGCCTTCTCTGGATTGGGACGCAATCCTTCCGTTTCGGTACTTGGGCCGCCTTTCCTTCCATTTCTGGACTCAAACCGCCTCTCACGTGCACGCGACGCGTCATCGTCACCTCGCCGCGCGCATCCCTCCTGACCAACGTTCATCCCGACGGTCACAACCTTAGTGCTGTCGATTCCAGTGGTCCCCGCTGCCAATGGACTTCGTTCTTGGAGTTTCTGCACTCGAACCTCGAATCTGTGATACAACTGAGTGCGCATAGCACTGCGTCTACCGTTCACTGCGTCTCGTGTGCTGACGCCCCGCTCGCAGCCATTTTACATGGACCGTAAGGTGAACCATGCCCTGCATATCTTACCAATGACAGTAGCATCTCCGTCATCCTATCCTCAGAGAGAACCGCTATGGTCTTGGGAACCAACTCGCTGCCTTCTTCCATGAGTCGCATTGTCAGACGCCGTGTGCTGAAGCGCTCCCGGGATGTGCTGTCTCCTCCCTGCAGAGCGCATTCGTCTCACGCACAGACTTTCAACATCTAGTCTTGTGGATTGGCGCCCTTCACTAGTGGATGCTCGACCCACTTCTGCGGTTCCCCGTCGTGAAAACTTGTCATGCCCTTATACATCTCGATCCACCAGCTTGGTGATAAACTTTTGTCGGGGAAGGAGCGTGCATATATATCGATATCCCGTCCTCTCGCTAAGCGTGTCCTGCCGCAACCGCTTGAACGCATTGCTACCAATGCCCGCCGTCAATCCTGGCAGTAAAGTCCTCGTGACGGGCGCGAACGGCTACGTCGCCGTCTGGATCGTCCAGAACTTGCTCGATCACGGCTACTCCGTCCGCGGGACCGTCCGGTCTGAGGCTAAGGCCGCTCATCTGAAGGCTCTCTTCGCAGACAAATACGGAGGCAAGGTCGAGTTCGTCGTCGTCGAGGACATCACCAAGGTGCGCACCCGCACCCTGTCGTTTTCTCTTGCTCGTTGTACTTACATGCGACATTTATGACAGGAAGGCGCATTCGACAATGCTGTCCAGGGTATCGACGCGGTTGAACACACGGCGTCGCCATTTCACTTCAAGTCTGATGACCCAGATGTAAACCGGCCTTCCGCGTTTAGTGTACCCAACGGCGCTGATCTTACTTCCTATAGGACTTCCTGCTGCCTGCCATCAAGGGTACGACGTCTGTCATCGAGAGCGTCCTGAAACACGGGTGCGTCCTACATATAGGCTTGCGGCAGCTTCGTCTTGAGGACCTTGGTTGATCTGTTTCATGTAGTAAGGACGTTAAGAGGATCGTCGTCACTTCGTCGGTCGCAGCCGTTACGGATTTCAGCACAGGCGCGGGCCAGGTTACATACACCGAGAAGGACTTCAACGAGGAAAGCCCGAAAGAGGTCCAGGAGAAAGGACGAGGTGCAACTCCCATGCACATATATTGCGCGTCGAAGGTTCTCGCCGAAAAAGGTCGGTCTTTCGGCCCGATCTTCGGCTTGATTGACACCGGTTGACAAGAATCATCGCTGTAGCGGCCTGGGACTTGTACAACAAACACAAGGTGACTGTCGGTTGGGATCTCGTCGTCCTCAACCCGCCATATGTGAGTCATTTCCCGAGTGTTCCTTGAATAGAGAGCTGACCGTGAGCGATCAAGGTTCTTGGAGTACGTTGACCAAGGTAGCGTTTGATATCACAAGAAGACTGACCGTGTACCTTATAGCCTGTCATACATGAGGTCTCGTCACCCTCCGCGCTGAACACCTCCATGCTGGAGTGGTACAATGCCGTGGTAAAGGGCACGAAGGATGCCGACGCGCTCCTGCAGGGACACTGGTCCTGGATCGACGTGCGGGACCTCGCCGACGCTCACCGGCTTGCGATTGAGAAGGACGCCTCAGGCGGAGAGCGTTTCCTCGTAACAGCGAGTCCTTTCAAATGGCAAGACTTCGGTGCGTGTTGTTCGCATAACTCGATGTGTGTTATCATCACTCACGTGTCGCTCTCTTTGTGTGCAGTTGACGCCGCAAATGCTATCACACCATCGATCTACGACAATCTGCCGAAGGGCCGACCTGGAGCAGGAAAGGGTCTGGAAGTGGAGCACCTGATTCGATATGACACGTCGAAGGCTGGTCGTATCTTGGGAATCAAGTACACAGGCATGGAAGATTGCACTAGGGATACGCTCGAGAACTTGAAGGCCAAGGGTTGGTGAGTCCACCTCTTTGTACTTCTCGGTATCAAACAGGCATGTAGTATAGTACGTGTCCGACGCGAACAGTATTCCGCACAATGCACGATCGCTATATGTTCTTTACCGATTGAGATGCCGCATATTACAGTGGTTCATAAGCACGATTTCAATACTTCCAGGCCGACGTCAGAGCAAATGCGACATCATGCAAGGCTGTCGACCTTGAAGGTGAAAAACTCGCGCCGGGCTGGGGGCAAGCTATGGACAACCCAGATGGGGAAACGATCTTGCCGATTTGGGGTTGAGATGCCGCTTGCACGTGGGGCGCCCCCGCCGCGTGGCCACGCGCCTTCCAGAGCCCTCGACCGTGACGTCCCGACGCGTACGAGGCAAAGGTGAAGCAGACGAATCCTCGTGGGCCAACACGGATGTTGAACGTTGAACATTGAACCTCGAACATTGGAACAGACGTGGGTCGCTTCGGTCAATCCCACACCTGGGTATCTTCCCCAGGGGCACTGCATGACTATGTACGCCGCCCCTCGTACCTCTTGTGGGGACATCTGTACCCCTCTTGTACCGGCATACAATCTGACTTCTTCGTTGCTCTGAAAAAACCTGCTCAACAGTTGCCCTGAGTCATGGCAATACTCCCACTGACACTACTACCCTCATGCCGAACACATGACACAGTACTACTCACGCGGTACGCAGCCTGAGACACCTCGTATGTCGCGCGTCTTAAACGCTGACATTGTCCGTGACTTTGCCCAGGGTGCCATCGATGTTGCATCGCAGTCTCGTGACGCGATAGAAAGCCTCTATCGCCGTCCATCAAGTGGGTGGTCCCCAATCCAGTGCCCACATCGGTCAAGGGAACGCATCTTGACAAACCGGACGCGAGTTGAGAAAATCGCGATACGTTCTGGCTCCTCGATGTCCCACGCTCTGGCTGCCTCCTCCCGGTACTCAGCATTCGACCCACTTTCGTGGAAGCGTTCCCCGCAACTTGCTTATCAACGCTCCGCGATGAATCAGCTGCGCGTATAAAACTCTCCCGGTTGCTCGCAAACCCTTGCATCTACTTTGAACGTGTTCCCAACCATGCCCGCAGTCCTCCCTGGAAGCAAAGTCCTCGTTACTGGCGCGAATGGCTACATCGCAGTCTGGGTCGTCAAGAACCTTCTCGAGCACGGCTATACTGTCCGCGGGACGGTCCGCTCCGAAGCCAAGTCAGCACACTTGAAGAAGTTGTTCGCGGACAAATACGCGGGCAAGCTTGAATTTGTTGTAGTGGAAGATATCACCAAGGTGCGATGCCCGTCGCATTCCGTGATGCAAATCCGCGCCTGTGATAATCCTAACGCGTCGTTTAGGAGGGGGCCTTTGATAGCGCCGTGCAGGGCGTGGATGCTGTTGAGCACACGGCTTCACCCTTCCACTTTGCGGGTGATCATCCAGATGTGCGTTTTCATGTGCCCCGGGTCTTCGAGACGGTTTGAACTCATGCTCTCTCTTACTAGGAATACCTCATTCCAGCCATCAAGGGCACCACATCTGTGATCGAAAGCGTTCTGAAATACGGGTACGATGGCGCATCGGCTCATATCGCTCAGCTCATTAATGAGAGCCATTTCACAAATCCAGGAAGGACGTTAAAAGGATTGTCGTCACTTCGTCTTGCGCTTCCGTCCAGAACTTCCTGCCACAGCCCACAATCTATACCGAGAAGGATTTCAACGAGACGAGTCCCAGAGAGATCGAAGAGAAGGGACGAAACGCTGCTCCATTGCACAAGTACTGTGCATCGAAGGTGCTCGCTGAGAAAGGTAAGTAAGCTGCTAGTATTCGTGGTAGAGGCGAAGGCCAATTGGATCAATAATTCCAGCCGCCTGGGACCTTTACAACAAGCACAAGGGATCCGTGGCCTGGGACCTCGTGGTTCTGAACCCGCCATACGTGAGTATTCATCATAGTATCGGTCCCACGCAGTTGCTAACAGAGAGTAATTCAGGTCTTTGGGGTACGTCTAGCGTATTGATATGAGTTAGACGATGGGCCTGATCACATATGTCACCGACAGCCTGTCATCCATGAAGTGTCGTCGCCTGACGCGTTGAACACCTCCGTGCTCGATTGGTACAATACGGTGGTCAAGGGCACGAAGGACGCGGAGACTCTGGCGACACTTGGAAATGCCTGGGTAGACGTGCGCGACCTTGCGGAGGCGCATCGGCTAGCGATCGAGAAGGAGGCCGCCGGCGGCGAGCGTTTCATCGTGACTCCAGGTGCGTCCTTCATCCTCGCCTCTGCAAGGCCCGCGTGATTTATGAATCTGACGTAATTTTATCTTCTCATTCAAGGGCCTTTCAAGTGGCAAGACTGGGGTACGCGTCTCTCTCTTGGAAATCTGTTATCGCTGCTAAAGCCTACTGTTCCTGTAGTCGACGCCGCCAACGCGCTCACGCCGCCACTGTACGATAACCTCCCCAAGGGCAAACCTGGCGCAGGCAAGGCTCCGGGCGTCGTGTACCCCGTGCGCTACGACGTGTCGAAAGCAGATCGTATTTTGGGAATTAAGTACACGAGCCTCGAAGCCTCCACCAGGGACAGCCTCGCGGACTTCAAGGCCAGGGGTTGGTGATTCCTGTTCTCATATGGAATTCGCATGTTTGTTTGATCACGAGAGATCGTGTATACTATGTAGGCAATGTATAGTCATAAGCGACATCATTGAATGAAATATTGAAAGGAGCGCATATAGTATATTTCGCGCAGAATCTCTGTGTAATCAGGTTCAGAAGGGCTGAATGGCAACGATTGGAGGATAATTGCGTTATCGACGCTCTTTCATACGTGTTATTACCAGACATCCCAAGACTGCTGTTCATTCCCAATGAAAAGAAAGACAATTCCACCAGTGTTCTTCGTCTGACGGACATTGACACGGAACCTCTGGACACCCATCCTACCGCTGCACAATCCGGACTAGTGAATACCGCCGAGCTGGGTTGCTGCAGAACGACATGAGCATACCGATTCGTTGCCAGAGACTCGAATTTCAAAGATGATTGTGACGTACGGGTGAGCGAATTGTATTTAGGGCACAGGGCACTCCAGGCTTCGGGAACCGGATCCTGGGCAGCCACGTCGCCGATGTCCTCCGCGAACACCACAGCAAAACCAGCCTCCAAGTGCCAGTCAATATGGCAGTGGAGGAACCAAGGCCCCGCGTTGTCCGTGAAGAACCGTATCTGAAGTTCGTGTGAGACTTCAATGTTCAACGGCACCGATAAACTTTCTCACAGTAACGTTATCCCCTATGGTGCCCGTGCTGACAACATCGCGACGAGGGGGATTGTCGAAGTTGTAGTCGCTTTGCCCGGCGGCACGGATGACATCAAAATTATGCTGACAAATTATGTCAGGGATGCTCAAGGTACGCAGAAACAGAATGGCCACTCACGCCGTGCAGATGAAAAGGGTGGGGCCCGCTTGGAGCAGAAGTGGTATCGACAGGGAGGGAGATCTGGACAGTCTTACCAGCAGGCAACTCAATGATGCTACCTTTTGGCATAAGGTCGGAAGCGGCCTGTGCGCCGTTGAGGATCTGCAGCAACACCGGAACGTTGGGGGGTATAAATGACACGTTATTGATGGTGAAGTTCGGTGCCATCTGTAGTAGACGTGGTGAGCTACGCATGTTCCGATGTATCGACGCACACTCACGAATCCAAGTTTCAAGTTATGGTTGACATCCGCACAGTCAACGCAATGCTGACTGGCAGGACCAACGACGCCCGGGTTCTCGAGCGGCTGGATGATGTATCAAACAAGGAAACCAATTCAATGTATGTATGGCTTTACCACCAAGGAAGTCTCGACCAGAGGCGCCGTAGACGTATCTTGAGAAGTAGTGGGTTCAACCTCATCCGCACCTGCATACCGGAGGATCGCGCTATTCGTCCCGCCGGTGAACCCGATTGTGGCAGAGAAGCTTGGGTTTGCACGGATCCCTTAACGACGTTGATTGATGAGATCGCAAGATGTTGGCCATGGTAGCAACTTACAGTAATTTCCGACCGTCTGGTCAGCCGTCATTACAAGGGAGTATCGCTGGCCTGGAAGTAAATGAGTAAAGGTAAATCGTCAGAGCAAGGATGGAATGTACCAGCGAAGATCTGGAGGGAATCTACTACTAGAGGTTGTGTGTTGACGCCGTCGGCCTCAATAACCTACAACGCCAGTAAGATATGAAGGATCAAAAATAACAGTATACATACGGTGAATTTATGTCCATCGATCTGAAAGACGTAGTTAGGATCGCAACTGATGGATACCTGCAAGGGTAGGTGAGATCATGTCTCGAAAAGCACTGTTTTGGAACGTACCAGTCTGAATCGGTAGCGCTTGCCTTGCTCGACTGATATCACGGCGAGATCGGAAGTGGCACCAGAGACCCGACCACTGCGAGACACAGTCAGGAAAAGCTCTGAGTGTGGCACGCGAGAGATTGGTTTACTCACAGCCCATTGATGAGGGTGGAATCAGAAACCCTATAAGAATCATGAGAACAATTGTCTGAGCATCTAGAAGACGCAAACGTACGCGCGGCCAGTGATAGTCGGTGCGAGAGCGTGATACCAGTCAGCAAGAGTGATGATAGTAGTAGTATCATCCACGTCATAGAGGCTCGCATGTGGATCATTCGGGTCATACACTGCATCGTGAGTGAGCTTCAAACTTTATTCGAATAGTAGCACAGCGTCGTATCTTACCAATAAATGCACCACGGAGACCATCGCAGTACTGCGTAGAGAGATGGGAATGATACCAGAACGTTCCGGCTTGATCGGGCACATTGAAGTTGTATAAAAAGGAGTCCCCAGTGGCAATTGGACATTGATTCACGAATGCGGGGCCATCAGCCCAGTTGGTGCCTTTCTGAAAGAAGCCGTGCCAGTGCTGGAAATGGCGTCAGAATTCGACGGCGTAACGAAGAGGGGATCGCTGACAATGGAGGTCGACTTCAGCATTGCGACATCCGAGAGCTGGTTGTTCACTGTCAGCTGGAAGTTGTCACCCTTTGACGTAGTTCGGTAAGCAAGTCGTAGACCAAAAAGGCGTCAAATTACCTTCTTGCCTGTGATCAGTGGGCCGGGGAAAGTGCCGACACCATTCACACCAGCAACGACAGTGCTAGGTGAGGCGAAACATGCTCAGACAGCCTGTTCGAGAGTCGAATAGAGGACTTACTCGCGGGTGACACTGTTGCCGTCGGGCGCCATTTGGACGTTCACGATGTCCAGAGTGGCAACGGGGCCTACCGCGGCCAACGTTCCCAGTGACATGGACAATGCGACCAATGTCGCGCGCAATTGAAAGCGGGCCATAACAGGGAGCAGTCCTCAAGAAGGAGTGACGCACAAAGGCCTCGAGCGGTCACCAAAGAAGTGCCTGGGGAGATGGGCAACATCATTGGTGTTTTATACTCCAGAGGGTCTACCGCTGCGCACGCTTCGACCAGTGTAGCACGGACGTTCAGTGTTCCGGCCAGACACATCCGAAGCGGCCTAGTGCCAAACACGGTAGCGTTCGGGAGAACGTTTCTCTCGGAATCAGCGGCAATTCCGCGTGAACGGGAATACTGAACGCATGGGAGGATGGACCTGCCTAACGGGACTTGGCAAAGCACAGACCACGAGAGTGAGCGCCCAGATGCGAGTGCATGGTAATGCATTTTTGCACCCTCTCTAGTGTTCTGTTTGTTGTAAACGTGCAGAAGAGACTAGGCCATCCCGTGAAGTGTAGTGCCAGTGTCACCTCACGGACAGACAAGAATAGAATGCTTGCTCTTGGGCAGGAACAGGGCACGACGGATTCCCAGGAGACGATGCAGTGGTATCGTGTCAGATGGCAAGCGACCACGAGCAGACAAATAAGCCGGAGTGGGAGCGATATGAATTCAATCAGCAAGAACAGAGAGATTTTCGATGCGCTCTAGACCAACCAGCGTGCGATGTGTACGGGGATGGCATTCGATGAGTAGGAAACCTGTCGTACGGACCGCCACCTTCGGAGATCTAAAAGGGAAAATCCCGCTTCGGGCTGTACAGCTGGCTTACCTGGTCGACTCACGATTCGGCCTCCATCGCACCGGCGACAACGGAGGCCTCCTGTGCTTCCCAAGTCGGCTTGCTTGCTCCGTGTCAGTACTGAGACCTCCGTTGTTCATGCTGCGAGCTATGTAATGTGTCTTTGGACAGATCGTGGTCGCGCCCCGGGCACGATGTCATGTGCCAATGTAGGATCACGCCAACCTCCCAAGCCGAGTCGGACCGTCAGCAGCGAGCGGTTTACTGCATGAGCAATGGAGGTGCATCAGCAATGCAGTGGGTATGAAAGACCGTTACCCAGTCTGTGCGAACATGGCACGACCTTGGCTGAATGCATGTACGTACTACTTCTTGTCCTTCGCATGCTAGCGCGGGATCTTTCAACCCCTAGGCCATTGGCAAACCTGGAGAGTCCTCCGAAACGAATTGAACTCAACGCGTTTGTCATAGCGTGACTATGGTACAACGAGAATCGGTCGGTTGAAGTCCAATAGTTGTAGCCGAGGCATAGTGCCCGGTTTCCGAAGATGAGAGACGAGAGTTTGAAGGCAGCTATAGGTATAGGAAGCGCTCAAACTTCAGACTCGTATTTGCCCTTTTCCACGCCTTCGCCGTCGACCAGGACTGGACAGCCGTGTGAGACTTGCTTGCTTAGATAATTCCCCCAAACCCTGAGATCCAAGTTTCCATCTCTATTGCCGTGCTCCAGTCGCGTGTGCATCGGGCAAAGCACCGCGGTTAGATTGCACGCACACCAACGCGTGAGTCCTCTCTTTAGGGCGAAAACCTGATGACTTCACTGACCTCTCCTAGCTTGGAAGTTTTACTGTGTATGCTTAGACATGTCGGCCTTCCACAGACGTCAAAGCATAGATCGCGACATCGATACTTTGTTGGAAGAGATATTTGTCCTAGCCGAGCGTGTACGGGTCCTCCGCGGGCATCGCAATCAGCTGGCACCGATCTCCCGAATCCCCCCGGATGTCCTGCTATCAATATTCCGCCTGTCCATGCCCGAGGAGGGCAAACGTCTGTTTCCTTCCAGCCACAACTTCTCGCACGTTTGCCAATACTGGCGTTATCTCGCGGTAGACAGTCCCTTGCTCTGGTCGAATGTACCTCGGAACACACACGAACTGACCGCGATGTTCTTGGAGCGGTCACAAAGGATCCCGTTGACCTTCTGCGTGAAGAATGACAAGCATGTTGAGGACGCCGCAATCAACATTGCCCTTGATCATATGGACCGCACTCAAACGTTGTATCATCGCGCTTCGACCAACAAAATCGGGGATTACGTAGATCGCCTATCACGGCCTGCCCCATCACTTGTCCAATGCACGATTATCTGGACATCCTACGGACGGAAGGTACCGCTCCCAGACACGTTCCTTGGTCTGTATGCGCCGCGGCTGCGAAACCTGCATCTCTGCGGTCTAGATCTCCCATGGCGCGCCTTGTGTCAACCAGGGCTCGTACGGAGCCTGACAAGCTTGACACTGCGCATCTCATCCTCGTCTTTGTCGGTTCGGGACGTTATCGCGACGCTAAGGGCAACGCCCGCACTGGAGAACCTCGTCATGGAGAAACTGTGGTATCAGGAGGCGCGGACTGCTCCGATGGACGACGTAAACATGATTGCGGATGTCGACGTCGAATTGTGCAGCCTAACGACTTTGAAGATACGCGAAGAGGCAAACCGTCTTTGTAGCTACCTACCCTTTACTCGGGTTCCGCCAACCACTTCGGTGTCCATCGAGCTCTTTGGGGATTCATGCGACCTTACCCCATTAAAGGACTTCCTCGAGGGTCTAAATCCAGCCCAAGAGCCCGTTCGTTGCTTAGCATATACAAAAGGTACTAGCCCCTTGGACGGCTCGCTCGTCATCGAGCTTCACGCGGACCCAATCTCGGTCGGCGGTCCTTCTCAGATCGAGGAGTACAAGGACTCAATCACAGACGAAGATCACCCCTGTTTACTGCGAGTAGCCGTACCAGTCACCTGGAGAAGCGCTGGCCACCCGATCCTGGGCGCAATGCGCCTTGCCGCCGTTGGCTGCCTCGATGTGTCGCTCAAGGAGGACGACGCGATGTTCTCCAGACACCTCTTAGAACATTGCACGAACGCGACCGAGCTGCTGCTCGTGGGAGTGCTCACGTGCGAGGTCATCCTGCCCACGTTGGTTCCTCAAGCAGAGTCGAATATGGTGCGGCTGCTCCCGGATTTGAGACGGATGCGGATTCATCTGCACTGGCGGGACCTCCCGGAAATGGTGATGACGGACTTGAAGGCCGTTCTTGCAGATAGAAATGGTGTCTCGGCACCGGAGCTCCAGCTTAGCATCAACAGAGATGTGGAATCGACAATATATGCCAGCCTTTCCCAAGCGGCTGGACGTCCCGGACTTGTGATTTCAGAGTACTGAGTTATTTATTCAGTTCCCTCCTGTCGTGCTGTACGACTTGCGCAGCATTTTCACGCCATTTTTTCTGCATTCAGCGTATCACTATGCCCTTTCTGATATATTATTGTGCATCGTCAACGATAGCACGTTACTATCTGGCACTTTAATACTTGGCGCGTTTTGTACCTGGCTCCAACTTCATTGGGAGCATAGTCACTGTTGTGGGCTCTGTAATCACCCGCTACGATGTCGTGCTCTAGGCCTGAATGTGTTGTCTGCCAAAGGAGTTTTACTGTAGTTTTACGACCTTAGGTTCGGTCCGCCTTCCGGGGGACAGGGGACAGCTGCAAGTTCGGGGCCGTGGGAAGTTCGCAAACTGACTGGAGTCAGTTAGATATATTCTCACAGTAAGTAACATAATTCTCACGATCAGCTCAGGCCCTGGATTTTGGCGGGGGACAGGGGACAACACGGGAAATTAGGTTCAGTTCGGGCTGCCAGGGGACAGGGGACGAACCTAAGGTCGTAAAACTACAGTATAAGATAAGTTCTTGATATTTGAATCGTCCATCGAGGATTGGAGCTCACGTTTGCCAAGAACCATTTGTCAGCTACAGAATAGCAACACTTCAGTCTTCGGGCCAATAGACTAACTCAGTCATGAACGATGATACATGAGCAGGAGAGATGGTCGAGAAGACGTTTCCGCGAGGATCGGAGTTCAAACTAATGACATCACGCGATACAGTGAACAGTGAGCGCCCGTGCCATGTTGGGTGAAAGACGGCCGCGCTTTCCCAGTGTCCGTTTCATTGACACGAGAGGTCCATTTCCATTCATCTATGGCTGGCGATATGACTGTACTCTCGTGCGACGCGGAAGACAGGGCTATTCCTCTTGTTCACCCATATAGGACAAGACCGGCTCCGTTGCGTCGCTCTACCTATTCTGACCTTCATTCGTGTCGAGGTGAGCTTATATAGAGCATTCTGCCCCAGACGCGCTATGACACATTATTCCTGCTTTAGTGGGCTCATGATGAATGAGACTGCGTGGCTAGGAGTAACGGGCTTCGCCCTATTCGGCCTGTCGAAACTATACAGATTGGGCGTGGTCAAATCAACAATCAAGACCCTACCGAGCCTGCCAGGAGCGACGTTGTTCTACGGTGAGGCGTATTCGTAACCTCGGAGCTTGTTTCCACTCAAGAGAACCCTCTTGACAGGCAATACGCAGCAGCTTTGGGGCTTCGAGGGAGGGAAGGTGCACGAAGAGATTGGAAACATCGGCTCAGTTGTCAAAGTCTACGGCCTGGCCGGAGTGAGTGTTGCCCGAATTTCCTCCTTCGCATAAACCGCTCACGGGGCGATCTAACCCAGGACGAACACCTGTATGTTTCCGATCCTCGTGCATTGCATCACATCCTCGTTAAGGACCAAGATGGATTCGAGGAGAGTATGGGTCTCACCGAGTGAGACCGAACTACACTGCGCTCATAATTAGGCCGTAACGTCTCCTAATAGGGCGACTAAGCTGTTCTGGGGAAAGGGGCTGATTGGGAGCGTCGGTATGTAGGGTTGTGTTTTCTCTCCTCCCGTCGCTCACAATCACGGTAGGCGACGACCATAAGAAGTTCGTAGAACTGGGACTTCATTCTCTTTTGGCATCTGACGGAACCTGCACAGGCAGCGGAAGATGCTCAACCCGGTCTTTTCGACCGCCAACCTTCGGGAGATCAAGCCCGTCTTCTCCCAAGTGACAAAGCAGGCCAGTCCCTCTTTCCCGATCGCACTCATTCACATATTAACTCGCATACACTGGTAGCTACGCGAGGGAATCGCAGGGGCTGTGCGTAAAGGCGACGGTGTTGTCAATATTTTGGACTGGTTGTCCCGTGCGGCGCTCGAGTACATCGGGATCGGAGGATTGGGCTACTCCTTTGGAGCGCTCGGCGAAAACCCGAACACCGTTTACGGCCATGCCGCCGAAAACTTGCTGTGCGTGCATCCCTTGCATTCCGCATTAGGCTCTTGGTCACTATCCTACGCAGGCCTACGGCAGCCCCATACTTCCCCTTTCTACCGATTTTGCCAATGGTGACGACCTTGCTTTCCGCTAAGACCAGGAGACGCATCGTGGAATTGCTGCCCCCTGTCGGAGTGATCAAAGAGCTAAAATGGGTCATTGATACCATGGCCCAGACCGCGAAGGATATCTATATGGCCAAGAAGCGTGCGCTTGAAGACGGCGAAGGCGATATGAAAGACACGTTGACGAACGGAAAGGACATCCTCACCATATTGAGTGAGAGCGTTCTTCCCGTCTCCCGCTCGTTCCTTGTCTGATTGCCCGTGATAGTGCGGGCCAATATGCAAGTATCCGAGGCTGATCGGATGCCGGAGCATGAAGTCCTTGGTCAAATGACGTGAGCTTGTGCAACGGCGATAGTTCACCTCGCATCGTAACGCCACTCAACCCAACTACAGAACTCTCATATTTGCTGCATACGATACGACGTATGTTTGTTCTGTCTGAGATATACCAGGCGTTGAGCTGACGCAGCGTTCGTTCGCAGATCGTCGTCCTTGTCGCGCATCTTATATCTACTCTCCAAGAACCAGACCGTGCAGGACGAACTTCGTGCCGAGGTCTTGGAGGTGCACGAACATCACGGCGACGCGGACCCATCATACGATCAGCTGATGTCGTTGCCGGTGCTGGACAGCGTCGTGCGCGAAACGCTCCGTTTGTCAGTGGTACTTCCTCCTCCTTCCACGGTATGCATGACTGAATCACGCGTGGCCTAGGCACTCCCCGGCCCCGTTCATGACCAGAGTGTATGTCCTTATTCATCTCCGTCGTCAAACTCGACTGACCGGATTCAAATCATAGCGCGAAGAGGGACAACGTGCTGCCTCTTGCCATGCCCATGCCTGGCACGGACGGCAACGCGATTCGTGAGGTGCCCATACGTAAAGGTCAAGGCCTCTATATCGGTATCGCGAGCATCAACCGAAGTCGTGCCATATACGGCCCGGACGCTGAAGAATGGAAACCCGCACGATGGCGTTCCCCACTTCCTTCGAGCGTTTCCGAGGCGAAGATCCCCGGTGTATACTCTAACCAGTGAGTACGACGCTGCGGTTCTCTGTGATGCTTTCTCATCCAATATCTGCCATAGACTCACGTTCCTCGGCGGAGGGCGCGCTTGCATGTAAGATGGTCTTATCCCTGTGATGTTGATATGTGCTGAACGATCCGCAGTGGGTTCACCTTCGCGGAGCTCGAGATCAGTGAGCCGCGTCCCTTGATACCTTGTATCGTATCATGGACTAAACCGGTTTGCATCGCAGAGACGGTGCTCTATATGCTTCTCTGCAACTTCAAGTTCGAGCCCCGAGCCGATACGATATCGTGGAAGTTGACGCCTGTCATGATCCCGTACATCAAGGGTAGAGACGACGACCGTGGGCAGCTTCCGTTGAAGGTCAGCTTGCTTAAACATTGACGTGTACAATGAGCGAGGACAACACGTGAGATGCCAGTCGTATTGCTTTTGATATCGCTATCTCTCATCGCATGTTGAAACCGTGTACAATGAATCTATTACAACCATTGCGTGCTCAGCGCATGTTTTCAACGAATTGTATTGAATTTTTGGGATTTGGCGACCCGTGGGACGATATTTTTCAGACAAACCGATTTCTCACTCATGGTTGCATGCCCGGCATGCCTGCTGACAACTTGCAGCCTCGGAACGTTCGCTGGCAAAACCGGGTTGACAAGACGAACAGCAAGCATTTCCTTACTATGCAGAACGCGGCAGCATCAAACCCGTTGATACAATATGCAAACGAATTTATCGATCAATATATAGTCCTTGCGATGATGCGCTGCATTCGAGCTCATGAGCCGGACGATGGTGTTTACTTCAATCGAGAAATCGTACCGCATCTATGGCGGGCTTATACACCAGTGGAGCTCGGGAGAGCGGTCACGGTCCAGGTGATGACGCTGGTATGCTCAATCATCCACGGCGCGTGGTCGGTCAGGGTGAAGAACTTCTTGGTTGCCGTGAACGTCGCCGGGATGGCCGTGTCCGTGATAGTACCAGAGGCCTCAACGGTCGCAGTCGGCTTCTGACAAGTTGCGAGAAAGACGCGCTTCAGACAGGATTAAGAAAGGGGAGAAGTGGAGCACGACTTACAGGGACAGCGAAGGCGACAGAGGCCAAGGCGAGGAGGGAGGCGAAGGAGAACTTCATTGTGTGTTCGGCGTCGAGGATGACGAGTCCGTGAGGATGTGTGCGCGAGTAAGGGTGAGCTATATGGTGCGCACAAGAAGTCGAGACGATGATGTGTTGGGCTTATATGAACGCTCGTAGCATGCATGAGCTGACCAAACGTGCTGAGGTTACCAACCATCAGGTACGACCTCCGCGTAATCGCTCGAGACCTTTCCGCATGTCGGCGCCCGACCTGCGCACAGTTCTCGCCAGGTACGGCGACGGGCTTCTGAGCAACAGATGCAATGGAGACGCGAGGACGCGTGCCAGGGCGCGAAAGACGGCAGTGGAAGGTATCGCCGCCATGGGAAAGTCGCAGTCAAGCGCAAGAAGCACATCATTGTGGAGGGCCGACGACCGGGAGTCACTAGTCATTCGCGCTCGGGGATGCCTCTCCGGGTTGTCCGGTCGTTCTTACCAACTGGATGAGGCAAGGGTCAGGGGACTCAGAAAGACGATGATCAGTCAAATGCGAGCCGAGGTCGCGGCATACAGCACGGTGAAGCAGCCTGTGAACACTCGTTATGGTGAAGCCGACTAGGGCAAGTTCGGAGTGATGGCCGTACGCACCTCGTAAGTATGCAGCACCCTGAGCCGCCAAGTTTAACCTCTCTGTGCCTTGCGAACCTGGAGGTGGCTGGGTCTGCATACTTGCAGAGGCTGTCAGCAACAAATGGTCAGACTTCCGCGTCGCCTGTGCTCGGTAAGAAATCCACCATCAGCTTCACCACGCAACCCAAAACGCAGCAGTGACATAGTTTGCCATTTTCGGCCCACGGTCTTGAGAGATCCTGTCCATCGCTGCGTCGGGCGCCTTGCATGGGAAGCTCTGCGTTGCAGATCAGCGCGTTGTGCCCGAGAGATGTGGCGATGGTATTGGCCGACAAACCATTGCGTTGACGTTCGGACTTTCGGGATGGGAACGAGAGTCGCGCTCCGAAGATCGGGGTGACCTATTACGGTTGGATCCCGACGCTGACGCCAGCGCAACCTGACCGGACCCGCGGGCGCGGGGAAAGGATGACATCTCTACATCACTACAAAAACCAATTGGTCACCGAAGAAGCCGGCCGTGAGTATACATAGATTGCCGGAAGCCCAGTTTTCAGTACCTGACGTCGGCTGCGCGGCAGAGCGCTTTGTCGAAGTTTGCTGATCAGAGCTGGGTCAACGCTGAATCGAAGCAGATCAGGTGGGTGGATGGTGGGTACAAAGAGTTCGATGCCGTTGCGGAACAAGCGTCACGCTATACCAGGTTGATTGATACATCGTAATCCTGTTGAGTCGGCTCGCCGCGCAGGCACAAAGAAGGTTAGACTCGAGCCCTACCAAAGCGCACGGTATTCGCGGGTAAAGTACGTGCTTCACAAGGACGAAACGAGACGATGGTGGACGTGATTCGTCGAGGTGGCAGTGAGCATTTTCGATATCCGGCGGTCCCGCCGAACACTCTCCCACGGATCTTTCTTTGCTTTTTTCGTGGCAATCACTGGCAACGAACGACCTCTGTCACCAACTCCGGACCTTTCCTCTTTGCGATACGCAGATATCTGAGGCACAATCGATGCTCTGTTACAAAGAGACGGTCTTCGGCTCTCACCGCAATGTACCAATGAACGTTCGAACAGAAAACGGCTGAGGAGGCAGAGCTGGACTTCACGCGATCACCGCTCAGAACGGTCGGCGCAGATTCCCGCATCCCGAGACATCTACGCGTCAGAGGAGGGCGTTAGAGCGACCACAATTGAGTGGCAGCTTCGGCGCGAGTGATATCGGGCCCGCTGCTTACCCGCGCTCTTTGGGGTGCTCTGGACTGTTGTACACGTCACCGAAGGTAAAGTCGTACTCGCACATTCACAGCGGGAGGAACTGAACAGCTTCGTTGAGAGCTTGAGCTTGTCGATTTCCAGGATGTGACTCCCTGAAACCGCGTCTGACTGCTTGCTGCGGCACTTCCGACCACACCTGCAACATTCAAAAAACAAGTCCCTGATGCTTCCACAGCCACATATGCGGATCAATCCCGCCGTTTTCCCTTGTCCGCGGACCCACTCCTCCGGATTCGCGCTAAACTTGCGCGCTCCCACCATCGCCGAGCTCGGTACTGACGCGTTATTCTCGTTATTCTCATCCGTTTGCCGCCACTGACGGCCCCGACTGTGCCGTCCGAAGATCGCGTTACTGAATGATTGCGCAACAGGGTGTTCTCAGATATTGCTTCCATCTGCGCTCTCCCGACGCCCGGATGTGAACGGCGCTCGTTACCTTTTCTGTCGCACGCAGCTATCGGCGCGACTGCAGGGACTCCGGCCAGGCAAACTGCGCCATGTGCAACGCAGTATCCGGCGAAAGCTGTCTCTCACGTACAACTCTGTTGATCATCATTTGCGCCAAATTTTTTCCTCCAGGAGGGATGAGAGCGCCAAAGTCGTGACGATTCGGTCGTGCCTGACTGACGTCCCAGTGACTTCTTCTACGGAGACACGGACAAAGAGATGTCAGGGGGAGGAAGGCATATAAGGAGTGCGCGAAATGCTTGGAGTCCCCAACCCGCTCAGCGACATCTGTCCAGGGTTTCCTCCTCATTGTCCGACTTCCAGCCTTTGCTTTAGGGAACGTCGACCTTCTTCGCAATGGCCCGCTTCCAGTCCCTCGCTGCCTTTGTGGCTTTGTCCATGGCCGTCGGCGGTCTCGCCGCCATCGGGCCCTCTGCTACCATCGACATAGTCAATCTCGAGCTTGCTCCTGATGGCTTTAACCGCTCGTAAGGTCATCATTTCCTCATAGTTTTGCAGTCGCTGACCAGCACGTAGGACGGTTCTCGCTGGAGGCACTTTCCCCGGCCCTCTCATCACCGGAAACAAGGGTGATAACTTTCAGCTGACTGTCAACAACCAGCTCACGGACACCACCATGTTGAAGACGACCACAATTGTAAGCGTTCTGCTTTACACCAGCCACAGGGCGGTACCTAATTCAATATTCGCAGCATTGGCACGGTTTCTTCCAGAAGGGTACCAACTGGGCCGACGGTCCGGCCTTCGTCAACCAGTGCCCGATCGCGAGCGGCAACTCGTTCTTGTACGACTTCAACGTCCCGGACCAGGCCGGCACCTTCTGGTACCACTCTCACTTGCAAACCCAGTATTGCGATGGTCTGCGTGGCGCGTTCGTTGGTGAGTATAATCGAAGGGCGTGCTTGAAGGGACGCTGATGGTGACACTTGGTAGTTTACGATCCCAACGACCCCAATGCCGACCTCTACGACGTCGACGACGAGTCCACCGTCATCACGCTCGCAGACTGGTATCACGCAGTGGCTCCCACCCTCGTCTTCGGTGTTGCCGACTCTACGTTGATCAACGGGCTGTTAGTCGGTTCGTTCTGGCGGTATTATTCTGGCTGACGCACTTCCTCCAGGGGACGTTACGCCGGAGGACCCTCATCGGATTTGGCGGTGATCAGCGTCACTTCTGGGACGCGCTACAGGTTCCGCCTGGTGTCTATTAGCTGTGACCCCAACTTCACCTTCCAGATTGATGGTCACACGTTCACCGTTCGTAAAGCGCCACAATCAGTCCGGCATAGCTTCTGATATCTTTATCAGATCATCGAAGTTGACGGTGTCAACCACGAGCCCCTCGAGGTCGACCAACTCCAGATCTTCGCCGGTCAGCGCTACTCGATCGTCATGGCCGCTGACCAGCCCGTCGACAACTACTGGATCCGCGCCAACCCGAACATCGGTGCTGCTCAGGGCTTCGCTAACGGCATCAACTCTGCAATCTTGCGCTATGTCGGCGCCGACGCCGTTGAACCCACCACGACTCAGGACACCCCGTCTGCGGCGCTCGTCGAGACGAGCCTCGTGCCCGCCGAGAACCCTGGCGCGCCCATTCCCGCTGACCAGCGCTGCGTCGACTGCGCAGACGTGAACATCAACCTCGCGCTCGACTTCAACCTCAACGGCGACCTCCAGTTCAACATCAACGGTATCAGCTACGTCTCTCCCACCGTTCCGGTGCTGCTACAAATCCTGTCCGGTGCCCAGTCCGCCACGGACCTGCTCCCGAGTGGCAGCGTCTACTCTCTCCCGAAGAACAGCACGATCCAGATTTCGTTGCCGGCTGGTTCGACTGCCCCTGCTGCGGGCGGCCCGCACCCCTTCCATTTGCACGGAGTCAGTTCCTTTCCTCCCTCGTTTCTCCGAGGTCGGCAGTGCTCATATCGTCCTTAGCACACCTTCGACGTCGTGCGGGCGTCGGGCCAGTCTGACTACAACTGGATCAATCCGCCCCGCCGTGATGTCATCAGCACCGGCCAGACTGGCGACAACGTCACCGTAAGCTTCACCGTGATCGTCCTTGATTCTCGGTCTTCTGACGTGACGGTGTGCATAGATCCGCTTCGTCACTGACAACTACGGTCCTTGGTTCCTCCACTGCCACATCGACTGGCATCTCGAGAACGGCTTCGCCGTCGTGTTCGCTGAGGACGCCGGTGAGGTCTCAGCGAACGTCCCGGTCCCCGACGCGTGGAGCAACCTGTGCCCTATCTACGACGACCTTACTGCCGACGAGCTCGGCGGCGAGGACTAAACCAAGCGATGCACAATGCGCTCCCTCCAGGGAACTGCGGACTCTTTTCAATCTGTAACTTTTATCGTCATCGTTTATACATACACATCAGTTCTTTCTATGGGGCTTGGGGTTTGTTGGAGCTGAAGGGCTTTCTTGCATTATCTATAATTCTCGCAGTCGTCCACAGTGTTTTGGAGGGGTAGGTTTACAAGCAGTAATGCAGCATAGAGGAGACATAAATGAAAGAAGTTTTGAATCATCTGCTATCAGATTGTTTGAGCGTGCCTCCTTTGCAGTGCAGCTGAGGTTCTCAGGTTTGATGTTACCGGGAACGTACAAGGTGGGTCGATCGTGACGCCGTCGACAACAATGATGCACAACGGGAGGCTTAGCCCCGCTTACATTCCCGAGAGACGAGTTGTATGGATACACATCATAACTTTGCTACAGCCACTCCTTTCTCCTCCACATCCCACAGACTCCACACCTCGCCCACCTCGGCCCCTACGCCGTTGCTTGCAACGCGCTCATATGCCCTTCGCACATTCTCCCCACGAGTCCTCTCTATACGCACCCAGCCCTTGCCATCCTGCATAAGCTCCGCCCAGGCCTTGTTTTGCATTGAGAGGATGGTGGGGGTAGGAAGCTGGCGCCGGCGGAGGGTGAGCCACTCTGGCATGAAAAATTGTTCAAGAGTCGGCGCGTCTTTTGGGGTCTGAGCATGTGAAACCTCAAGGGCGGTGTTGGTCGTCCACTTGGTGGACGAGCCTTCGGGGGAAGAAGGTGATAACGTGCTGAGCCCGAGTTGGATGCTTGCAGTGAGTTTGCCGCTTCCCTTGTAATGAGCGAATATCTTGTTGTTCAGGTCGTCGTTCCCGGCGACGTCGATGTATATCCATTCCTCCTGGGCGCCGTCTCCATCTTTCAAGTTCAGAGCATTAGACGAGGCGAACGAGTCGTATTCCGACACCTCGTCGTACAGCCCCAGTCCATTCGTGAACGCCAAGTTCCTCTTCGACGTCAACCCCACCACCTTCATCCCCTGCAGCTTCCGCTTGCGGATCAAGTAAGCCAGACAGAACGCCGTCTTCGCCGACGCGGAGGATATCAGGACGCGTCTTGCCCCGCCACGATACCCCGAGGCGTGCAACCAGTCCTCGCACCAAAACGCGGTCCAAAACAGCGGGCGGTAGAGCATCGTGAGGTCCTCGAGGTGCGGGTCGGAGGATACATATTGCGGGTCACGAGAGCACAGGGTGAGGGTGTTGTACGGTCGGCGGTCGGGCGGGAGGTGCGGGCGCGGGATAAAGACGTTGGGAGAGGATGGGGATGAAGAGTGTGATATGGGAACGAGGAGGTGGGTGGTGGGTGCGAGGTAGCCGTAGACACGTTCGCCGACGGGGAGCGAGGGGGAGGTGGAGAGGACGACGGTGCCGAAGCCCCATACGGGGATGAGGCCGTGTGTTTTTGAGGATACGACATCGGTTGTGGGCGGATAATGGTATTCGAAATACCTAACCAGAATGAATGGAGGTTAGAAATCAAGCAAAGAAAGAAGGTCGCATCATGAAGCACCTGAAGTGCGGCGCTTCGCCGAGCGCCTGGTACGTGACGTTGTTCGCGCTGAAGCCGAAGCGGTCGACTTCGATCAAGACGTGGTGCGGCGGTATGCCCGCAGGAGGCGCAGCTTTCACCAGCATGGGTTGGTTGGGGTTAAGCCCGGAAGATGGGCGCGGGACGCAGAGGGTCGTGCCAACCGCCGTGGACATGGGGGAAGACATTGCGGGACGAGTTTGCCAATGGTCAGAGCCGAGAGTCCACGGGTGATATTTTGCTTCAGACCGATCGTGGTGCAAGTCTAATAAGCGGAGGTATAACTAGACCGGGGAGTCCTGCGAGGATGAGAGCCCATCAATCTGCCCGCGCCGGCGTTTCGATAGCCGGAGGTCAGCTGAAGTTAGTACTCATTCAAGTCCTTCGACAAGATGCGAAAAGGGTCAACTGCTGTTCAGAATGACCATAGAGGCGTTTTCATGTTCAGCGCTGTGTCATGAGAGATGAGATGATTCAAGTCCACGTCCAAGTTGCTGCATGGCCGTCGTGGCTCCTGGAGGGACAGAAGGACCATGCTATTTTTGGCTCACTATACGAACGGAGAACCCCGGCAACCGCCGCCTGCCGTTTGCTCTCCAACCTCGTCCTCGTCGCACTTCGCATCCTCAGCAGCCGATCGGTGCAGAATGTTACCCATGAATGTCTCTGGCCCAGTACATGCGAAGCATCTTGGCGGAATTTTACCCTGTTTGCGACGAAGCCGGCTCGTTTAAGGACTGAAGCCGTTGGTCGAGGGCCCACCACGAATGGATCAACGCGAAATTCCCCTGTTTCTCTGGCCGATACTATCCCTTAACAATACGCCAAACCGGGTGTATCTTGTGCTATCGGGTAATAAACCGGATTATAAGCCCGTCGCATTGGTACAACCGATATCGACGTCAGGACAATGCGAGGATGTTCCTGCTGAACCCGTTGCATTTCTCCCTCACATCGTACCTCCAAGATACTATGGCAATGTGCCAGTACAAGTAAAGAAGATTGATGTGTCGTCTTGTCTCGACATTCTGGATCTAGCACCCGTACTCGGCAGACAAAGCCCACTCGTGCGCGACGCGAAACGCCACTTTATCTCAGTGGCCTCACTCGCGGCCTTTCGCCAGGATTCTTCCATCGGTATTCGACGTAGGACTGGTAGTGCTATGGGCTTAGCCTAGCTAACGCAACCCATCAGACTTGAAGGTGAGTAGTGTCGTTTGCGCTCCTCTAATAAGGCTTCGGCGGAGTTCTGTTCCTAATCGCCCCGTGGCCAGCACAACGCCAACACCTAGCCGAGGCGCCACCCAAGGCACGCGACCATGGTGGCCTTGCACGCGCAGACGCTGAAAAACGTGTCATCCCACTCTCATGTACCCCACCTCTCTTGAACCCGTACTCTGCCACACGAGAACACGCCGCACTATCGACATACATCGCTAAATCTGCAATCCATCGATACCAACCGGCCATCTCGACCCAAAGACTGCTCCATCCGTCTCAACATCTGTCCATTTCCAATTTCCATCAGACTTACCATAATCTCAACGTAATAATGCCGCCCAAACCACTCAAACTACCGAGCATACCTCCCAACCCTCCTCCCAGCGCGTCCGGACGCGTCGATACCAACCACAGCACGACAGGCAGGGCAAAGGCTTCTCTCATCGCTGCATCGAACGCTTCCGTACGCGCCAACGCGAAGCCCGACGCGTCCGCGCTCGTCAACCCGTCTACGTCGTCCAAAGCCACCCCGGTCTCTTTGTCTCTTCCAACTAAGTCGGCGCCTACGCCTCCAGCGAAGCCGCTTGCCGCCCCTGTCGATTCACGCGGCTCAGGTAGGTCCTTGCCACCTGCTGTACTCACTCAACCCTGACGCACGTTGTCCAGCTCCAGCTCCGGTTCCAGTCCCTCAGACGCGTGCAATCACGACCAAACCTCGGTCGGAGGCGTCGCAGGCAAGCATGCGGTCTACTTCCACTCGTCCTGGTCAAGCCACGCCTGCCGTTCCTCCCGTTCTCTCGGCCGGCATCGCTCAAGGTCCATCCACTGCGAGCAAACGGCGTCCATCGATCTCGCACGCACACACACACGCGAGCGCGAGTGCGAGCGTTCCTACGCGCTCGCGGCCGGTCACCCCAACAAGATCCAAATCGTCCACCGCTACTCGCACTCCGTCTGTGCCTCCCGTTCCCGCGATGCCGGCCACAGCGAGATCGGCGTCGACGCGTTCTTCCCCGCCTCTCGTCCCGCCTCCGGTCCCGCCCAAATCGACACCGCCGCGCCCGGGATCCAGAATGGCGAGGACCAACTCGACGACGACGACGACGACGCGTCATTACATTGTAGCACCCTCGCCGCCTACCCCTGGGGCGAGCAAGCCGCGATCGTCGGCCGCGTCGTCAAGTACGGTCTCAATGCGTACGATTACTGCAACACCGAATCGTACCTCGTCCTCGGCAGGGGCATCGGCCGCAAGGAAGGCGGATAAACCCTCCCCGCCCGTCTCTCGCTCGAACTCCGACTCGTCGACCGCGAGCTCGTTATCATCCGTCACACCGTCTATGTCGACGTCGAAACGCCCTGCTGCGACGCTGAGCATCGCAAGCGCCGCGACGCTCCGACCATCCGTATCGGGATCGAGTATGGATACGGTGCCGTCTACGATCTCGAAGTTGATGTCGTCGTCGATACGTTCTACGCCCGTAGCAGCTCTCCCAGTCAAGAAACCTTCTCCCCCGGTATCGCGCGCCCACTCGAACTCCTCGGGTATTGGCTCGATGTCGTGTGGATCCTCAAAGTCTACGTCCGTGTCCGCTGTCGCTGCTTCGTCCGGTAAGCCTTTACCGCCGGTGCCGCGATCCAGCCCGAATTCATTTGTCCTAGGTTCTGCTCTCCCCACGCCATCCAAACCTATGTTGGCGTCTGCGCGTCCTCCTCCATCTGCCGTTGCTACCACGGGCAAATCGAGCGTCAGCAACGCCCACTCGTCGGTCTCCCAAAACCACCCGACCTCCGTGTATACGAGATCGACACCGATGCGTACCCCGTCCTCTGCGGGTCGAAGCTCAAGCAAAGCGACATCGTCAATGTCTCGAGCGAGCTCGGACTCATCAGCTACGCCCACCGTATTGAAGTCGTCATCGGCGCTGCTGTCTCCTCCGTACGCGGCGGGTCGAAGCTCTAGCAAGTTGCCCTCCTCGATGTCGCGCTCGAGCTCCGACACCTCGGTGACGCTCACGCAAACAAAGCCAACGCCGACTACCTCAGGTCGTGGCTTTGGAGGGGTTGCTCCCCTGCTGTGGATGAAGCGCTCCAACTCGGACTCGTCCGTCACTCCCACGGAGTCGAAAACACCAGCGGCCGCGGTGATGCGACCTGTATCGGCGGATAATTCCTCCTCTAAGCCTCCCCCGGCGGTCCCTCGTTCAACCTCGGATACCCTCGCGGCGGGAACAGCCGTTCCCATGAAGTCCGAGGTCTCATCTCCTGATCCCTCCCTATCCTTGGTGGAGTGGATCGTGAGGGAGCTACGCCATCGAGAATCCTGCGAGAGTTTGAGTTCCATTCGTACGGGATCGACTTCGGCGCACGTCTTCACACCGCGCTCCACGACGGCAAGCATCGCCGGCCAGAAGCCCCGCATTCGAGAACCGCATGCAAGCCTCAAACTGTCTCATGGAGAGCCCCCTGCAGCGAAACCAAGCAAGGGAAGTGCCGAGGAGTCTCAGGGAAGGTCGAGCTCATCCAACGCGAGCGACCCTGCGTCGCTCACCTCTGCATCTACGCCAGCGAACCTTTCTCGCCGCACCGCAGCCAGTATCATCAAAGAAGCTCGAAACAAGTTTGCCAACCCTCACCTCGCTTCTTACCCAACGAAGGCGGACGCCGATGGGAGTCCCCCTGTGAGGCTAGCGCGCTCTCGCAGTCGGCCGCCTACTGCCAAGGTCTCTCCTTCTGAGCTACCACCGCTCCCTTCGCCCGCCGCAGAAATGATGGGGTTAGCTACTCGCAATGACGATGGCAACGACACGGAGGAAGCCCCCAAGCCACCCTCCCCCACCACGAAGCGATCCAGGTCCAGAGGACGAGGGATGTCTTCCAGCGTTCGTGCGCACGGGAAATCCAAGCGTGCTTCTACGTCACCCCGCCCCATGCCTATCCCCCGGTCCGCGAAGGCTCGTGGCCCCCGCCCAGGCGGGTTGGTCCTCGCTGAGGATGGCACACTGACCATGGCCCGCATTACACCGGAAGGCGCCTCTATGATGCATGCCTTATATCCTTCATCCCCCGCCGATTTCGAAGCTCGAAACGGTAAGGTACCAGACGTTCCGGCCGACGTCGAAGCGTCTTCTATATCGGCTTCAGATGAAGGCCCATCGTCCTATCGAAGTGAGACCTCCGGGTCGGGGTCAGGATCCGGTTCCGATACGTTGATCGACGACGCGTCTTATGTATTCATACCGTCGCGCCGGCAGAGAACGGCTGTATCAACCCGAGCCCTGCGGGACGTAGGCTCTCCAGATGGCGTTGAAGCGGCGAAGGCGGATCCAAGCAAGCGAAAGTTTGTGCCTTTCCTGGAACGCCCTCTTGCAGCCTCTAGTCTGCCTGCGCCACCTGGAGCGAAAGAGGTCGAACCCACGTCTTCGTCATATAGCAACCAATTGCCTATCGGCGATCACGAACCACCGAATTTATCCGATAGCGACGACGAAGGTCAAGGAGATGCGCAATGGGCCGCACTCAAACGCGATGCCGGTGAGCAGTCCTTCATCGCGGATCCTATTTGATGAGGTTGACTATTTAACCAAGTGGAATCGTGGGTACGGTTGCACGATCGGGATCCATTTCGAAAAGATCCGGTCTCCATCGAGGGCACCCACCACTCAGTGTTTTCGCCCCCGACTCGCGCAGAGCGTACTGCATCCAACATTGCCATCCGTGGGGAACGCTCTTCCAAGTTTTCAGTGAACCCCATCCAGTCGGCCGACACGGGCAGTCACGTTCGCATCAATATTCCCGGGGCACTTCATGGTCCATCATCCGGCGTCAGACGAGCCCACCATAGCTCGTCGAAGCTCATCAAACCCCGTGGGCGAAGCATGACCCGCTACCGTCCACCAGGCCGATCCCAGAGTCACGATCGTGGCGCTGGTGTCATCCGTAACACGCTGAGCGCGATACGTCGGACTGCATCGCTGGATGGCAATTGTACCACAGCGGGAGCTGAGCGCCGGTGGAATCGATATCCATCTGTAGGCGTCGATCTCCACAACGCGCTGACGGAACTCGGACAACTCGGACGCAAGCACTGCGACAGTGACAAAGACATCGAAGACTTCTTTCTCGGCATCATCTCCACTCGTGATGCTGCCTCGCTCGCAATTGCCCTCGAAAAGGAGTACGAACGTTCGATGGCGTTAATGACCACGGCCTGCTGTGATGAATTTGAAAATATATATCCAAATTTGTCGGAGGTCAAGGGACAGAGACCCGACATTCCGCTTCGTCTAATCAAGGCCACGGCCAAGGCCAAATCCGTAGAGGACGCTACGTTGCATAGGCGCACGAGAGCGAACTACGCCGGACCGGAAGAGTCCTGGGCCCTCCGCGGAGTCGTTGCGAAGCTGCTCAATTTATGGATTGGACGTTGGTGGTACCTCGAACGCGATTGGCCACTTTGTTGGACAAAGGTGCCTAAATGCCTCGAGTCCGCAGACCGGGCGGAAAATAGTGCCATGCCGCACCTCAGACATTGGATCACCCTCGTTCGCCATAAAGCGCAATGCCCGGAGGTACATGGTCAGGAGGGGAGGCGGATTCGTCCCCAGCAAAAGGAACTGATCGAGAATCTACAACGCGTAGACACAACCATTCGCGAAGCTCTCCGAGACAGCTATGCGCTCGATCCGTCGCACGTCAGCAATGCCTCCCAGGGTCAACTCGGCATAGATAGCGTCTCCGCTGCTTCATCCATGGCCCTGGAGACACCAGCTTTTAACATCCTCCAATTCGACGAAGACAAGAAGGGGCTTGCATTGGCGCATCAAATGACTCTCATTGCGTCCGAGTATTGGCACTCGATATCGGCAACACCCTTGATGGCGGTGTTCGGCCTTGGGACCGACGTGACCACCGAAACGTTCAAGCCTATCTTGCCCTTATCCTATCGCGCTGCATTGGAAGCAACATGGCGTGCGCGGTCGAGCTTGGCTTTCCTTTTCAACTGCACCACAATCCTTGTGGTCGAGTCCATTGTTTCTCTGAGGGATCCAGACGCAGCTTGCAAGGCATGCACGCGATGGTTCCAGGTGGCCAAGGCGAGTACAGTTGCTCATATCAAGCATCGAAACCGGCTCATCCATGAACTCCAGCAATGCTTCGATCATGGCGACTACTTTACCGCGGGGGCGATCGTCAACTCTCTGAAAATGACGCTGATTGCTGCTTTCTACAGCATCCCTGAAGTGGGTCATCTTTGCTCACGACCGATGGCGCCAGTGGTTGATAACACAGCATATGAATCAGACTTACGTCACTAACTTCTATGGAGACTACGTGTCAACTTCGAGGGATATCGACGCATTGCTGACTGCGACAAAACCGACGATACCCCATCTTGGTGAGTGGCGTATTGCGCATCGTCAGTGAAGGCTGCTGATATAGTTTATTATAGTCCGAGTAAGCTCGTACTTGGCGGCGCACATGGGCGTGATAAACCAGAAGGCCGACGAGTTGCACCTTCCGCGTCTCATGGCCGTCGGTGAAACTGCTCGAGGTTCGTACTGAGTCCGCCATACCAGATGTCCGCTGATATACGGACAGCCCTCGAAACCTCACTGGGAAGCCGCCACAAATTCCCCGTCATGGACACCATACGACAACCAATCCAGGAGAAGCTTAAAGAAGTGATGGATCGACATGTTGACACATTGATGAACTCGAAATGGATGGACTATTATCGCCCTTTGAGGTGAATGGTTAACTCCACTCCGCCTTGCGTATTTTGCTAATTTTCAACCCAGCGATTTAATCAGAGATCAACAACGACAGCGCGGTTCCCAGGGTCGAGGCCGCAGACCCAGTATCACCCGGCTCGTTCGAGGCCTCTCAGGAACACGGTCCTAACTTTGTTGTCTCTTGTTACCCCATGCCGTGGTGCGCTGGTCGCTTCGTTCGTTGATCCTCACTCTCTTTAGTTCAGCGACTACACCCTCCTTTGTTTCCCTTTCCTGCATCCGACGTCGCTACGCCAGATCAGTCAAGCGAATGCTCATAAAAATCAACACGCTCCTTGTATTCTTATTCATATTTACGTCCGGATACTTGTATACTGATACTATGTATGGTTCGTCTTCTTCATGTGTACTCAGAGTGGACGAGAATATAGCAGTTAATCACATGAATCTCGCGATCAGACGGGGAGGGCTGTCAATCCATATCGTACACTCGCAACACGGATTCATCGTTGGATTCACAGAACATCAAACCTGCCAAGCATTGGTAAGCGATCGTCCTCAGATATGCAGGACAGTGACCTACGCGTCCGAACGCCAGTCTTTGCCGCTCGACGCGGCCTCCTCTCGCTCCTGCACGCGGTTGATCCATCCGGCAGGGGATCCCTGGTTTGGAAGAAGCACCGAATCGCGCTTGGATACGACCTGGAATTTGGAGCCCTTCTCCTTGTGAGCTTCCGCTTTGGCGGTCTGCTTCTTATCCTGGAACATCTGTACGACGCATGAGGTCAGGCGGCCGCCTCGTATCCGTGACAAAAGCAGACGCACCTGCTTGAGGACCTCCCTGCGACTAGTGCCGTCAGAGGCCTTCGCCTCGCTCATGCGGTCACGCACGCCGACGAGCTGCCCGTCGACGTACTCCAGCCCGGTCGTGATGGCGTCCGCGATCGCCTTCTGTATCTGTTTCTTCACCAACCCGGTCGCGAGCGGCCTGAGCGTCTTGTACAGCAAATCGTGCTTCGAGTCGCGGATCGAGAACTTCAAGGTGTCGACCTTGACGGCGACGTTCTTGACCTTGAACACCGAGCTCGGGTCCTTGTCAGCGGAGACGAGGTGGACGGTCACGGTCAAGCCTTCGCCACCGAGGAGGACATCGGCCAGACCAGAGTCTTGGAGCTTGGGGAACCCGCTCTTCTTGCGGAACCAGAAGGCGACATCGCGCATGTCGGCCTGGATTTGAGCAAGTGTGATGGTGAGCCTAGTGGACAGCCGTCAGTGATATCGTTCATACTGTGTAGTAGCTGGACGTACTCGTGATGATGCTCATCCTTGATCTTCTCGTACGGGCTAAACTTGAGGAAATTATCCGTCTCTATGGCAATGATGTTTGGGAGCAGATTGCGGCCCGAAAGGGTCAAGTTCTCGATGATCATATCGAACTGCGCGTCCGTATACTCCACGCGCGGGATGGGGATGTAGCCGACCTGGAAGGGATGACGTGTCGCATCGTGACCACAATGTCGATGCCTTGAATCGAAAGCTAACGCACCTGATCCACGAGGGCCGGAGCGATAACGGTACGGATATCGCGCCACAAGTGCGGTTTGAACTTCAGGCTGCCGTCGCTGTCGAAAAGCAGATCCTTCGTCAGGCTCGCCCAGTCTTGCCCGAACCTGTACTGTGCGTGAGTCACCGTTAGGGAACCGCGGGACGAGCAGTGTTACCTCTTGTTCAGGGGATCATCGCCCATCGCCTTGAAGAAGTCACCAATGTTCCTGAACAAGTGGTCAAAGTGCTGCTTGTACTTGTCGTCGTAGAACCGGCGCCCGTCTTCCTTCAACGCGTTCGCGTCGTCCGTGGACTCCTGCTGAATGACGTAGCCGGCTTCCAGCAGTACCTTGTAGCGGGCTCAATGACAACCCACGCCTCATCAAGAACACCACACACCTTACGCAAGTACGCATCGACGCGCTTGAACCACCCCTTGAGCTCTTCGTCGTTCTTCGAGTCCTGAACGAGCGCATTGACAGCATCGAAGATCGGGGTCATCTTCTGGTTGTTCGCGAACCGCTCCAAGAGCGTGCGGAGCTCAGTAGTGGCCTGCTGAAGCGACCCGTCCTGGAAGACCGAGGCTAGTCAACGTCAAATTCTCCTCACTGCGCACATGCGATCTCACCTCCTTCAACTGTCCAGTAGATTCCTTGCCGGTCTTGGCGACGCCGATCCCATGGTTCGCGTAGTCTTCCACATAGCCGATCAACCACCGGATCGACTCCTGGTAGTCCTTGTGTTTCTGACACTCGATAACCACCTGTCCGATCATCGACCCCACCAGGATAAGCGACACGCGAGGTTCGTACAGGGCGACAGACGAACCTTCTTCAATCGGAAGATGAACTGATCGCGCCTCTCCTCGGGGAAATACTCTTCCGTGAAGAACTCCCTGGCGCGGTCGCGATGCTCGCGGACCTTCTCCTTGTGTTCGTCGGGAACCTTGCTCGACACAGCGTCCTAAGTCACGAAACAAAGGGAAATAGCAACACGTTAGCAGGGGATCCCAACGAACGAAACAAGGGAGCGAGGCAAAGGTGCAAAGAATAAGGACGAATAGGAAGGAAGAAGCACCATAAAAGACGAAACGAAACGAGAATTTGAAGCAAAACTTGAAGAAGAAGGGCGAGAAGCAGCCAAAGTGGAGTCCAAAGGAGGCGACCCTGCTAAAGATGAAGAAGAAGAAGAAGAAGTCGAGGTCGAAGAAGCGTCCGGACCGTTCACCACGGGCGCGACGAAATACGACGTCTCCGCCCGCAAAAGTCGCCCGCGCTGCGATCCAGCCGACAGCGTGAACGAGCCGAGGTGCGCCTGCCCGCTCGGACGTCGCGCAGGACCGGGGTGAGCCGGGGTGCCTTCCCTCGGATGGACGACGGACGGGCTCACGGGCGAGGACGAGCGGGAGGACGCCGCAAGACGGCGCGCGTCTTTAGGTGGCAGAGGCGGCGGCGATCGGCGCGACGCCGAGCTCAGCACCGACGACGCGCGAGACGGCGGTGGGATAGGAGGCAGAGGGCGCCCGTTGGCGGGAGGCGAGAGCGCGATCCGGCGTTCCGCGGCTTCCGCGAGCAGGTCGCGCGTCGGGCTGTCCGGAACGTCGACGTGCCCAATGGTCCCGCGGCGGGACATCAAGTCCGCCCGCTGATCGGCCACGTCGTCTTCTTCGTCCGAATCGGAGGATGCCTCCTCCTCGCCCCCGCTCTCATCGCCTGCTCCGTACAGCTGCGACCGATGCTGGTCCACGAGCGCCTTCTCCACCGCCCTGCTGATTCGCTTCTCCCCCACGCCCTCATCATCCCCACCGCCCCTCAACCGCGCCGCGTAGTCGACTTGCCTGACGGTCACCGCCGACGCACCCGTCTCGCTCGACGAGCTCCCCGGACTGGGAAAACTCGGCGGAAAGCTGAGCACGAACGGGGACGCCGAGCGCGACGTCTCCGGCGACGCTCCTTCCTCCCCCTCCGCACCGGGCCGAGCAAAGGACGACAGCGGCGAAAAGTAGCCCTCCGAGCCCGACGACGGGATCGAGCGCGGCGAACGCGAAGACAGGTCGGGCGACGACAGGCTCGTCCCGAACCGGAACGCGCTCGGCGGGTTGGGCGAGCCTTTGGGCGGCAGCGCCGGCGTCCAAAAGCCCTCTTCGAGCACCTCGCTCAGCGGGGGCGATGGCAGTGGTTTCGGCAGGGTCGGCGCCAGCACCGAAGCGCGTTGCGTGTTTGATGAGCGTGGATCGGAAGCGCCGATCGACGGGGCTGAAGACAAGAGTGACGATTCGCGTGCTCGAGAGGCGGCGGAACTTGGCGACATGGCGGTATCGTTTTCGGCGTCGTTCGATGGTGGTGTATACGCAGGCGGCAGGCCAAGACTGCCCTCCCTTGACCTAGTCCCGTTCCGACCTCTCGCGCCTCTCGCAAAGTACGAAAACCGGCCGCGGCCCCCCCTCGCTCGTATGCGCTCCTCTCCTGGGGTATGCAGCGGCGAACTCGACAATCCGGCGCGAGCCAGCGCACCCTCGACGAACTCCTTCGTGCCGATATCCACCCCGTCGTGTTCGCGAGGCGTCCCACCCGCACCCGGCGTGCCGAACGGGGACACGCCGACTCCATACCCGCCCGCGGGGCTCCCCCGAAACCCAGGCGACGACATATCCACAGCCGAAGAATCCATCGACGCAGAACCAGAAATAAAAGACGAAACGGAGCGCGAAGCGCGTCTGAACGGAAACGTGAACGCAGAAGGAGCGCCTCGCTGGCGTCCAGCGCCAGCAACAGAACCAGATACGGAAGCAGAAGCAAAACCACGATCACGTTGACGACCAAACCCCACCTTGAACCCAAACAGTCTGCTCTTGAGCGTCTTCTTCCCGGCCTCGGCTTCATCCTCCGTCTGCGGCACGCCGTTCGTCGTCCTACGCATCGTTTCGCTCCATCAGCGTCCGCGCACGTAAATAAAAGAAATAAGACGCTCACTGCGCGACCTCGTCGGCGTTCGCCCTCGCCTCCTCCTTCGTCTCGCCCGCCTTCTGCCTCACCTTCCCCTTTGCCTCCGCCCCGCTCACCGCGTCCCCATCTCCCGTCTTGATCGTGGCGCCTGCTCACGTATCCGCCCATCAGCTCCTCCGCGAATCTGGAAAGAGAAAAAAAACGCACCGTCCCCCAACTTCTCCTTCGGATGCTGCTCGACCGTGACGCCCGTGCCAGGCACCCGTACCTGCGGCACCGGCGTCCCGTCGTGCGGGCCGAGCCTTTCTCCGTCCTTCGACACGAACTCGTTCTCCGGCGCCGGCTCGTCGACGCGCCTCAGCCGCTCCTCGTCCGGCCTGATCTGCTCCGCCGCCTGCCAAAAACCGACCCCATCCTCAGCATTCGACGTCGACATGAAAAAAAAAAAAACGGAGGAAATCGCGAGCAAGTTACCTTGATAGCGCCCTTGGCGAGCAGGTCGCGGCCGATGAGCGCAAAGTCGCTCAGGAGCTTGCGCGCCTCCGAGTTGGTGAGCACGAGCGAGAGCAGCGTGCGGAGGTGCTGCGGCGCCTGCTTGTTCTTCTCCTGCAGCGCGTCCTTGTCGACGTTCTCCGTCGGGTCCTTCTATCGGGCCACGTCATCGTCAGCCCGCCGAATTCGGATAAGCGGGGGGAGGAGGGAAGGGAGAAAGTTTTACCTTGACGCGGTCGTAGTCGACGTCGCGCGTGTGCCAGATAAAGTTCTGCAAGAGCTCGTCCGCGTTCTTGTCGGAGACGAGCAGGCGCGCGGTCTCGATGATGTCGCGCGCATCGGCGATCAGCTTCTTGCCGTCCACGCTGAGCTGTGTGATCGTTGCGACGATGAGCACATCAATCGACATACGAAAGAATGATATAAGAAGGCGCGCGGGCGCATATATCCACGGAGGGGAAAGGCGCATATATGGATGAAAATTTTTAAGAAAAGGAAGACGCACAGCGTCAACGTCCACAGGTTCGCTCGCGAGCAGGTGTTTGAGCGCGGCGTCGATTTGGGTGTTGGACGGCATGCGGCCGTCGCGCAGGGCTTGGACCACGCCGTAGAGCTTCAACTGCCACAAAAAAAAACCCCCCGTAAGCGTCAGCATTGCTCTATCTCCGCCTGTCGAAGGGGTGTGTGTGTGTAGAGGATCACCTTGCGCTTGACATCTTCCTCCTTCTGGCGGCGGTTGACGGGCTCGGTGACGGTGTTCTTCGCGGGGTGGTCCGAGATCTCTTTCGTCGCGGGGGGGAGAGACATCCTGGGAGGGAAAGGGCCGACTTCTCGGTGCGTGTGGGATGTACGTCCGCGCGTGCTTTACTTATAGAGAGACGGGCAGGGGCGTGGTGGGCAGGCGGGGTGCGCGCGTCGGCCGTGCGTGCGTGGTATACTTAGACTAGGCTTAGATTACAGAGAGCTGCTCGTCGTCGTCGTCGGTGAGACAGGGAGAGAGCGATGAGACGACATCGCGGACGGGGGTTGGAGGGTTCTAATACCGATACGGCGGCGGTCGGATGACGCACGTCACGTCGACGGCGGTGGCGGCACTGGCTGCGAAGGTTCGGCCAATAGCGTCGATAAAGTGATCGACAGGGGGCCCCCTTGGAGTTGCGGGGGCGTGCAGGCGATGCGAGACACGAAAACACATGGGTTGCAGTTGGTGTTGCAGTTGCCAGTTGGAGGTGGCGCGCGCAAACGGTGCGGTTGCATCATACGAGCGCGGGGTTGGAATTCGAATCTCGGCCACGCGGCGCCCACGCGAGCAAACCCCGGAAAGAGCCGGATCGACCCCAGCGTGGGATCGTCAACCTCGCCTGATCAGGTCGCAGTAGATCGCAGTCTATGGCGAGTCTCATGTCACACTGGCTGCTGCGTGCTTGGACCGAACAAGCTGCCAAGGCCCATCGTGATATATATCACGAACGCCGAATCCATACCACATAACCGCCTTGCTGCCTCCCATCATGCCATCGTCCGCTAACTCTACCTGTGAGTCCGACCCTGACGCGTATAATATTCTCCTCGTTTGAACGGACTCCTTGCCCGCCGGTGCCAGTTGCCCCGGTCATTCGTACGTGGCCAACACCGCGGCGACGATCGCATGTGTTCACCCGCTATCCCAGTCGGCTCCGTCAGCAAAGACGCTCGCTCAGGCGACCCATCCGAGTCCCCGCGCGTCTGCCCGAAATGTCACCAAGGTAAGCACATCCACAATCAGCGTGTTCCACGGCGCAAGCCATTGGCTCATACCCTTCTGCCCCCTTGTACAGCCGCCGTCTTCCAAACCAAGGTTCGTTTCTAGGCCCCGAGATCGCTCCGTCGCAGGCTCTCAAATACCGACAACGTACAGACCACCTCCTCCCTAGTCGTCCTGTTTGTTTCCGTCGCTCCCGTCGGCAACACCTCACACACCTGGAAATGCGAGCTCTGCGATTGGAGCACGCCGCTGAAGGAAGGAGGGTTAGTCTTCTCTTCTCCTCTTCTCTTCCTACACCCGCCGACCGATGTTGACTGGACCAACCTCCTTCCCTTGTCTTCACGTGCTAGCTGGGAACCCGCTCTTCCCAGTCAAGCAGCCGAAGAAACCTCGACATGAACGCTTGGCGGTCTGGGATAGTCAGTCCCCTGTGCCAAGCGGTGCTCCGACGGGAAGCGCGACGACGACCATATCTATTTCCAAGTCGTCGTACGAGATCCTACGTGTATATATGAAAAATATCCCAAACATCATCCGATATGCAGTCCTTGCCTTCACCGTCGGCGATCCGTCAGACTCGATATCAGCGAGCGCCGAGAACGAGGCAAAACGCATGCGTATATCTTCAATACACCTCCTTCTCGTCGACGCGCGTATCCCCTCGCGTCCGTCGCACCAACTCGACACGTATCGACATGTGAGGTGGCTCGTCCTCCCGTCTTGCGGTGCAAGGCTGACTCACGAACGACAGCTTCCAGACAACGCGTTCCTTGAAAGAAGGATAGAATGCGAAATCCCGCATCAGAGCAGCTATCACCACCTCTGCACACGCGGTTTAATGACGTTAACAGGAAGGAATCGAGTGGTCAACACGGGCTGGGGGGATAAGGACTTACTGATCTCTATCTCTGCAAACTTGAATCCCAAGCATGACCGGGGTCCACTGAGGAACGCCATCCTGTATAGAAGCACCCATATCGAAATGTTAATGCGCCAAGTCAGCGAAGGACAAGTAAAAAATGTGCTGAACTGGTTTGCGTAAACGCTCGGCACTTGCGCCTGCGATACGCTTTCCGACAGTCCCTCGAGCCACCTCCCCGGGTTGAAGTCCTTCGCGTCCGCGCCCCAGACACGTTCGTCTCTGTTACAACCAGCGATACCTAGCAAAATCCCCTGGATGCTTGCGCACCGGGATCTCGTCTATCGCTCGTCGGTCCGTTCCGGACCCCGGAAACCGCAGCGGGAGGATGACGTCTTCTCGCGCGTTCCTGAAGAAGACGTGGGCCGGAGGGTACAAGCGCAGGACCTCTTTGACGACCGCGTCCAAGTAGGGCAGCGCTAGAAGCCGGTCGTGTTCCAGCGACCGACTTTCCGGAAAAGCCGCGGCGACTTCGTCCCGCAGCCTTCTTGGATGTCCTGGCGCGCACGTAACATCTCGAGCGTTCGTGCTAGCGAGGCGCTCGTGGTGTCTACGGAAACATTAGAAACACGGAATCACGATCTTGCACTCGCACTCGTTTAGTAGGCAGGCGTACCGCTGCCTGCAAAGCTACGCGCAGGCCATGGAAACTCACCAACGGGCGCAAATGGCGAGCGTTTCCGTGAACAGATCCTGATGGGTCTCGTGTCTTCTGAAGGCCCGCTCAGTGGCTCCTCAGCGAGAATCTCGTTGTTTAGGCCGCGAATTATCTGTCAGCATCTCGTGAGTAAAGATGGAACGCGCCCGCCAACTGCGATATGTGATATTAAGATTGTGCCATCGCTGGGGAATGTGCTGGAGCAACGCCGGGTGCATATGCGCAGTGTGTGCAGTTATCCAACAAAGACCCAGGCTGACACTGACCACCAGCGGGAATCCCTCCACAGACCCCTGAGTGCTGTAGCTCGGGGGGCAGGGAGCGTAGACGACTTGAATATCGATGGTCTCCGTAGTGCCCATAGCATTGCTGTCGTCGATTCACGAATGACCAGGTGGTCATGCTGTTCACTGAGTCACGTGATGTCATCAGTGTGTCCGGTTTTCCGCAGCCGCGAACCTTGCTTTTTGCCACCGCTCAACACTTTCCGCCCATGAGTGCAGAGTGCGCACCTCATAGCGCTTCTCGGAATAGATGCTCCTTAAGATGCCCCCAACTAAGTCGCAGATATAGCCATCTATGACTCAAGTGCAGACACGATACAAGGCAATCAATGTGCAGAGATGTTCATTTTTTGTGTGATTGTAAGGATCACGAAGACCTACCTCTCATGGCTCAGGATCAGCAGATGACCTATTCGCAGCTCGGAAAGAAGCATCGCACGACGCAAGGTGATCCTCCTCGTACACGCGCGCTTCAATCGACGTGGCATCGGACTCGACGACACTGGGTGCGCCGCCCGTCACATGGCTCGCCTCCTCATCGCTTCTCCGCGCGCGGGACGCATAGCTATCCAGCGTATTGAATCCGAGGAGGTTTGGGCGAGCATACAGAAGTAGGAGGACGTTGAACAAACCGGAAAGGCCGAGAATGACGACGGTAGAGAACGTCGCGGCTGAGGGCACGGGACCTGTGATAGAGATGAGCGCGTGTTGATAGCCTGCTGGCCATGATGCGATAGTGGCGTGGCTCACCATTCACAAATGTCGTCCATCGAGCGATAGAAAGTGGCAAAACGGTGAGGGAATACACCACAGGGTAACTATGCCCAGGAGCCACCATCAGAAACAACACCATCGAACACCGTACTCGGAGAACTCACGAAATCATTCCAAACGCTGCTCTATTCACCGTCTCGCTACCGTCCTTCCCCTGACTAACGCAATGAGTGCGTCGCTGGAAGCTGAACCTCCACCAGCGTTCCGGGTCCGTGTTCACGTTGCCTCGCGCGAGGAGGAAGAGCAACAAGTACAACACGAGCGAGACCAATACAGTAGTCCAGAACCACAGGTACTGGCCAAGTATGCGTTCGGCGGTGTACGAGGAACCGATCCAACACCAGAACTGGAGATAAGTGTCCTCTTCAGTCCATGTAATCCGACGAGAGGAAGGTGACGAGTGACGAGAAGACGTACAGGTGCGGGACTCTCAAAGGGCCTCTCATCGCCTGAGTGGATGCTGATGGAGATAGCAACGAAGAGAACGAGATAGAGCCATACTACTAACATTGCGATCCACGCGCCACGTAGGTTATTAGATAGTCTGGGGCGAAACCATACGACGATGAACGTATGGATTGCGATTATCTACGACGAGAACGTAATTGAGTGATCTCCGCCCATGCCACGAGGAGTGATGCTTACAAGTAGGATCATCGCGACGCCAGCTTCCCCTATCTGCCTGATCGCACCTGTAGGAGGTAGGGGAAACTGTCAGTCCAACGACTCGCAGATGTCATAGAGACCATTCACCTTGAGCATTACAAAACATCCCAGCTTCAACTTTCCCCTTCACAACCCAGTGTGTATCCATCATGATGCCAACAGACTGAAATAGCTCGGCGAGGAAGAGGTGCAACATGTGTACGTCCAACGGGGCTTTGACAATCCTGCGCCCACGAAGTCTGTTACGCTGAGAAACAACCAGTTCAGCGAGAGAACTCAAATGGAAAACCAACTGGCAGCGTACGACGACGAGGAAGGCAAGTACGAGGAGGGCGATAAAAGATATGAAGCCGGACTCCGCAGAGAGCTGCGCAGCGAGCCTTCGGTTAGCACTAGAGACAGCCACACGTAGTCGTAACAAATGGAAACGCACAGAGACTCCAATAGCCTGTCCTCTCGTCAAGCAATGTATCCTCACGTCGGGCCCCTTCGTATCGGACAAAGCGAGCTCGTCCGCATCGCAGAACGTCCCAAGACGTGGGTCGACGATGTAGGGCACGGAGGTCTTGTCCATGCAATCAGCGGCGATGTGGAGTCGAGAAGCAGCGGGGAAGGGCCTTGAGCTGGGCTTCTATTATATGCGGCTACACGGCCTTGGGACGCTCTTCCGCATGTCGCGCAAATTTGGACGTGTGTGTATCATTGCTGTGCGCAATCCCAACCACGCTGTCATTTTTCAGTGACTAGCAAAGTCTATAATGAAAATGCGAGATACCTGGAGGGCAAATCCCTGTGCGTATCGGGTGAAGGTAAGACGGTCCACTTGCGCTTGGCGATGCGCAATGACAGGATGTCTGAGCCAGGGTCAGGAACAACGAAAGGATCTTCTTACGCAGCATTCCATGGAAGGAAGAGTTTGCACAGACATCTAGCGCACTATGCATGCCAAGCTATCAACGCCAACCACATGATAAGGCTCGGAATGGATAAGTCCTTGTTCCAACGCCTTGTTGCTGTATGGCCTACTGAAGGTCAGTATTCAATCTTCATGCGCATAGCGTGAGCGTTGTGGGAATTTAGTGGGCATATCGAGAGGCTTCCAACAGCTATCCGAGCTGTCGAAGGGAATGATCTGTCGAGAGGGGCCTGACCCTACTGTAGGCATTCTGAACGGGCACTCACGAATTGACCCTTTCTGACCGTGGGATGTTTCTTGGTTGATCTGTCTGAACACGAATTACTTCTCACGGTCAGCAGAGCGGCCGTTACCCTGGTCTATCTTATCAAGCGCTCAAATTTCGGTCCAGACACGGAAAGTCACGAAAGTGTCATTACGCAGAGAAAGTAAAGCGCACTACAATTATATAACTGATCCCGATAAGAGGGAGAGAGACTTCGGCGGCTCGGCCCACTGATACATCACATGGAAAGAACGATATCAATACATCATGTAAGCGTTCTCACACCTACAATGTCACGCTGTCTCAAACTAGCTCGACAATCCGATACTACACCCCCTGTCGAGCGTGTTCTCCTGGTGAGAGTCAGACAGGGATCATCACTCATGACCCGATTGATGACACAAGGTACCAGCGTGATGCCCGATCGGCAATCCAATCCTCGTTTTATGAGGCTCCGATGAGACGACTTCATGGGAGGTCCAGCAGGATGTCAGTTTGAGCTCGCAGATGTGACAGGGGAGCGGTTGACGAAGTAACATTGGGACGTGCGTATCATAGTCGATATGGCGTGTAACATATAGCATACAGAGAGTGCTCACTGATCGCGAGATCAACACGGGTGCGACGAAGATATTCTGGACGTTGCATCAGTTTGGTGACAGCAGAGAGACGACGAGCTCATCGGAGGTGGTCGTGTCGGGTCATCAAGGTGAACAGCGTCAGGTCCTGAAGGGAGTTCATCGGATGCGATTGACAAGGGACCGGGTGGACCACATCTTCAGGGGACTCGGACACGAACACGACTGAGGATGAATGCACTGTTTTTTTGCGACTGGTACTGCGCGTAGGAAACAGTACAGACAGTGAATAAAACTGGTTCGTAGATTAAAGAGTGTGTATAGTCCGATACGGTGCTATGGCGCTGAGGAGAATGCGAGGATGCGAGATGCCTGGCAATGGATATCGACAGATGAGTGACTGGTAGTGCAGATTGGTGGTCGGAGGTCGCGATGGTAGCTGCATTGGTGGCAGCAGCATCGAATGCTGCCTTGTCTGCGGTGTTTTCGACGTCGGATGGGTGGGCAACGGTGACGGTTTTGAGGTTCAAGTGGCCATTGTGCATGATCTCATTACAGAGAACTCTGTCGATGATATTATAATGGGTATCAGTTAACGCGGAACGGCAAACATGGAGCGATAACGCACTCGTTGAGGTCGTTCACAACCTGAGCCCCATTCCGCAACCTTCTGGTGGTCCGAACTAAGCTTCAGAGTCGGCGGTAGTAGCTGCAATGGCGGTGGTCGCGTCCAATGCTGCGCTGTCGGCAGTGTCTTGAATGGTGGATGGGTGAACGCCGATGATGGTTTCGAGGTCAAAGTGGCCATAGCTCGCGATATCTTCGTAGAGGAGCTTGTTGATGTTGCTATAGTGGGTTTTAGTCAACATAGAACGGAAAACAGGACACGATAGCGTACTCGCTGAGGTCCTTCGCATCCTGAGCCCCATTCCGTAATCCTTCGAGCTCCTTATCAGCGAAAATCCAGAAATCCGGGTGTTCCAAGTTGCAGGCGAGGATGTTCCTCTGCGTAAAAATGTGGTCAGGTTTGAACAAGGGGCAGCGCAATGATTGCTTACCAAAACGGAGACTCGGGCCATCATCTCCAGAGTAACAACGAGTTTGTGTTGCGGGACAATCTTGCAGAGCAGCTTGCAGAGGTCGTAGATGTTGGTGCTGTTCGTGAATGTTACCGTGCCCGTTTGGGCATCCTTCTGCTGATCCCCGAGGGACTTGAGGATCTGGTCACATACGACAGTGAGTAGACGATGCCATGATGAGCGTACAACGGCCGACATGACTGCGTATTTTGTGACGGGCATCCGTAAGCTTACGAGCAACACGCAACACGATTGTGCTCCACTGAGATTCGTCATTGCGGGCATTTATTGGGACACCCCAACTTGGGTGATTCTCCAGCAATGTCTGCGCAAATTCAATACGGTGCTTGTATATTCCGGAAACTCCTTACCAATAGGGTTTCCTTGATATCGTCACGGTAGAAAGGGATGTTGGGCGAGAGCAAAAGAGTGACTGCGTGTAAGTCAATCTTCTTCTGCGATATGAGCCATCAGAAGGATTGTGCAAAGTAAGTAATACAAACAAACACGGAGTGACTCTGGCATGGGCCAGACAGCGTCGGGAGGGGTGAGTCTTCCGATAGTTCTCTGCAGATCCAGGATCATTGCCGCGAGTCGAATAACATGGTCACCATCGGGAGCCTATAAGGGCATGTCAGGAAGCTGGAATACACCATGTACAGTATCATATAACCTGTGCGAACTGCACGAGTTCATCACCTTCGGCCTTTGGCAACTTGAGGCGGCGTGCCTCCGCTGTTGCAAGCTGACCAAGGTCATCCGCAGTCCGCTTTCGGCTTGTTCGTGATGGCTGCGGCTGGGACACCTGATCAGGGAGCTCATGGTTGTCCCTATCCTCACCATCATCCGAAGATACTTGTCTCTGAAAAAGTGAGTGGCGGGTGGGGACAGGGAGGCGTGCTGCCCTCTGTGCCAGAGTGAGTTGAGTAGCCATTGTTCTGTCAAATTAAAGTATGCGAAGTGTATCGTAGTGCCTCCAGGAGACGAGAAGGCAGGGAAAACGAAAGGAAGAAAGAAAGAGGGAGACAGAGGATGAACACGAGTCTGCCAGCGAGTGCAGCAGAGGGAGTTACCACGGTCACATGATAGACAGCAACGGGGTCTGATCTCAATCACGATAACACATCTCTCCCTCAGACACTCACTGTCACTGCAGCGACAACAGTCTGCAATAGCCATGCCCAAGATTGTTTTGGATGAGACAGGTGAGTGCATTTCTTTCATATATCTTGCTACACTTCATTGAGTCATACACAGAGTTTGAGACTCAGGAGAATGGTGACATTATTTGTCTTGTATGCAGGACAGTTGATCCGCGTTATGGTAAACCTTTCAAGCGTGCAGGGTTGCCTGCCCACATGAAAACCAAGCAGCACAGTCAAGCGGTTCAGCTTAAAGCTCGCAAGTCTTCGTCATCTCACAGGCTAATGCCTACGCTTCCTAGCATTGCTGCTGCACAACTATCCTATCCTGAAACTAGGCCTCCTACTCCCAGTACTTCATCTACAGAACCACTGTTGTCCACTGCATTACAAGGCATTTCGATCATGGACGAAGGATATGCAAACCCCGATGGTACCCTGATATTGTTTACCGTTGGTGATGTCGAACCAGATAGTCACCGTGACCACATTGCCTTACAACTGAAGCATCTTGAGCATATCAACCATGCTCTGTATGCAAAGCAGTGGCAACCTTATGACCCTGATGACTCCGGAGCGGGTGATGCCACTGAGTCCAATGTCATGCGTGCAATACGTGAGATTGGTACGTAATTATTTTATCTGGCTAGTCATACTCTGATCACTATATTAGAAATGTTGGATGAGGACGATGAGGATGGATACACTTATCAGCCACATGAAACTACCCAAGACTGGTTTCCCCATGGCAGTAAGACGGTATGTGTTACCTAGGTATAAATGACTTGTAATTGTTAACGACACACAGATGTTTATGCTGGACATGCTAGATAACCTGCCACGCCTCCGTCTTTCTGACGACCATCTGAAAGCCATCATTTGGGTAATGCGTGAATGCGGAACACCTGACGTGCCATCCTTCTATGCACTTCGGAAGAAGCAAGCAGAACTCGCATGTCAGCTTGTGTCAACAAAATGTCATGTGTCATCACTGGGCAACCAATTTTACATGAATAGCCCCGCATCGCTATTTGCAATGGTATGGCTCTACTTACTATAATATGATCAATACTCATAAGTGGTAGGATTGGGCGAATCCCCGAGTTCGGCCTTTCATTCATCCATATGTTGACATTACTGGACCAGTTTCAGAGGCTTGGCAAGCTGGAAAGGCACTGAAACACATCGATGACACACTGCTTTCTCCCATGTGGGCTGACTGGAAATTGGCTGGGCATCGACACTTCTATATCCAGGAGTTAGCACAATTAGATGACGGGCGGTATGTGATCCCCAAGCGTTGGGTCACGAAATCAAATGCAGAGTATGCAGAGGTGTATCAGGCTCAGATAATGGAGGTACTTAATCCATGTTTGAGCTCGGATATAGCTCACATCCCAATGTAAATAATACAGGATGGCCGATTCGGACTTTATGATCCAGATACACAGCTAGTCAGATGTCAACGGCTCAAGGCAAATTACCCAGATCTCATAGCATTACATGGCGAGATTGCGTTCACAGGTATGTTCACTATAACTTTGTATGGGGTAGGACTAATATCATTTTGAGATGGAGCACCGGCATGGGCACACACAATGCCAAATGCTATCCGTAAAATTGCAAATAATTGTCCTGCATTCACACTCCTTGCTATGGTTTGGAGTGATGATGTATCAGGAAATGTCAGCAAGCAGTATAACCCCCACACCAATGTGTATCTTGCAAACGCAAGTCTACCACACACCAAGCTATCTCAGGAATACTTCATTCACTTCTGCTCAACGTCACCTCACGCATCATCAAGTGAACAGCTCGATGCTATGCAGCAGCAGATGTGTGTACCTCGCTGGGTTTTTCCAACCGTCACTGAATTAGTCACCAGTGATTCACCAGCGCGGCATGTTGCCTATGACTGCGAGCTGATGCAGGAAGTCATATTTCGGATTATGACCCATGTACTTCCAGCCGACAATCCTCAGCAGTCAGAAACATGCTCTCATATTGGTGTCAATGCAAACTTTAACTCAAGAGTGGATACTACCGGTGGCACTAAAGCAGAGAAGGAAACTGATGCAGGATATGAAAAGCTGTTTTATGTAGGTGATGTCTCCTACATGAAGGGATTGTTACTGATATATTGCTATGCATAGCCGGGCATATTGCGCACACCTCAGGATACCATTAACACAATCCAAGAACAGTTGTGGGCTGCATGCCTAGGTGTTCAATCTACTGTGGATGCTCTGCAAACAGCAACAGGGGTCAAGGATAAAATTGCACAACATTGGATCGGGGTTTTAATACATCAAGCTCGCCAGCTACAGAGGGAGCGACTTCATGATACAGACACTATGGATGTGAGGCTCAGAAGCAAAAGCCTCAAAGGCGATGCAAGGAGAGAAGTTAGGGCTCAGATTGTTTGTGATATTCAGCAAGAACTGTATGATTGGCTGGTGCTCCAGCCCCCTGAGCGCTACCATGCACTACCAATTGGTTCAGGTCAATACTTATCTGCTTATGAGTGATACAAATACTAACATTCTGGTTATAGAGCTACGGAGCAAGATCCGACCTGGTGATCATTACAACCGGATGTTATCTGTAGAGGGTATGCTATATGTAAGATCATTGGAAATACACACTGAAGATATTATAGGTCTTGATGTTCATCAAGACACTCCTGTGGAGATCCTCCATACAGTCTTGCTGGGCACCGACAAATACCTATGGCATGCAACCAGCAATACCTGGGATAAACAGAAGGACAAGACATTTGCGATACGTCTCCAGTCATCATCTATGGATGGACTCACTATACCGTCCATACGGGCATATTACATCGCTCAGTATAAGAATTCCCTCATCGGCAAGCATTTCAAGACTCTACAACAGCTGGGATCGTTCCACTTGCACGGAAACTTATGCCCTGATACAGTGTTTAAGCTATGGCTTGCAAATTGCGAGCTAGGTGCCTTGATCTGGTATACAGAGATTAGAAACATGAGCTTGTATATTGTACGTGGCTCTACATTTCCAATAAGTAAAACTGATCTGAACCTTCAGGCTGACTTGACCATACTCATTGCCAATGTTTTGGACTACTGGGCGGAGTTGGATCCATCAAGAATTGTCAACAAAATCAAGCTCCGTATCCTCACATACCTGGTTCCCAATGTGCAACGGCACGGTCCTGCTATCCTCTATCACACTGAAGTTTTTGAATGCTGGAACAGCATTTTTCGTCTGTGTAGTGTTCTGTCAAATCATCATGCACCCAGCCATGATATCGCAGCTACCACAGCTGATATGGAGCGGTTCAAACATCAAGCTAGTGGTGGATTTTGGAAGAATGATCAAGGAGATTGGATACAAGCGGGAAAGAAAATTCGGGATTTATTCCAAGAGAATCGTGCTCTTCAGGGACGGCTAGGTTGGAATGATACAGCGGAGGTGTCACCTGGTACGTTATCACTTGACTCCTCATTCAATCAATTCCCATTTGGAAATCAGGTCACGTGGGCTTGCTTCCACAATCTCTTCGGGACATATCAACATGGGCACAAGCCTTGGGTGCACATTTCTCTCAGCTGAGCGAGCCAACAGGGAAGACAGGCCTGAACTGGGTCAAGAGCAAATACATCACCGCCCAATCATCCGACCGATGTCATGAAGGCTCATGGGTTTTTGCTGCTCAAACTGAGGTGAATTACATTCCCTATACATTATCAGTTACTGACGGTGCTTTAGAGCAATATCATTGCAGGGAGGATTGCCTTAATCCTCACAGCATCTTCATCACTTAATCGTCCACAAGATGATACTGTGATTATTCTGGAGCTCTTCATTGTTCCAGATGCACATCTGAAAAAATCTTGATCTATATAGCTGCCCCTCAGAACTATGGACACTATTGTAGTGCTATGGCTGCTATATAGAAGTTGCCCAGTTGCTATATAGTGCTATGGTTGCTATGTAGAAGTAGGTCAGTTGCTATATAGTGCTATATAGTAACTATAGGTAATATAGTTCAAAGTACTAGCTACATAGTGATATATAGCTCATAAGTGCAGTCAATATAGCACCCATAGATTTGGTATGTATCTGTATAGT